TGACTGTTTCCCATCAAATCCTCCCCATGTCTAGCATCCTAACCACCTGCCACGTTAACTCGCAATCCCTTCCCGCCCATTATGATGAATTCCTGCAGTACTTTTCTCAAAACTTTTTTCACATCATCGCAATCTCAGAAACCTGGCTCAAACCCTATATTCCGTCCTCATCTGCCTCCTTACCTAATTACACCCTCATCCGCCACGACCGGGTCAGCCGGACTGGTGGTGGGGTGGCCATATTTGTCCATGATAGCCTGAAGTCCCGAATCCTTGATTACTCCCCACCCTCCGAACATCCACAAGTGGAGTACCTTCTAGTAGAAATTACCTGTAATAATTCACCACTCCTTTACATAGTGATCTACCGTCCTCCCCTTGTTCCATTTGATCCGTCCTTAGAATCAACCCTACTCATCTTTGTTCCCCTCTATCCTAGAATAATCATCGCCGGTGACCTCAATACCAATTTCCTTTCTAATTCCAAAGACAAAACCTATCTAGAAAACCTATTTTTTTCCTCCATCTCTTTATTGTTCCTTTTTATCCTACTCACCACACCCACAAGGCCGACACTTGGTTAGATTTCTTCATTATAGACTCCGAAATAAATCTCCTCTCCTCTTCTCAACTATCAGTATCCTTCTTATCGTCTCACGACATGATCCAAATAACATATAATATCCAAACCCCTCTGATTCATCCGAGAACCTTCACTTTCCGTCAGATAGACACTCTCACCCGTGAAAAAATACTACCTGACCTTGAAACCTTAGACTTGAACGAAATATATTCCTGCTCCTCCATCGACTCCATGGTTGAGATCCTGACTTCCAATCTCCTCAATATCCTTAACACCCATGCTCCCATAAAAACCTCAACCTTTCGCCGTCGGCCTGCACCTTGGATGTATCAAGAAATCAAGGATCTGCAGAAGAGGCGTGATGCTGCCCGCAGACGCTTTAGACGTACTAGGCTTACAGATGACTATCAAGCGTTTAGGATGCTCCGCAATTTGACACAAACAAGAATTCGGCGAGCTAAAGCTTCCTACTTCCATGAAGCCCTGTCATCTGCCCCAGATCCCAAATCTAAATGGCTAATCCTTCGCAAACTTTCCCTCTGTGAACCTTCTAGATCCCCTTCCTCACTGTTCTTTTCCGTTTCACCTGACGATTTAAATTCACATTTTATTTCTGCCTCCTCTACCTCTTCTCTTCCCTCCTCTTCCAACTATGCTCCTGAGTCATCATTTAATGATGATGACTTTTATTTCTCCTACATTTCCCCGACTGACTTACTAACCGCAGTAATGAAATTCCACACCAATTCCATAGGACCAGATGGCATTCCTGTCAAATTGATAAAATTATGTCTCCCCGAAATCCTCCCAGTTCTCCTTTTCATTTACAATTTCTCCCTACAGAACTCAATATTCCCTTCCTCTTGGAAAAAAGCCATTGTACTCCATTTAAATAAAAAGCCTAATCCATCCTCTCCCGAAGACTTTCGCCCAATCTCAATTCTTTCCAATCTCTCAAAACCCCTAGAAAGATTGGTGCAATCCCAAGTTTCCAATTTCCTAGAAAAGTCTAACCAACTCGATCCTCTCCAATCTGGTTTCCGTCCCGGCTACTCCACACAATCCGCCTTAATCAAAATTACTAATGATGTTCAGACTGCAATAGATAATAAACAACTAACTGTCCTTATACTTCTTGACTTCTCTAAAGCCTTTGATTCCATTAACCATCCCATCCTTTTCAACAAACTAAAATCACTCTCCTTCTCCAATAGCTCTATCTCTTGGTTCCAATCTTTCCTATCACAACGCACCCAAGCAGTCTCCATTCCTAATCAACCACTATCTGCCTACCTGCCTTTATCCTCTGGAGTCGCCCAAGGATCTAGCATATCTCCTCTCCTTTTTAGTTCCTATATCAATGACCTCCATGACTCAATTCTCCATTGTTCCCACCACCTTTATGCAGACGATTCTCAAATATACCTATCCTTTTCTCCCCCTGAGCTATTGGTAGCATTTACTAAGATCCAAGCAGACCTAGATCGAATCTGTGCCTGGGCAAAATTAAACGGATTAAGGTTAAATGCTTCAAAAACTCAGGCCATTGTCATTGGTTCCAAGCCCCTCCTTAGATCCTATACGGACTTTCCCATACTAAACCTTGGTGACCAGCCAATCTCCTTCTACTCCTCTGTAAAAAATTTAGGATTATTTATTGATCAAACCCTCTCCTGGAGTCACCATATTTCTCACATCTCCCGACGGACAGTCTCTACCCTCAAACTATTCCATTGCTTCCGCCATCTCCTACCTCAACATACGCGCAGACTCCTCGTTTCCTCTCTCATCTTCCCCCACTTTGACTACTGCTGTGTGGTGTATGATGGACTCTCGGTGGAGCTCCGCGACAGACTGAAAAGAATAATGAACAGTTGCGTGAGATTTGTAATTGGTGCCCCGAGATACTACCATGTCTCTCACCATTACACTGAGTTAGAGTGGCTCTTCCCCTCCATTCGAAGACAATATTTCCTAGGTACATTCCTCTATCATATCATCAACAATCATCGTCCTTCCTACGCCTACAACCTTCTCCAATTCAAGTCTTCAGTCCACTCCCTCTCCACAAGATCTCGACCTTCCGACCTTTACATTCCTTCTCACAGATCTGCCTCGTTCCAAAACTCCTTTATTGCACTTTCTGTTAGTTTCTGGAATTCCCTTCCAATCAAAATTCGACATTCTTCATCCTTATCTACATTCAAAACCCTCCTATTCCAATTCCTGTCCCAAAAACAGTCAGGCACCAGCTAATCTTTTATGTAAAATTACACATTATATATAAGACCATATTCACATATAGCTCATGACCTGAATACTTATTATAGATTCGACTTTCTTTTTCTCTTTTTTTTTTTCTCTGTTTCAACAGAAACAGATTTTACTGTTAAGAAGAATATACATTTATTTTTTCTGTATTTTTTATTTTTTCTAAAAGGGTTTATTTATGTTTTAACATCGTACATAGTTTTAAGTATCTTAGTATGGTTTCAAGAGTTTTTTATATAGATTTTTATATTTTATTTTGTATATAGTATGTATAACCAATATTTTTTTTCTTTTCTTTTCTTTAATGACCTATCATTATCTTAATTTGTTATGTTTGTTTTTATCTGGCCAGATGTAAAATTTTAATTTCTGTACTTTTTTGTTATTCTGAAGGGACTTCGTCCCAGAATAAAATTATTTTTCTATTCTATTTCTATTCTATTCTATATATATATATATATATATATATATATATCATCAACAATCATATCATATCATCAACAATCATCGTCCTTTTACACCTACAGCCTTCTCCAATACAAATCCTCAGTCCACTCCCTTTCCATAAGATCTCGACCTTCCGACCTTTACATTTCTTCTCACAGATCTGCCTCATTCCGAAACTTCTTCATAGTTCGCTCTGTTAAATTTTTTGAATTTTATTTTGTATATAGTATGTAAAACTAATATTTTATTTACTGATTTCGCTTTACCTTTACTTTTTATGTTTGTTTTTATTTGGCCGGATTCAACATTTTAATTTTGTAATTTTTCGTTATTCTGAAGGGACTTCGTCCCAGAATAAAATTATTTTCTATTATATTCTATATATATATATATATATATATATATATATATATATATATATATATATATATATATATATATATATATGTATAATAGTGTGACTGAGTGTTTTGATCTAATTGTCAGTAACCCATACCTGAGATAAAATAATTATAAATTTCAATATAATATATTAATATTCTTATAATTTCGTTTATTATTTAACAACCTCTCATTTCTAAGACAGATGTTACAATATATATATATATACCTTACCTCCCTGTGAATCTCTGGGTAGGGATATATATATATATCACAGGGAGGTGAGGTGAGTAACCCCTGCGTCTTACACCATAGCTTCTAGTCCTCCAGGTTGGGAGTTGAGCATAGGGCTAATAACGGTAGCCCGGAAAAAACAACTTATTACGAAACCTAAAACAAGCCTTGTAAAATCAGGCTGTATAAATATGGTAACACCCTTGGCTTTGAATCACGGCTATACAATGGATCTTGGAATGTATATAGTTTATACAGACTAGGAGCCACAAAAACGGTAGAAGAACTACTAAAAAGGTATAACATACCGGTAACAGCCATTCAAGAGGTAAGGTGAACAGATGGTGGAGAACCATTATTGACAGCCATACACTGTTCTACTCCGAGAAAAAAAAATGCGACAGCCGGTAGGGGATTTATAATTAGTCCAGCTGCAAGGAAATCAGTCATAAACTTCACTCCGATAAACGAAAGGATTAGTGCATTACAAGTTAAAGATCATTGTTTTAATATCATGATAAACTATTCTTTTCCATTGTAAAGTTTACTAAAATAAAATTATGAGATTTTCATTAACCATCATATATTGGTCATAATTTGTCACACTAATTGCTAGTGGATAATGTTGGTATTTCACAAAGGGAAAATTCATCTAATTATTCACTAATTTAATTTTCTAAAAGGTTACATAACAGTTTTTTGGAATAAACGAACCTACATTGATTTACATTGATACCTAATTATTTAAATATAATATCTCTGATTATTAAATTACAGTAAATGTATTTAAAGTTATAAACATATGCTTTATACATCTATGAAATAGTTTTTTAAACAATTTCATTGCCTTGATTAGGTGGATTATAAATACTTTTTCAAAATAAAAAAAAATTTAAAAGTTAACATTTAGTTAGTAAATTTCATTTAATTTACTTGAAAACATTTTATTTTTTATCGCAGTACTAAGTTATTGCAATGCTTCCCTTTTTTTTTTCCTTGTATCATTTAAGTGGTGATTAAGCATGTATCACTAATTAATTTAATTGAATTTTCTGTTTCCTTTATTGTTTTATTTTGATTATAGGGTTCTAGTAAAGAGGATTGTATGTTTTTAATCGAAGAGGAAGGAGCAGATGTAACTGTTCTTGATCCTGGAGAAGTTTTTAGTGCTGGCCGTTACTTTAGTTTATTACCAATTCTTCAGGAAGTTTATGCTGGTATGATGATTTATGTGTAATATAACCATTTATATCTATACTATTATTTAAAATGACAACCCTTTTTTGTTTGTCACCGATAAGCCCAAAAACTACTGGAGCAATTAAAGCCATTTTTTATTGCTCCAGAAGATTTAAAGCTACTGAAATCTTCAATTTGATTAATAGAAGAATTTTGAAAATAATTTCAATCTAAGATGTGATAGTATAATCAATGATGTTTAATCTTAATTTTACACCATTGTTAGAAGCCCATTTAATTGAAAATTGCCACTGGAAAGACAAAAAATTTATCAATAGACAACACAGCTAAGAGAAAAAAAAGAAGATAATTTTTAGTGATTGTCCTTTTGTTTTCTCTCATAAAATAAGAATGTTATTCAGTTCCTCAGATGCACTTGGCCATGTACTCCATCAGGTTCAAAGTGTTTAAAACCATATGTAGGCACAGGGGTATATACCTGTATCATGGCGACTATTCCGATGAAGAGCACAATGTCCATAGTAATAATCCTAGATGATATGGGTTCCCAGGCTTCTACTCTATCAAATAATTCGTTTTTCAGGACAAGGCGACACCTTCTCTGGCTCTTTGTTCTATATTAACTCCTGAAATATCATTTCTTCTTCATTTCACTTAGCCCGATAATATCCACCTTACATCGTTTTAGTTTCCTCCACCAGTTCTCTCTCCTTACCCATAAGTGACGTTATATTCCAATTAGCAAATCGTAAGTCCTTTTTCTCCTGAGGCTGCTTATATTTCGTTGAATCTTTCAAGATTTACTCTAGATGGATGATTGGTCCGATACTAGAGGCCCTGTATCCTCGGGACAACTGGCCTCCTGAATATTTGTATTCCCTCAGGAGAACGGGTGGCCGGGCTGTACCCCGCAGCACTGGGTACCTGTTGGTCCACGGGTCTTTATTCGTTATATTCACACCACCCCTCCTAGGAGGGATCACCTATCCACCACCTGGGGGGCGCATTTCCTAGCGGGCAGGTTCTGCTGAGAGCTGTTCCGCTCCTACAACAATCAAATATTGTATACCATATCACATGCTTAAGCCCAAACTGCAATTCTTCTTATATAGGAGAAACCAAAAATTATCTTAAAAAAAGAATATATCAACACAAATACAGCATCTCAACACGAAACCTGTTTATCTCGAAACTAGCCAAACACGCCATAATCTTTAACCATACATATGATTTTGAAAACCCAACCATACTTGCCACAGTTCCCAATCACCATAAACAACTACTTTCAGAAGCTATATTCATTAATTTGGAAAAAAATAATCCTGTAAACCACAAAGTAGACAAAGAAAAAATCTGCATTACATATTCGAATATTTTCTGCCTTATAAAACAATAGTCTATAATAATTAAAAATTGTTTTTCATTTTCCCCGTTACTTACAGAGGAAACTACTCCTATGTTTAATAAATATATATATATATATATATATATATATATATATATATATATATATATATATATATATATATATATATATATATATATATATAAATATACTATTTAATTTCTTAATATAATAGATTTTTTTTTTATGATTAATATTGTTATTCTTAAAATATTGTATGATATATGAGCTTACTTATAATTACAATTGTCTGTATTATAAACATTGGCTAACTATTGTATACCTTCAACCAACCTATGTTATTTTTATATTGATTGGTACCTCTTGCTTATGATCATTACTAACTAGCCAATAGTCACAATTTTGTAACTATAAGTAGTAACGCAAATCTTGTATACATCTTAAATAATTTAGTCAGCAAATTATTTGCATTCTACTAAGAGAAATGTTACCCTCCTCCCCCCTCCGACTATGTTTACGTACCTTTTACCAGCTGAAAAAGCACATCTGGGAAATCCTCCCCCGACCCTTTTACTTACCTATACCTAAGAGTCAGTACTTGAATACCTTCATGTAATAAAGATTTTCAGCCCTGATAAGGACCCACATGTTTGGGTTGGAACGTCGGCACTAATAAAGACTTTATAATGATTGCATCCTGAATATTTATAAATTATTTGTCCCTAATATCAATTGAGATACAATTTTTTTCCTCAACCCCTCATTTTGATAAAATAAATTCATAAACAAATTATGATGCTATAAATAAATAATGCTATTCAATTATCTTAGCTAAGAATAAAAAAAAAGATAAGAAAAAGGAAGAAGAAGGGAAAGACTGTATTCTGGTTTTGAACTCGGGTTTTTAGTCCTTAAGCTGCATGTCACCATCTAGGTTATCATTATATAAACAGGCAAAGACAAAATAATTCAGTACCTTTTTCTCCTATCTTTCTCAACCAATTTCTTTTTTTCTTTAGTAGTTATTAATGAGCTTTAGTGTTATCAATAAACAATTCTGGAAATAGCACATATATATATATATATATTGATGTCCAAATGGGCTAAAGCGTGTGCACAGCACCGCATGTTGCCTGGCAACTGGATAGACAGATTTGAGAAGATTAAAAAAGTACGAGTTCGCGTCCCAGTGCCAGAGGGGATTTTAAATTCCCCGGCCCGGGAAAATCCCATATAGGCTAAAAGGCGAGATAGGGAAGAATAACAAAAAAAAAAAAAAAAAAAAAATGTATCTCGTCCGCAGTCAAAAGATTAAGGTAAGAAAATTTGCAAATTTTCTTCTCTTGAGAAAGAAATTACAATTAAATTGAAGGTGACCGCCAGTGTAGTATTATATTTCTATTTCCTCTCCTTTATTATATGCCATTGTCTACGTCCTCCTTGTGTTTCATTCAACTATCTCTTTGAATCCTCCCTTGCCAATCTATTTTTTTTCTACTCCAATATCATCTCCGGTGATTTTAAGTAGGGATGGGCCATTTTGAACAGAACAGTTTGTGGAACAGATTCCATCTTCAGAATGTTTTGGAAAGAAATAAAAACTGTAGGCAATTTTATTCTGCCGGAATGGAATCTTTGATCAGAAAGTGATCGTTTTTAGGTTTTGATGGCTAAGTGATTGGGAGAAGAGTTGAAGATAGTTCACATGAGATTTTTAACATAAACGTTTGTAGAGATTATAAAAATAAAACCAAAATATAAATAAGTTCAAATAATTAAAAATTCAGAGTTTAAAAATAAAAAAGGTTTTTCATTATCAGCTGATATCAGTTCATAGTTCATTAATCAACATACCAGTTTTTGAAAATATTCTCTCTCATGGAAATGAAGTGGCAATTATACTTATAATTTCTTTTGGCCATAGAAAAACACCTTCTGATATGATCCCATCTATTTGTCATCTAAAATTAAAAATCTCTCTGCTCAGTACACATGTTCAGTTCAATTATTTCCTTTGTTTCAGGTGTACCTTTAGGAGAATATTGCTTTTGGGCTTTCATCAATGTTCCTAAAATTGTTGTGTTTGTTTGTTTTTTGTTTGTTTTTTTGTTCTTCATTTTTCTATACTTCTCTCTGTTTTTCTTCATTTTCTTCTGTAATTTTAAATAGTTTTAGTGTTTTGCATATCTGCTTCATTATTCTTTGTCTTATTCCAAGAATTATTCGTGATGAAGATGGAATGGAACAAGAATTGGAATGAATTGAAGTGGTGGAACGTTCCCTTCCGACCTGATGTCGGAATTTCCCACCCTTATAAATAAGTGCTCCCCTGTCTATCTAAAAACAAGAGAGATATAAGGAGCTATTGGAGGGATGAACCTAGTTCTGAGATGGGCCTATATTATATTGATGCTGTAAAATGTTATTGAGAAAGGAAACAAACAAAAATTCTTTTACTTAGGTACTGACATCTTTGAGTTAAACCTATTTTATTTGTAGGGTACTATAATATATATATCAATGTTCATATAAAAAATAAATACAAGGAATAATTTATAACTGATAATAATCAATCTATACCTTTAATGTCGTAAATAGTTCTCTGAGTGCTTCAGAGTTCCTGTTCCATGCTTCCTCCCTTTACTGTTCTCAATTCTCATTAGACAATCCATTCTTATTTCTCAGTGGACGTTCAAAGTTCTTTAGAGTTAACAGGGTATATTTTATATTGCCCCTATCTATATAACTAAGCATTAAATATTACCAAAGCTCTAATTTATGAAAACCACACATGTATGTGTATATATGCAGTTTTATTGGACCCGTACTTTCTGTTACTTTTCAGATATGTAACACTCATTCAGGTAAAGTTGGCTCAAGTGAACTAATTAAAGTGTTTTTGCATTTGGAATAAAATATCTCAGAAACCAAAAATCGGATCTGCATACTGTAAGCGAGGAAAATTTTCAAGATTTCATCATATTTGTAATGAGCTATTATTCAAAATTATTTCTTTACAGGAGGCCGTGTTAGAGAAGCGAAAAAGGAAAAAATAGTGACTAAAGTAAAAAAAAAAAAAGTTCAATTAAAGATATTGATTAAAATATCTCAGGAATTAAAAATCGGACTTGCATATTATAGGCAAGGAAATTTTGAGCATTTCATCCGATTTGGTATGAGCTAAAATTCAAAAGTGTATTTTCATATAATGCTGAATGAGACAGTTGGAAAGAGAAAAAGATAGTGTGGAAAACCAATAATAATGAGTTTTTTTTTTAACTTATGGATTAAAATATCTCAAAAACTAAATTTTGAACTTGCATAATGTTAGCCAGGGAAATTTTCAGCATTTCATCCTCTTTGTAATAAGCTATAAGAGTTGGAAAAAGAAAAATGTAGCACCAAAAAAAATAATGATTTTTTGAACATTTGGAATAAAATATCTCAAAATTTAAATACCATGGAGAGTTCAGAATCCAATTTGCAGAAGTCAAAATTGATAATTTTTTTAATTAGCCATAAACATAAAAAATTAAGTGTTCATCGCATATTTTATCATAAACCTGTTATTTCATTGGACTATGGAACAAATGATGATCAGTCAGAGATTACATAGTTTACCAGAGTAATTTATGCATAACAATAATTGTATGTATATTGTAAATTTTATTACTTTACCAGTATAGAAGAAAAAAAAATTAATATTATTAATCTCGCCTTGTTAATGTTTTCACTTCTATTGTAAGGTCTTGATCACACACCATAGTTTTTTTTAATTATTCATTGCTTTGTTTTTTTTTCTGTAGGAAATAGGACTGATTATCTTGCTGTGGCTGTAGTAAAGAAGGATTCCTTAAGAGATGTCACTTCTTTAAAACATTTACGGGGCAAGAAAGCTTGTTTTGCTGGTGTTGGAACTTTAGCAGGTTGGATCATTCCTTTAGGACAGGTGAGTTTTAATCTTACTAATTTAATTAATTCATTTATTTTTCTAAATCTTAAAAGAGCCAGTAGAGTCTTGCTTAGTACTAAGTATGCTGTATTGCAATGCTGAACAGAGTGAATTTAAATCCTAGATAAATTATATTTATAATGGAATATTAGTATCCTTTGTGGAGGTAGTATCTAAAGTTAGACAAATGCTTCCTTGGTTCACTCAACACATAAATGAATACAATCCTAGCTGAGACAGTTGTAGCTCTCATTTTAATAATGCTCAAAAAATTGAGTTATGAGTAATAATTGATTACATTTTATTGCTGTTAATTATTTAACCATTAATAACTTGAATTACTTTTAGTCATTCAAAAGTCTTTTTGGATTGACAAGCTCACAGTCCTTAGGTCCACTCCAAACAGCCCGATCTTAAATCTGGTAAAGCCAACACACCAAATGATAATGGGATAAATCGATTGATTTATCACAGAACCTGTGCAAAGGTGATTTTGCTAGCCTAAGTTTAAGCATATGACAGTGAAGGTTGCTAATCTATTTAAATCTCTGAGAGATGTAATTTTATTAAATTGCCCTCAGAATATTGCTTCTTCTTGATAGAGATCTGCAAGGAACAGCTTAGTATTAAGCTGTAGGATTTCATGGCAGTATTGTTTGCCTATAGCACCATGGGTTTCTCCAATTGTCCTTTTATTAGTATGTGCCATATATTCCAGTTATGTCATATACTAATTCAGGAGTGACGGGATTACTTCCAGAAGCTTTTCCGGCTAACTTATCAGATTTTTTATTGCCGGTGATTCCAGTATGCTCTGAAACCCAGCAAGGTTGTTTAGAATTGCATTACAATCTTTGAACTAGTAAGATAGTTTTTGAATGCTGCTATTGCTGTCTGGCTATCAAGGTAAATTGTGATTTTTTTTTCGCTTTAAGTCATTATTTAACAGTGTTAAGGCCCAATGACTAATAGTCCAGTAAATTTAGGATTTGATATCAAGAAAATTCATAATTGGCTCTGAATGTGGGAAACCATGAAAAGTCCCTTAAATTCCTATGTCTGCTTCCATCCAAAATGGAGGTCAAAGATGGCCACCTACCACTTTCTCTCTTATTGTATGTTTTTCCTCATATTTCCGTCAAAAACCATAGTTCTTGAATTTCAAAAGTACTAATATAATCAGCAAGGATGTTTGTTTTAGATTTTATTGAAGTTCACCTGATAAAAAAATGATAAAAGAGCTTTAAATTGATCTATTTGGCGTCAATAAAGCGAAATTTGATGGCCAGCAGGTCGTCGTCATTAACTCACCATCATATTGGCTCTAGCTACTGTAGAAATATTCCTATTCTTAACTCCTGTCAGTTTACCAAGCTACCCCTCTTTCTTCCATGACTAATATCCTTTTAACCTGCCATGTCAACGCTCAGTCACTCTTAGCCCATTTTGATGAATTTTACGACTTTTTTCTCTGTAACTTCTACCATTTAATTGCCGTATCCGAAACCTGGTTGAAACCCACAATCCCGTCTTCTCAGATCCAATTACCTAACTATAGTTTCCTTCATCATGACAGAGTAGATCGTGCAGGTGGTGGAGTAGATCTCTTTGTCCATGACAGCCTTAAATTCAAAATCCTTCATTGCTCTTCCTTAACCGATTCTCCGCACATTGAATACTTATTTGCCGAAATCCTCACAACTTCATCTGCCATTCTGTTTGCTGTCATGTATCGCCCTCCTAGAATTCCTTTTGATGAATCATTTGAGACTTCTCCGGGGACTTTAACACCAATTTACTGATGCCATCCTCCGATTATTCTTATCTAACAAGCCTCCTTCATTCTCTCAGGCTTTTCATAGTACCCTACAACCCAATCCATCATACACAGTACTTAGAGACCTGGCTCGATCTGATTATCCTAGATTCCTCAGCCAAACTCCTTGCCGCATCTCAGCCACCGGTCCCGTTTCTATCTTCCCACTATCTTATCCAGAACTCTTACAATATCCTTGTCTCATCCTTTTCTCTCCAAACAATATCCTTCCGAAACCTATATTCTCTCACTCTGTATGAGAGAAAGAGATGCTGCAAGGCGACAGTTTAAACAAACTCGACTGATGGTTTTCTCTCCTTCAAACAGCTTAGAGACAGCACTCAATCAGCAATACGCCATGCCAAATTCCGTTACTACCATCATTCCTTATCCAACTCCTCTAATACTAAGGCCATGTGGGCTAATGTTAAAAAACTGACCATTGGTAATACTCCTCAGTCCCAGTCCAATTCCGTTTCTGCTGATAACCTCAATGTTCACTTTGTCTCATGGCCTTTTGCAACCACATCTACTACGTTCATTCCGGTTCTGTTATTATGTTCTGTTATGTTATGTTTTCCTCTTTTAATCCTGATCACTTTATTTTCCCACATTACCCCAGATGATCTCCTTAACTCCATTCAAAAGTCCCTTACCAATGATCAAAAATCCCGATAATATCCATCCCAGTCACACTGATTAAATTCGCACTGCCATCCATTCTTCCGATCCTTTATCATATCTATAATTATTATCTTCAAAATGCTACCTTCCTCACATCATGGAAACCGTCCTAGTATGCCCATTGAAGAAGACCTCTACCCCATCAGCTCTTAATGATTTCCAACAATTTCCCTTCTTTCAAACTTCTCAAAACCTTTAGAGCGACTAGTCCAATCCCAGCTATCCCATTTTTAGAGCACAATACTCTCCTAAATCCCTACCATTCCAGTTTCAGGCCTGGTTATTCTACCCAGTCTCCCCTAATCAAAATTTCCCAAGACCTTCACACAGCCATAGATCAGCAGAAACTAATCATCCTTATTCTCCTTGACTTCTCCAAAAATTTTGATTCAGACCACAACATCCTCCTAACCAAACTTAAAAATATCTCCTTTTCTTCTAGTTCCCTTAATTGGTTCCAATCCTTCCTTACTAGTCGCTCCTAGTATGTTGTAATTCCTAATTATCACCCATCAGAGTCTCTACCTCTGTCCAGATGCGTCCCACCCTGTCCTTATCCCCCATCCTTTTCTCCATCTATATAAATGACCTCCCATCCTCTACCCTGCACTGTCAATACCACCTGTATGCCGATGACATTAAAATTTACCACTCCTTTAATCCGACTGATTTCTCAGATTCCATTCTAAAACTCCAAGAAGATATTAATAGAATAAGTGCTTAGAACTTAGCACTTATTTAATAGGGCAAACCTCAACAGGCTCACTCTGAACGCCGAGAAGACGAAAGCCATCTTGATCTGATCCCCTTCACTCCTCAAATTCTTCCCGGTATCCCCCAATCTTCTCCTGAACAACTCACCTATCTTATTCCATACTATTGTTAAAAACCTAGGTGTTGCTTTTGATCAAACCCTCTCATGGAAACCATACATCTTCCAAATTTCCCATCTCACTATCTCCACCCTAAAACTGTTCAATCATTCACGTTATCTCCTTCCATGTAAGCCACGTCTACTCCTAGTTTCCTCTCTTGTTTTGCCCCATTTCAACTATGGCTATAACGTGTGTTAGGAATTCCGTATAACGGAATATATGTTTTATTTTTGGAATCTCAAGAGATACGCATATTACCCAGTATTACACCGAGTTGAAGTGGCTCTATTCATCCTATTGCCGTCAGTACTTTCTAGCCACCTTTCTGTTCAAGATCATTAGAACTCATCAACCCTCCTATATTTTTCACAGCTTACAATTTAAATATTCCACCCAATCCTGTTCCACTAGATCTTGTACTTCCGACCTCTATCCTCCTCTTCACTGAACTGCTGCGTTTGACAAATTCTTTGCAATTCAAGCTACATCCCTCTGGAATTCCGTGTGTGTGTGTGTGTGTGTGTGTGTGTGTGTGTGTGTGTGTGTGTGTGTGTGTGTGCGCGTGCGTGAGTGCGTGTGTGTGTGTTTTTTTTTTTAACTTTATATATATAACTTAAGTTAAATATATGAATTAGAAAAATGAAGAAACAAACAACTGGAAATAGATTAATTTTCAATAAGATTTCCTTTTACAAACACTAGAGTCTTTTTCACAGAAGGTTACTTTTAAATGAAAGAAATAATATATCAAATCTTTTAAGAATTATCCAGCTCATGTATGTATATTGATAATTAAAAACAAAAATACATTAGAGGAGAGAGAAAAATACAAGATAATTGTATATATATATATATATATATATATATATATATATATATTATCTTGTATTTTTCTCTCTCCTCTAATGTATTTTTGTTTTTAATTAACTCTTATTGTAAATATATAATTTATTTACAGACATGCAATCTGTACTTATAATTTGTTCTAAAGGGACAACAGTCCCAGAATAATAAAATATATTTTCATTTCATTTCAATATTAGCATGTTGCCATAATTTTGATCTTTGTCTGTAAGTACCTTTAAGTTTTTTAAACTGCCTTTATTTTTAATTATCTATTTTTTTCCAGCTTATGAAGCATGGTGGCTTGGAAGTGGTCGATTGCAATAACCATGTCAAAAATGCTGTTACATTTTTTGGACCAAGCTGTGCTGTGAATTCTCTAATTGACAAATATAACCCTATAGGTAATAAAATAGCTATAGAGTTGATTGATTATCCCAATAAAACAGAGTTCCTTTAAAATACTCTTACTTTCATCAATACTCAATAGGGAAATCATGTATTGCATAACATATTATTTATTTTAATCAAAATGTCCTTATCAAGCTCTTCCAAATAATGAAGTTTTGCACTTCTCTAACATTTTTACTTTCCTACTTATGCTAGGTAAGGAAAGAATTGCGATAGGGTCAAATTTCCGATATGCGGTTTCGACGGATCTATATGAGTGAAAAACACTGTTTAGCCTGTTTTTTTGAAAGGTTATGAAATTCCCTACAAAACTATTTAAAAATTGTTCATTTTGGACAGCTATTGAATTTTCAATATCAGATTATGGGTGCATATCCTGGTATCAGAAAGGGATGAATGAGAGAAAAAAGATAACTAAGTGAAAGTAAAAAAATCAGTTGCCTGCATCACACAAGCTTCACTGTTTTCTCTACTTTTAACAGAAATTATTGTTTGACAAAATTAGGCTATAGCAAAAAGGTTTTGATCAGCAATATTAGAGGGTTTGAAATTGTTACACTGATTTACCTTAAGACGGTTTACATTGCTTTAGTTTATCAAATAAATCGTACTCAAATCTTTGTTTGATTAGTTTTCAGGAAAATAAATCTAATTCAATTTTTTTTGTTTCTTTATTGACATATGTAAAGATATAAAAACTTTTCTGAAATAGGTAGGAAAGTCGTGTGAATGGACACCAAATTTTTTATTTTGCTCTGCTAGATTTTGCATATTAAAACAGTCAAGTATAGTAATGTGTTTAATGATGTCCAGTGTATACTATAATATGGAGTCGTGTATCTGAAGGTAGATGCAGAGAGGAGATGGCTCTGATTATGAAAAATGAAAATTTTGCAATTGTGGAAAGTTCAGATGCAGTGGGTCCTAAAATCATAGTAGCAGACCTTTATCTTGCCATTGGAACGTTTTTGATCCTTCAGATATATTCTCCAACTGATGATTCTTCCACCAATGTTAAGGACTAATTTTATGAAGACCTTCAAAAGAACTTACTTTGAATAAGAAATAAAAATAGATAATAATAATCATGGTTGACTGGTTTTTCTGGTTTTTCAACAAAAGAAACAAGTAATAATCAGATTTGGAAAGGTCTGGGGAGTATGGAGGATGAAGTAGAAAGCCCCAATCAAGAGTTTCTATCTTATGGTCAACGAAACATGTGGAATTGGCCGTAAGACAAAAATACGTATAGTTTGATTGGGACTTTCTATCTCATCCTCCGTACTCCCCAGACCTTGTCCAATCCAATTATTACTGGTTTATTTCTTTAAAATTCTCTACGTGATAAATGCCAAAAATCCAAAAATGAAATAAAAACGCATCTTGATGAATACTTTACAAGTAAGTCTCAAGAATTTTGAACAAAGAGTGTAAGAGCCTTCCTGAGAGAGATTGAGGAAGGTAATAGGGCAGAACAGTTCATATATAACACAGTAAATCAACCTTAATAAACAAATAAAGAAAAGGGAAAGAACTTATGGAACTTCCGTGTATAAAGGAGATATGGTGGATTACCATTCTCTGTTCGTTTTTTAGCTGTCAAAGTTGGCTAATCAGAAGTGCCTCTATGCTATTGATTTAACATATTTTTACAATTTTCTCAAAAACCTGATCTAACGATTTGATAAAACTCGTCATACTCATGTAAAATTATGCTGTTTTTAATATGAGATAGGCCCATGCTCATTGATGTAATCTGACGTGGCTTTAATATTTATTGTTTGAAATTTCTTCCTCTAAAATACCTTTACTTTTGTTCATTTAAACAAAAATTAATCGTTTCACATTGTAACTAGTAATAAGAAATGGTTAAATTAACTATTGACAAAAAAATTGTGCACTTTAAATTTTAAGTAAAACCTGCAGATTAAAGAATTACTTTTGAGCCTGAAGTAATAACAGGTGTATGACAGGTAAAAGGGAATTAGCACACATCAATCCTTTTGAGAAAATTTTGTAATTCTTGATGGAATTTACGATAAAAGTATCAATCAAAAATGGACTTAATATAAGTTTGTCTCCAGTAGCCTGTTCAATCGCATTGGTTTTGCTTTTGTGTTTTTTTTTTTCTTTCTTAAAAACAATATTTCATTTGTATCAAAGTTTTTTTTTTGTCTTTTTGTTTTGTTATTCTTCTACTTGATATCATATTTGCTGAATATCAAGGTAGATGGCAAATTTATTGTGAGCCACAAATATGTACAACTAATAAATAAATAAAAAAAATAAAAAATGTATCAAATATTTTTAACAATGAAAAATAGTTTTGGATACTGTGGTAGTCGCCTAGATTACTGCATTGATTGAGAATGGCCGAAGCCATTGATAAGGAGCTTGAATCTATGAGCTGTCTGAAACAATAATTCGGTGGGCAAGCCAGAGGAAACAGAAGACAAGAAGCTACACTAGGAGGCCTTGATCAGGTCATACAAGAGCGGTAGGTCCAGCTGATAACAACTTCATTGCTGTGCAGACTCTTAGGAACTGCTTCCTGACTTCAGTTGAGACTTCTCATCGACTGTGTATTGCTCCAGGTGCAGATTTCAGTGCACTCACAGTACAGAGAAGGCTTGCTGAACTTAACTTGCACGCTATGGTTTCCGCATCTGGCTCTCTACTCGCCGCAGCACACCTACTTTTGTCGTGAATACTGCGCCTGGATAAAAGATTGTTTGGCCTCTGATTTCTGAGTCCAGGTATAGCCTTTTATGTTGCCGACAGACAAGTTTGAGTATGGAGAAGACCAGGGAAGCAATAGACTTAGTGCAATTTTGTGGGAAGAATGCAGTTTAGAGGGGGGTTGGTGTTGGTTTGGAGTGGAATTTGTTTAGAGTCAAGGACATACCTCCATGTGTTCCACTGACACTTAATGCTCTCATGTACATCACCAACATCCTAGAGAAATATGTGGTAGTTTTTGGCCTATATGTCATCCTTTGTTTTCTTTTTATGCAGGATAATGATTGGCAAATGTTGTACGGGAATACATAGAAGAGGTTAGTGTGCACCTTGGAATGACAAGCTTGCAGCCCAGACTTCAATGCTATTAAGCATCTTTGGGACCAGCTTGAGATGTCCATCCAGTTAAAAATAAACAGTTTTTAACATAATGTTGGTCTTATTCTCATCCATATTCTCTAACAGGGCTTAAATGCCTAATTTCCAAAATTTCTTCCTCTAAAGTACCTTTAATTGTTTTAATTTGAAATAATTAATCATTTTATGTAATGATAATCTGATCCAAAAGTTTTAATGATAATCAGGTGATATAGTATTCAGCTGAAATGAGGTTGAGAATTCAGTTCTAAAGGCATATTTTTGAGTGCGAATAATTTGATGTCTAATTTATGATTTAAAAAATAGCACAGTTTTTAAGACTTAAGTTTTTTGTGCCAAAAGTTTGTACACAATCAAGCAGTTCTTTTCAAATGCTATAAAACTTATTGAAAATGAAAACATTTATGGTAATCTAAGTAGTAAATGAAGTTATTTTGCTGTGATGCCTAAGATTTGACCTTTTCCTTATCAATATATATTTTTAATAACGATACCTCATTAAAAAGATAATTATCGGGTTATTTATTATCATTAGGTCCAAACAATGGTGTTCAAATTCTATTAACTGATCGACAATTCGAATTTTGCTAAGCAGTTGTCGATAATCAGTTCTTAACAATTTGATATTATTAGAGTTTAACCTTATCTATAAAATCAATTTTTTTTTTTTATCCTTGCCTTTTAGGCTATAAGTGGGTTTCCCAGGCCGAGGGGTGAGAGCGGAGGATTAATGCCAGAGTTAAAAGCTCAACTTGGCCCTGGGACACGAACTTGGTATTATTTTATCATGTTATCTTCTATCCAGGTTGCCAGGAAACGCACGATACTTTGTACATTTGTCAGCCCGCACGGCCACCCCACCCCTCCTATAACATAAAAAATCAACGAAAATAATATAAAACTCATACCCTGGTTATAGCTACATGACTGCCGAAAACCGTATATTCTCTTCCTGTTCTTCTGCCGTTCTCTAGCTTAACGAGCAATTTTACAAAACTGGTCACCTTATTTTTAACGTATACCTATCATTTTATTGTTTTTTAAGAAGATAAACTTATTTGAATATATACTAGGTGTTTTGAATTCTAGGTGATAATTCTGATAAATTATGCAAACTATGCATTGGAAAAGTACCAGGTGGAAAGTGCACCAATGCTGATCCTTATGCTGGTTTTACTGGTGCTTTCAAATGTCTTTTAGAAGCTGGAGAAATAGCATTTCTGAAACATACATCTGTTTTAGAATTAACTGGTGACTCAATGAATTTCCGTAAGATTTTTAATAATTTTTTTATTGCCATCTTTTAATTTTATGCCTCTAAAAAATGTTATCTGATTATATGCTCTTTCTTTGTTTTTAGCAACTGCAAATAAAAATGATTTTGAATTACTTTGTTTGGATGGTTCAAGGAAACCTATAGAAGAATATAACTATTGCAATTGGGGTTCTGTTCCCTCTCATGCTGTAGTTACTTCATCTGCTAAAAATGTTAAAACTAGGAGAATCTATCAAAAATTTTTAGAGGTATTATATATTATTATTTGAAAATAACATTATTATTATATATCTTATCTAACTAATTTTGACATTTTTAGACAGCTTTTGAGTTATACGGTTTATCTACAAATAAGAGTAAACAAATATCAACACAGAGCTTTGATCAAGATCAGTATAATCGTTATGATAATGAGAATCAGAGAGATCAATTTGGAAGGGAAATAAATTTTAACAGAAATGGTTTCAATCAATTTGATGGGTACAGTACAATATCTCCCATACATAATCAGACTGAAAATAAACATTTCTTTTTATTTGAATCAGTGCCTCAATATGGCAATGAACATGATCTTCTATTTTCGGTAAGTCAGATAATAGTTATATCAAAGACATAATTTACAATGTTTCAGTAAAACTTATAAAAAATTCTAGATTTTCGATCGATACCTATATTTCAAGGCTGACTTGTCAATATATTGATCTTTTTTTCTTTTCGTTAGGGTTTGTACTGTTTCACTTGGAATATCCTACTTCCTGCCAAATAAGGTCTTAATCAATCATGTTGAGATCAACCTCTATAAATAAATGGACTGTTTCACATATTCCAACGACCAGTGTATTAGGCTTGCGTCCTTATTTTATCATGATCGGTTAAATCTCACTTGGAATATTCTACTTATTGCTAATAAACATTTCAATCAATTGTCAGGGAATCGACATATCCATAAATTTGAGCAGAAACTGATATTCTGAACACCGATGTATTTGCCCTGTTGGACTTTTTCTTTCTGTTGTGGTTCTTAATGGTTTGCTTGGGAATATTCCTATTATTGCTGAATAAAATTTTCAATTAATCATTTATACCAGTATAGAAATATGAGCTGATACTAATATTCCAAAGATCAATATATCGACCTTTCAGCTTTATTTAATCAATTATGGTAAATTTTCACTTTATTACTGAATGGATGTTTCAATGAATCATATATTTATGTAGTGGATTGGCCTATATAAATATATGAGATGATAATGATATTCCAAAGAAATTTTGTGATACTGTCTTTTCTTTTTGGGTTATTTTCTTTCTTCTCGTTTTTTCTTGGCTGCAATATACGATAATACTTCATCACTTCAGTATTATTATTAACAAAAGCCAATGCAAATCCCTACAAACAATCACCATAAAAAATGTAACAATGGCAACAACTGAATGTAAAAATAGGATTAAATATTAATAAGTATGCTTATAATATTATCTGAAGATGTTCGAAAATATTTTCAACTTTCTTCTACTGCTCAAATCAATGATTTCAATAGCTTAAAACCTTCATGTACAATTTTGCAAAAAAAAAAAGTTGAAAATTTTTCCAGTAATTTTTGTGGTTAGCAGTTTCTGATGCTAAGGAACAATGAGCTGTCCTTTTATGTAGTAGTATGATTTTCGAGTATTTATTCATGCACTTATTATGCAGAATTAAAAAATATTAATGGTTGGGGTGTCAGTATAGAGGCCCAAGGTCCAACACAGGGTATCCTAAAATTAACAAAAGATTTAAATTAAATAAAAAAAAAACAGTTATTTTTCTTTTTTTTTATTGAATCATAAAGTACACATCATAGAGTTATATATGAAATAACAAATCGGACAAATGGTCTCCATGGCTTTGCTGACATAAGTACTCTTTTGTTAAAATTTTCTATGATATTTTGCATAAATGTGGTTGAATTTTGTTGATGCAGCATTGAATTTCCTTGTTTAATGAATGCATGCTTATAGGCTCGTTGGCATAGACCTTAAACAAAATAATCGGAGAAAAAGAAATCCAGTGGTGTTAAATCACACGGTTTACAATCTACAGTACAAAATTTTTGAACTGTAGCCACGAGACTTTCTTTATTTATCATTTTAAAATATTATTCAACCATGAAAACATGTTCGCTCGTTTAACACTCCATTTTTACTAACCCTAAACTATCAGCTATTTAATTGACAAAGAATAAAAAGAAAACAAAAAAGAAAGAACTGTGTTTTATATTTAATTTAAATCATGCATTAATTTTGGGACACCCTTCAGAATTAAGTCTTAGTGCGTATGCTTATAATGCATATTCATATTTTTTATTTTAGAAGTTTCTTTGACATGCACACAAATTAGGGATGAAAAATTTACTCATGGTAGTTCATGTTAAATAGCAGTAGCCGTAAAAAGAATTGAAGTGAGTAATACATTAAAAAAATAAATAAATAAACAATTGAAATAGTAAATTAATTAATAAAAATAGAAAATTTGTATTACCTATTTGCTCAATAGAAATGATAAAAAAGCTATGCTGACCTAATTATCAATTTTTTCTTTAATAATGACAAATTATATTTTGAAGGATGTCGTTGAACAATTAGCATCAATTGGTGAAGGAGTCCAAACTTTCAAGGAATATCTTGGCAGAAGTTTGGAGAGCATTTTGGAAATTAGAAGGTGTCCTATCAAAGCAGTTACTTTATGTGTTACATCTGAACAAGAAATGGACAAGTGCCACAAGATGCGGGTACACTAATTTATTGTTTTTTAAAGTATTTAAAACATTAACTGTTGAAGTTATTAGTATGAGATAATATATTAAACCAGCTAATAATATTCATCATAATCTAGTTACTTTTTTTTTTACGAAAAAGTTTTTATTTTTATATTTAAAGTTATAAAATGTTTTCTAACATGATTTTGGATGTTGCTAATTACTAATGTTCTTCTAGAATATTATGAAGCACTTAACAACAAAGGCAATGAAATTTGTTGTCAAGAAATGCAATATCCGTTATCCTAAGCGCAAAAATTTGTTTGGTGTTCACACTCCTCAAGAGTATTGATGCATCAAAAAGCAATACATCAAGGATCTGCATATTTTCTTTTATTATGCTACTTTTTTAAAGAAAAACTATTGCTATGAGATTTAACAACTTGATGAGGAATATGAACACTAATGGGATAACAAGAAGTTAATAAACTATATAGCAAATTATTCTTGTTAAAGATTTTTCTTACAATCTATCTCTTTCAACCAAAAAATAATTATCAAATTAATATTATTAAAATAAATTTTATTTTAATAATAAAATAAAAGTAAATAGCTGAATCCTCAGTGTGCTGAAAACAATAAATTATCGTTTTAACCAATGATTGTGTTTTTGATACATATTTTAAAACCTGATAAAATATGTTCACTATTAAAGAAGTTCAATTTCTTTTAAATTAAAAACTGTTGTGAGATGTAATATTTGCTTATACTCAATACTTTTCCAAATAGGTATTGAGAAATTATAATCTATGAGCATTAGATTAATTGAGTTATTATATGTTTCAGACAGCTTTGAAAGCCCAGTTGTTGCAGCCAGATCTTGTTTGCTACAAAGCTCATAATCATATCCACTGTATGCAAGCCATTAGGAACGGGTAAATTCAAATTATTGAAGTTATTTTGTATTTAAAAAATCCTAAAGATTTAGTTTGTTGATGATCTTGGTTTTAATAGAATAAATATATTTAGAAAATTGTTAAGGGTGGCTACACTGAGATGTAACCTTACTGGTATTTGTAACCCTACAGCAGAAACTTTCGAATTGAAACCAAGTTCATCGGAGAAATCTAATTGTATGCAACTCAAGCCAATAAATTGTTGCTGCATTCGCTGGGGGTACAAGCATGCTTGAGACCACTGTCCTGCCTTTGGTAAGCAATGCTCTATTTGTCAAAAACCGAACCATTTTGCAAAGAAATGTAACTCTGGCACTAAGAATCGTAAAAACCAAAGAATTGGTTGAAACAACTTGTGAAGATCCTGATATTTTTAAACTAAACTCTCCGTTATTTATTTCATAAATTATGGTTAGTTGGAGTCATTGTAAAAAAATTAAATTTCAGATCATACCTTGTCAAATTTGGAGGAAAGTTGTATAGAAAAAACTCAGTTTTTATTAAAAAGTACAAGGATGGTGTAGACACTCGTTTTAATGAAAACCATAGTAGTAATTTATTTAGGGACACCATCTTTGAGGTACCTGTAAGTGAAGATAATGTCAGCAGCTCTATTCTAGATAATAACCATATTTCCAATTTTACAGATTACTGTTGCAATTCAGAAATGATTAATAATTCCATTGTAACGCATTCATTATGTTCGCACAATCAAAAAGCTTCAGCAGCTTGATATATAATTGTATTTTTATTTTATTGCAATAAATTTAATTTGTATGCCATTGATTATTGCGCCTTACTGATTTTTGTATTATTTTCTATAACAAAAAAAGTACTGTATTAATAGGGCTTAATGAGGGAGGTGTTAAGGGTAGCTACACTATGATGTAACCATACTGGTACATGTAACATCATGTGATAGATAATAAATATGTACAAGTAACAAAAATTATTTATTTATTCTTTCCTTGTAGAATCCAATGAAACGGTAATTCATTTTCATTCATGTTTCGCTGATGTCGCTTTTATGTCAAATGTATTATCTAATGTAGGAGTTCTCACCAGGTTATACTAGTATATGATTAATTTCTTCAGTATTTTATCCATAATTTTACCATACCATAGCAGTCTCCGAAACATGACTTACATCTTATATTCCCTCCTCTTCTGTTTCTATTCCTGATCACAGCAGTTATATCTGCCATAACCAGATTGGTCGAACTGATGGGGGGCAGAGATTGCTGCTCTGAGTACTGAGTACCAAGTCTATCTATCTATACTGGCTCTACAACCCACTTAGCGAGTCATGGTCTCCGCCAACAGCATCTGCTAGGCGTCCCTACTTCGTGCTGCCACCATCCAGTCTCGAACTCCTAGCTTCTTGGCATGCGACAGCCCTCCACCGCCTGACACCAAGCTATCTCAAATCCGCCTCAACTTCCTCCAGCCAACGGAGTGGTGGCCTTCCTCTCCTTCTTGCTCCTCCAGGTCGGCCATACAATATTTTCCTCGGTACTCGGTGCGCTGCCATCCTTTCCACATGCCCTAACCATCTTATTCGTCCTGCCTTAATGACACTTGTGAGATCTGCGTCCCTGTAAAGTTGTCGCAACTCCCGATTGTATCGTGACCTTCAAACACCTTCTTCACATACGGGCCCGTAAATCTTCCTAAGAATTTTACGCTTCCACACTCCAAGAGCCCTCTCATGTTTTGCTGAGATAACCCACGTCTCGCTTCCGTATGTGACTACCGGACGAATCAATGTTTTATAGATTGTCAATCTGTCATTCCTTGATAGTCTTCAAAACGTGAGTAGTCGCTGTATGGCATAAAAATCGGCTTCCTGCAGCAATCCTGGCTCCTATCTCAGCTCCTACATCATTGTCTGCCGTCATAAGGGATCCCAGGTACTTAAATTCTCTGCATACTGGTAACTCGTGTTGGCCTATGTTTAGAGTCCGATCTTGATGGGGGCGATGTCTTGAACTCTTCATGTACATCGTCTTTTGCTTGTATATTTGCAGACCTCGAGCTGCTGCAGCTGCCTCAAATTCCTTCAATGCATACGCCATGTGCTGTGTGAAGCGGTCGAAGATGGTACCTCCAGGGTTGGTTCTTATGGCCCTTGCCGCCTTCTCCAATGTTAAAAAGGGGAGTAGCCTTGGTGTCTCCTTGCATTATTCCCGAAACCACAGAGAACTCCTCTGACAGCAATTCTTGTAGTTTCACTCTGCATCTGGTATCTGCCATTGTCATTTTTACTAAGCTAGTGAGCTTCTTAGATACACCCAGAGAAAGGAGATCCCTCATCAAAACCTGCCTATCCACTGAGTCGTATGCCTGCTGAAAATCAATGTAGAGGTGATGTAGGTTGACGTTGTATTCCAGTGACTTCTCTAGGACCTGTCATGCAGTAAAGAACAGACAGACCGACACCGAACTAAATTTTGTCCTTGATGTCTGAAACGTAAAATGCGAGTGAAAATTTTTGATTCTGAGCACAAAAAGTTTTTTAACCTCTTGAACGTATACAATGATTCCCTAGCTTCGATAGTGAGGAAGCAAAAAAACAAAGAAAGAATTCATGAATTTAAGATTTGTGTGATGTTTGTGGAAAATAACCCTGGTATATGTAAAGGAATCATAGCCTATTACATAAAGCCTAGTCAAGGAAAAACACAAGCCTATGTGAAAGAATTTGATGGAATTCAGTATGATCTATACTGGACTATCTAAACCTTTCAATCAATAAAAATTAAATTAAATCTAAGTAATGGCTATACGTGTCATGCCAGTCACATGGAATTGATAAGAGAATACAGTTAAACATAGATAGTAGTCCAAAATCTGTAAACCCAAAAACTATAAAATAAATTTAACCTCTCTTTCCATATGTTTTATGCTTACCACATTTCAAAGCCATTATATTCTTAACAGTTATTTTTATTAATTTTAATTTTTAAGTTAAAATTATACAATTTTATACCTTATTCTCCATATTTCCTATAACTAGGGGTCAATTCGACCAAACCATTTTCAGATTATAGGCATGTCAAAAACAGTACATTTATAGATCCGAAAGCAGAAGTATTTTTAAAAGTAGTGAATAGAATTTGATTAAATTAATATCTAATGGGTCATTTTTTCATCAATGACTAACTTCCTTCCTAATTTGAATTAAGAAAAACAAATTTGCGTATATGTAAGAGAAAGTAGTGGATGAAATTCAATAAAATTGGTATAGCATAATGTTTTTTACCAATATCCAATTTTCTTCCTACTTCAAAGCCAAATCAAACTAGCCATTTCAGAAGTATACGCATATCTAATAAAATACTTCTATGTGTGTGTAAGCGAAAATATTGCATATGAATTTGATGAAATGAGTGGGACCAATCTGCACAATCTGAAAATTGGATAAATGGCAGTAGGTGATATGCCTGTCGCATGGATTTGACTACAGGTAGAAACAGAACCAAATTTTTTTCTTGATGTCTAAAACACATCTAGAAATTTTTGATTTTGAGCATAAAAATAGTTTTAACTTCCCCCACTGTGAGTTTATAGTTGATAATAATTTTAACTTCACCCTACCTTCACTAGTGAGAAAGCAAAAACACTAAACTTAAAATTCCTGGTTTTCTGTATGAAATCTGACCATCATTTCTTTAAATATTTCGGTACTTTTAGTCTAGCAGGCCGGACTGAAACCTCACCTCTTATCTATCTTATCAAACGTCACGTCACATAACCTCCCTCTTCTTATCCCCTTTCAGTTATTGCATTGTTTAGTTTTCAGTTATTCCCTTATTACGTTCACTTATTAAATTGTTTACTTTTGGTCCGTTTGTGTTTATTTTTCATTATTTTTAGTTTTTGGCCCGTTTGTGTTTATTTTACTTTTTTTTTAGTTTGTGGCCCCTTTGTGTTTCTTTTCGTCATATTATGGATCTTCTTAGAATATGGAATTTGACGCCTTCAGAAGAACAGGCACTTCAATATTTTTAAAATGTTGGGGTACTTGCCGACTTGAATCGACGTGTGATCGAGGTCATCGAATGAAGTCAACCAGGAAGGCCAAATGGAGATGCTTTCGTAGGACTTATGACACAAAACTTTCAATAAGGAAAGGAACATGGTTGGAGGGCTCGAGGATTTCGTTTTTAACAGCTTTAAAATTGATTTATGGATGGTCCCATAGCTTGACAACGATAAAGTGGGCCAAAGAGCAGTTGAAACTATTCAACAGAGCTATGGTAACGTGGAACAAATGTCTAAGAGAGGTTTGTGCCCATGACATGTTATATAGGCCAAGAAAAAAAATTGGAGGACCTGGCAAAGTGGTTGAAGTAAAAGAAAATCTTTTTTCTAAACGAAAAAATCATGTGGGGAGAGTTTTATCTCAGCAGTGGATGTTTGGTGGAGTTTGTCGAGAAACAGATGAATGTTTTATCTTTTTATAAAACCGATTTCGTTTTATATTTTTTCTTTTCTATGTAAATATGTTCTTTTAAATGTGTTTTTTATTATTTCATTTTGATGTTTTATATGTACATATCTTCTTAAAGTGTTTTTTTTTATTATTTCATTAATACATGTGTCGTCAAATAAAAGTATTTTTTTTGTTATTAAATTTGTTTTTGTATCTGTTTACACTTTCAATAATACGAATTTAATACAATAATACGAAGATATGAAGTAAAAGAAGGCTTATCAGTGCTTTATGGGAGTTATCAGTGTTCAGGTTATAAACATTGGCAGATAGCAGTCAGTAGCGGCCCCTTAGACGAAAAGTACCAATATTTCCTATTACTTATGGAACACTCTGTATTCAGTAGATAATGTTTTTTAGTATTAATAATTTATCTGATCTCAATAAATTATGTATTGTTTTATAATTATGATTAGTTATTTAAAGTTAATGTTGCAGTGATGCTGATATATCCGTTTTTGATGCTGGGGACATCTACACTAGTGGACTGCATTACAGTCTCGTGCCAATCATGGCTGAGGTATATAATTTAGGTGTTCCAGAATATTATGCTGTTGCTGTTTCCAAAGAAGAGGATCCTAGTACAGAAATTACTTATCTTAAAGGTAAACAATTGAGATTTTAAGGTATATTATGTGTTGAAGATTGACCATATAGTAAATTAAGAAGGAGTTAATCCAAGTATCAATTAGAAATAACATCATATAGTGGTGTATATTTATTAAATGACAATGTCTCGACCCACATTATAGTTTTTCACCTCATTTAAATTCTTAATAGATACAAAGAAAGTGAAACTGTTGTAGTTGTGTAAAAATAACATGTGAAATAACTCACTAAAATATGAGTATAGAGAAAATCAGAAATATTATAAGTTTTTTAATAAAATTTATTTATTAAAATTTAAAACTGTACTAACTATAAATAAAACTTATTTTCTGCTCTTAAGATCCATGATTCGCTTCCATAGGTGACAGTCGTCCTTACTATGGTCTTATAGATTAAGATCTTTGCTTTTCTTGAGAGATTTTTGAACTTAATGGCCTTCTCCAAACTCCCATATACAACAGTTCTGGCTTTTGTGTCGGCTTCGGTCAAATTATCAGTGGTTATCAAGTTTCCAAGATACCTGAATTCTGGACAACATTGTATTTTGTATTCATCCAGCTGAATTGTCCGCTCTTCACCACCTTTTTGCCAATTGCATATGCATTTTCTTCTGGACATTAATCTGAAGTCCAAGTTCTCTTGCAGCTCCCAGGAACTTTTCTAGTGCACCTGATAAATCTAGAAGTGTCCTTGCTATCATCCACAATAGCCAGATGTCGTATCAGGCGGTTAAAAATGGTACCACCTGGATTTGTTTTTATTTTACGAATTGCAGACTCTAGTACAAGGTCAAAGAGCAAAAGTGACAGTGGGTCACCTTGATGTAACCTTTTCCTACCTTAAAACCTTCAGAGCATTTGCGTCGAATCTTGACTTTACAGAATGTATTCTTTAGAGTCACGCGGATAAGCCTAATAAGTTTTCTGTAGATCCCTAAAGAATGCAGGATAAAGATTGCATTTGTACATATTCTCCCTGTTAATAGCATCATAGGCCTGTTTGAAATCGATGAATACATGGTGGAGAGTTACATTACATTCATTTGATTTCTTCAGCATTTGCCTTACTGAGAATATATGATCAGCGGTAGACCGACTTGGTCTAAAACCACATTGGTACTTTGTAAACTATTCCAACTAGAGATATTCCATGATAATTTCTATATTCTGTTCTGCTCCCCTTTTTGTATATCGGATATACTAGGACTTCAGACAATTCTCCTACCATCCTTTCAGAAATCCATACATAAAAAATATTCTGGTACACATCTTCCCAGATCTCCTCTCCTGCATACTTAAGCATTTCCGCATGTATACCATCTCCTACCTATGTCTTATTATTTTTGAGGTTTAGAATAATCTCAATTATCTCCTCTATTTCAGGTGGGTTATATTCTTCTTCCAGTTCCTCCTCTAAATTGTTCCTTGTGCCTATCGAGTGTTTTTGTAACACCTAGTACTTCCTCAAAGTATCTCTACCACCTACCTAGAACCTCCATGTCGTGAAGTAGATCACCCTGCTCAACCCTTATGGAGTCAGATCTTGGAGTAAATCCATTTTGGGACTCTTTTACACCTTTATAAAATTTCATTGTCTCTTTGGCCTTGTAATGTTCTTCTAGTTTTTCCTCTTTATTAAACAGTTACTTCAAATATTCACTCCTGTGGTGTATTTATTTGTTTAAATTATATTTGTATATTTCAATGTAAGAAATCAATTACCCATTAAAATTGTTTTAATGTATCTGAAATATTCACCTTCACACATCTTAATTTTATATTTACCCACACTATTTAACAAATACAAAAAAAAATTATTGACCATAATTTCACATGGAATTTGAATATTATTCAATTAACCATGTATGTTTTTTAGACAAGTTTTACATTAAAAATGTTAAATATTAATTTGCAGGTAAAAATACTTGTCATGGAGGTGTAAATACTGGTGCTGGCTGGGTCATACCTATGGCTTTTTTGTTAGCCAATGGATGGATTAGAAGTTATGGCTGTGATTCTATGAAAGCAGCTTCTGAATATTTTTCAAAAATGTGCCTTCCTGGTTCACAAAGCCCAGAATACAATACAGGCTTACCATATGATAATATGTGTCAACTCTGCCATGGAACTTCCTATAGGTATTGTCATCGTGATGCTTCTGAAGATTATTATGGTCACACAGGTAATTTTTTATTCATTTTTGACTACACTTGTATTGTGTTAAATAAATGAACCATTAAGATATAAGAGACTAAGTCATGAGTTCGTAGTAGCTACTTAAATAAAGAAGTAGTGTTTTAATCTAAAAGGAAAAAAAAATTAAGTTGTAAGGTGAATTGCCCTAGCTTAACCATATTTTCCTGTATATGCCTGGTGTCATCTTGGAAGCTCTTTATATTTATATTATGTCTATTCAGAGATCTTAGGTAATAAAATTAACACACTAAATTAAATTATACTTCATTAATTATTGTGAAAGTATGGATTGAATTGACAATATTATTTTATCATAAATAGATTAGGTAAGCAGGCACCATATACTTTACATCTAATTGCCCTAAGAGGCTCACCTCTTATATGTGAATATATTACTGATTAGAGAAGTTAATTATATTATATTTAAGGGCTGTTGTGGTGTTTGTGCCTTGTAAGGAAAAGAATTATTTATGTCTAATGGCTTTTATGAAATAAACATAAAAACTTTTTTTCAGTCACCTTATCAACACTTTTTAATTATTCTCAATCTTAGGGTCAATTTCGAAAAAATATAACATTCTTGCATATCTTTATATCAAAATCAAAATTTATGCTTGTACAGAACTTCTCAAACTCCTTTTAGCATCTGAGTAAATTGCTGGTGAACTAACTGGAGTGTTATTCATGTACAGTTATAACTATAATGTTATTGCAATTCAATAAAATAATAGAAAGAAAGATAGAAAAAAAACAACTTTATTCTGGGACTAAGTCCCTTCAGAATAACAATAATGTACAAAATAATAGAATATTACTGGCCTAAACGTTTGAAACAATAAATAAAATTGATAAAATAAAATAAAAAGTAAAGAAAACCTTAGGTGCACAAGCTATATACAATACAGATAAAACTATGTACAGAGCATTTAAAATTATGAACAAAACAATTAAAACTATGAAAGAATCACTTGAACTATGAACAAAATTATATATAAGGGTTGAACAACATAAACATACACTTTGAGAAATGAAGAACGAAAAAGAGATACAATGAGTTCATTTCGTAAAATAAAAATAATAAAACTTTACTTGAATATATATATAAAAATAAACAGTTAATTATAATAGAATAAAAAAAAAAAAAATGTCTGTATTGAAATTCCTACGTCGATAGTAGGAAATGCATGTACCTATCTCTTACCTAGTATTATGATTATATGATTGCTACACAATACATATATAATATTAATAGTTAGCTGGTATCTGACTGTTTTTGGAATAGGAGGTTTTTGAATGTGTATAGGGAAGGGGCATGTCGAATTTTGATCGGGAGGGAATTCCAAAAGTTGACAGAGCGGGCTATAAAGGAATTTTGGAATGAGGCAGATGTATGAGAAGGGATGTATAAGTCAGAGGGTCGGGATCTTCTCGTGAGGGAATGGATTGAGGACTTAAATTGGAGAAGGTTGTAGGCATAAGAAGGACGATGATCGGTAATGATTTGATAAAGGAAAGTGCCTAAGAAATATTGTCTTATTAAGGAGGGGAAGAGCCACCCTAACTCAGTGTAGTGGTGGGAGACACGGGAGCGTCTCGGGGTCCCAATTACAAATCTTACAAAGCTATTCATAAGTCTTTTGAGTCTATCACGGAGTTCCACCGAGAGGCCATCGTACACCACACAGCTGTAGTCAAAGTGGGGAAAGATGAGAGAGGAAACTAGGAGTCTACGGGTATTTTGGGGTAGAAGATGGCGGAAGTGATGGAATAGTTTGAGGGTAGAAATTGCACGGCGGGATATATGAGAAATATGGTGATTCCAGGAAAGGGTTTGATCTATGAAAAAGCCTAAATTTTTAACAAAGGGATAGAAGGTGATGGGGTGGTTGTTTAGATAGAGTGAGGGAAAGTTGGTGTGGGATCTAAGAAGGGGCTTGGAACCAATGAGAATGGCCTGAGTTTTGGCAGCATTTAGCCTTAATACAATATTTAATGAACACTTAAACCAGATCATTTTATTGATGATAATGAATACATTAATTTATATTAATAAACTGATAGGTAACTTCTTTTATATTAATAAACATCTTTTACCTATACAATATGATATATAACAACATTTTTTATTATTATTTCAACAATAGGCCCATGTGTGCCACTACCTGTAGACCAGAGATGGGCAAATGCTATTCTGAGTACTGAGTACCAACTATTTTATTCAAATACTGACCTTTCTTGAGTACCAAAGAATTTAATTAATACTTCCGTTGATGTCAATCGATTAACTGAAGTAAAGATTCAATTGGAGTAAAATACCTGGTACTCGGTACTCAGAGTAGTATTTGCCCATCTCTGCTGTAGACAGTGTTGAGAATCCCTTTGATAGTGAAACTTAAGTATCCTGAAAAATTCTATTTTTTTAGGTGCTTTCAGATGTCTAGTCGAAGGTGGTGGAGATGTTGCCTTTGTAAAACATACTACTATCTCAGAAAATACGGATGGTAAAAGAAAAGAGTGGTGGGCTAGGAACACTCTTAAAGAGGACTTCCAACTTTTATGTCCCGATGGTATTTAACTATATGTATTTGTCTTGACATTATGATGATTATCCTGTGTATTATTTATTAAGCTTTCATCATTTCAAGAAAATATTTGTAATAATATTTTTTTTTTTTTTTGTGAAAGCTATTTATTTTTTTTATATTATTTACTTTTTAGCCTACTTCATTCAAGATGGAAAAAAAAGAATGATTTATTAATTTTACTGTGTCAAAATTTATCAATGTTTCATAATTTTAAAGCACTTCTGTCAGTTTTTCGTTTTCTCCTTTTGACTGTGGCTGTATCAATACTATTTAGGCTACTTTAGAAACAAGTTGTGTATAGGTTTTTGTATTATCTGTAGCTGTTAGTTTATGCTTAATTTTAACCAGAAATGAAACAAATATTTTTTTTTCTACCAAACCTTTTAGTCGCCGTGGCTGGAAGTGAGTTTTGGAAAGCTGAACATGGTGTTAATTTGTTCATTGGATGTCAGCTATTAGTACCTTAAGTTTGTCTCTTTCCAATTATGAAGCCAAGGCGGAAAGGGCGAGTGAATATTCAAAGTCCTCTTATTTTTTTTTTTTTTCAGTTTATGACCTGTAACTTTTAAAAGGTATATCTCAATAAAAACTTTATTCTGTTATGAATTAAACAACATTAAATTCTTCATAAAATGATTACCTCAAACATCGGATTCGGATAGAAGAATAAAAACATGCATTAATAAAACATGATCTACGAATTTCCTTTAAAAGTTCCTTTACAGGCATTGTCAGCCTTTTTTTCTTAAAAGCGGCTATTATGGATGAAAATATATTGAATACAAGTTATAGAGAATAGAATTTTGCATTTAATGATTACGAGTTCGAATTGAAGTAAAGTTACAAAACTTTAAGTTTTTAAATTATCGTCAAATGTTTAATAAAAGTGAAATAGTTAAGTGTCAGCCATTCTTAAAGTGAATAATAATTTCATTATTCGAATTTTGTGGTACTGATGTTTACATTTATAGATGCTTTTTTTTTCTTTTAAAAAAATGGGGTTTCAATACTTGACATTGATCGAACTAAATAAAAAAATATTGTATACATGAAATTATTAAATGCATCATTCTACAATTTTCATTCTCATCTTTATTTTATTGTTTGCATATATTTATGTTGTTATTTGGTCAGTTTAGTTGTTTTGTTTTTTTTGTTCATACACATTTACTTTTAGTATTATTGTTTGGTTGTTAAATTTAATTTTATTTATAGTGTGAATGAGTTACTCTATCACTATTGCTAATGTCCTTAATTGTGACAGAATTTAATATTATTCAATTTCAAAGAAATAAGAAAAACAAAATTATTAAATTATATATATTGATTATAAAGTTGATTACATTTTTCAGGATTACTGTGAAAAAATTGCCAAAGGAAACATTTATTGAAAATTGTATAATTAAAATTATGTTTTAAATGTTTAATTGCACTCAGGTTTATTTGACTTGTATTGCTTTTTATTTTTATAAATTAGTAACCGGGGGAGGAACTATCTCTAACCATATACAATAATAGATAAATGAAAGTCATATTTATTTTAAAAATTTCTTTACAACCTCCTTTTTTCTCAAAATTCAGACTTTTCACTCAAACATTTACACAAAAAGCACTATTAGGAATTTAACAGCAAATTAATATTAAAAAGTTAAAAGAACAGCTGATGACTGATTTCACTTAATTTTAACAAAAGCAATTAAATAATAGAGTATCTAAAAAAATTAATGTGTAAATGATTTAATGTGATCTAAATTAATAGAATTTAGTTATAAATAGAAGCAAATATAACTAGAAAAATATAGAATTTTATATTAAGCAAAGAATATATTTTATATTTTCCAATCAAGACTCAAATAACGTAAAATGTTGCAAACCATATATCTTAACGATGTTTTAATCCCCAGTCGATAATACAGTCAATATTATAAACAATGTTCTTACATGAAACATAAAAAAAAATAATAAAAAGAAAAGTAAGTATGGAAGTGTAAGTTGTTTTATCAAATTCACTTTATTTTAATAATTCTAAAATACAAATTGTAGAAACTCAAAATGAAATAATATTCAATATCAATCATTAAAGAATGTTTTTAGAAGTAGTAATGTTTAAATTGCTATTAGTTTTCAATTAATTTGTTTTTTATGAAATTAGTATAAACACTGTATAAATCATCATCAGGTTTCGGTGACGGACTGGAGAATGGGGTAAGACTTACAGGAATAGAAAATTTATTTATTGTTCTTTAATATCACAAGCTCTAGAATGAAACGCGGAAAGGTACTAATTATCAAATAATGTGTATTTGAAGATATATAAGAGTAATTAACAATTAATATAGCTTATGTTTATTTTCTTGAGTTTCAATAATTTATTATTGGTTATTAAAATCATTAGAACATAGAGAATTTGATTATAATATGTTTTTAAATGGTTGGAAATGTTAATCAAACAAAGTCAACCTTGAATCGGTATTATGTCTATTGAAAATAGCGATTTTATAATATTTGAAGCAATTTTTACTGAAAGTGTAATTTCATAATTTTGTCTCTTAAATGTTTCCGTAACTATCAATTTTATCAATCAAATGTATTAAACAATTTTTATTGAGATTTTAAAGTACTTTAATTTTGTATAGAATTAGTGATTTTCCTTCTTTCCTTCCCTACATAAAAACTTGACTCGGGGATCTTCGGGAATTTTACTATCTATTACGAGAAGGGTCCTGAACAATGTTTGACTAAATTTAATTTTTTTTGCTTTTTTTGTATATTGTGGCTACTTATCAATATATAAGTTACTGTAATAAATACGTAGATATATTTATTTATTTTCGAAAACGTCTCTATATTTTTGGAGGTATACAAGACTATACTGAAACCCATCTGGACCTACGGACTTGAACCGCGGGGGGCAACTAAATTTTCGAACATCAAACACATCCAATCCTTACAGTCCTTCGTATAATAGTCAATGCTCCTTATTATGTTATGAACAAAACCTTACATCATGACCTTAACATCCCTTGTGTCCTTGATGTTATTCCATCCCGATTTTCAAATTTCCATTAGAACCTAATCCCTTTGCACAATCCTTATCCAGTCATCCCTATAATCCTCCTCGAAGGTTGAAGCGGCAGTTGCCTCCAGATCTTTTGTAAATAATTCACTGGAGTCCTGGCAATGGCCAGCTTCTCCACTCAAGTCATGAGTGTATGTGGCTTTAATGTCCTCTCTTAGTCTCCACTGGATTCCCATCCTAGTGATGCGGCTGAGAGAGAAGAGATCGCGCTGGGATTTCTTGGAGTCTTTCCTTATCCTCCACACGTGGGGGAAAGGGCCCGACTCGGAGCTCCCTCGGCTGACTGTAAATATTGTAAATAAGTATGAATGTGTTCTTACTTATTTATTTATTTAATATTGTCTCATGTTTGATTTATTCTGTTATTCCAAGTTCTCTTTTCTTTTCTTTTGTTATAACCTTGTTTTTCTTTTATTGTATATATGGTATGTTTGTATTTCATACATCCTAAATACTCAATGCCCTTCATTGAGGCAAAATATATTTTTTATTCTCAATAAAATATGAAGAAAACAAAGTAACAATCTTGGCAGGGTGGCCAACGTGTTAATTACTCCATTTATATTCAGTCTATTTCCATGAAAGTGGGTATGAAACTGACCAATGTGGGTATATAAATTAAATGCCTCACTCGCTCTGTCTTCCTCCTACCTTATGATTTCTTCATTGGCAATGTTCAGTACAGTTAGTCACAGGGTTGAGAGTATGAGTAAAAGCGAATGTTCTCATTTTTGTTCTATCATTTATAAAAAAAAAAAAGAGTAAATTATTTCTTATCAATTCTATCGAAAATGAAACATTTCCTTTAGCATTTATGTTTAAGGAAAAAGACATTGACAATATTATAATTGACTTTACAAATAATTTGGATTTAATAGACTGTGGCTAAAATCTAAAATAATATTACCAGAAATCTAGCAAATATTTTCCCTCAAAGATGCAACACCTTTACACATTAATTAAAAAAGATTAATGGTAATTGTTTTAATTGAATATGTTATACCATCTATTATTTTTATTTTCACTCTCTTACGAAAATCCATATTACTATTCACGGTAGAGTGTTATGTGCAAGTTGTGTGATATGGGCACCCTTAAGATTTTCGTCGGTCCACAAATCTCACTGCTTATTTTTTTTTTTCCGTTCTCCCCTTCCTTGCCAGGGTTTTCCTGGTCCAGGAGGTGAGGGCAGGAGATTAATACCAGAGTTAAAATCTCCCTCGCCACCAAGACTCGAAGTTGTAATTATTTTATTGTTTATAATTTTGGTTATCAGGTTGCTGGGTAAACACAACTGTGCACACACATTAGTCTGCTCGGGTACCCCTTCCATAAAAATATTACTTCAGTGAGATAAATCAAACTTTGTCTTCTTGCCATCTTTCCTGTCCTGATTAATATTTATAATGTTCCCTTGCATAATTCCAGTTTCCCATCATCTTGAAAAAAAGTCATTACCCGTCCACTCTGCAAAGTCCGGGTTCCCTCCGAAGTGTCTGACTACGGACCTATCTATATTCTCTTTGATCTTTGAAAACCATTGGAAAGACCAGTCCATTCACAACTTAATACCTTTCTTGAGCAAAAGGCTCTCCTCAATCTCCTTCATTCTGGTTTCTGATCCCAGCTTTATACACAGTCTACTTTGTTGAAAATTACCTGAGACCTTCAATTCTCAATGAACAAACAGCAAATCTCTATCCTGGTTCTCTTTGATTTCAAAAGCCTTCGACTCAGTTAATCGCGAAATCCTCCTTTTCAAATTCCAAAACCTCTCCATATCAAATAGTGTCTTAGAGTGGTTTCACTCCTTGTATCTCAGATCCCAAGCTGGTTCATTCCCAATAAAACCTTTTGCTTCCTCCTCCCTCTTACTAAATTGATGGTGTTCTTCAGAGATCTTCGCTTTATCCAACTCATTTCTTTGTCTGTATTAATCACCTTCCTGATTTCATCCATTATTCACAATACCATTTATATCCCTACGACTTCCAAATCTACCTTTCCCTCCTTCCTACCGAGATGCTTGAGGCGATCTGAAGGCTAAAAGAAGGTATAGTCAATATTAATGCTTGGGAACTATCAATAATAAGTGCCACTATTAAATATTCAGCTATTTTTCAAAAGGAAATATATGAATGTGAAATGCACTGCTTTCTGTTGAGAATAAAAAATATGCTAAAATTCGAAAAAAAAGTTATTCCACACCAAGAGAAGTGCCCTCGTCTATAACAAAAGACAAAGTGTGTTTAAAGGACCTCAGGAGGTACATCAAGCAGGGTAGAGATTTCTGCATATAGGTGGCAATCATCCTTCAGGAAAGTGTCTGATGAAGAGAGAATACCTGTGATCACATCCAGTTATTGTAAACCATATGCTCCCTGGATATCTTCAAGAGAACTAAACACCTGAAGGGAACTAAACAGTCACAGCTGCCACCTATAACAGTCCAAAGCTGCTAGAAGACTCATGGTGGAAGCCGAAAGTCAAGAGGCATAAGAAAAATAAAAAGGTTTCATCATACTGCAGTTAAATAACAAATATTTAAAAAACAAATCAAATATTTTTCGTTAAAATAATTCCTTGTTTTATTGCAGACGGCCCCCATCTAAATAGGGTTAGCACAGTTCGTACTATTCATTTTTCTATTTATTCTTCTAATATATTTGTTTCAGGTTTTCTCTTATTTCTATTAATTTATTATATATAAATAATAAAATATTATTGATTACTTTTGCATAATTAATTTGAGTATTGATTGAAAGAAATATATTTTCACAGGCACACGTTCAACAATGGATAACTATGAACAGTGTAATTTAGGTCGTGTGAAGGCAAATGCCATTGTAGCTAGAGGAGGATATGCTTATAACAGAACTGAAATAAATGCATACTTAAATCTTTTTGTGTATGCTCAACAATTTTATGGAAGAAAAGATCAAGATGATTTTAAGTGAGTATAAATCAAAAATATTTGATCATATTATTAGGACCTTGATAAAGTTGTCACTGTTTTTAATTTTAAATTAATGCTTCATTTATAGTAAGTTAAAAAACATGTCACTCAAAGTATTGCTCATCACTAGCGGTTACTTTCTTGCATCTTTCAGGCTACATACAATTTGAGCATTATTATCATGTAATAAAATCACCTTGTCATGTGTCTGTTCATAAAGTGGCTGTTTTTTGCTGTAGGATTCGGATCGTACACATTAATTGTAATTGATAGCGATCTCCTATGATAGTTTCTTTCAAATTGAGCAGCTTATAATAAATTACATTGTGCTGATCCTACCGCATGCAGTGGAGAAGCTTTGAATCATAGATATTTGGCTTATTGGGTGATGTTGAAGCATGGCCATGGGACTCTTCCCACAATATTTTTAATTTGGGTTATCTTACTGTATCCATTTTTCATCCCCAGTTAATGAACAGAATCATTAACAGTAATTAAATAATTAGAGAATTAAAAGCACTCATTAAGAAATGATATAATTAGAGTTAATTAACAGAGGTCGTATTATATTGTATATTGTTGACCATTTTAGATTTTATATTAATTTGATAATTGGAACTATTTTAACTGTCTGATCTTTACTGAATATGATTTTTAATTTATTCTTAAGACTGTTGTTATATCTGTTATGTAGTATAAAAAGAAATTTGTATTTCCATAAGGATAATAATGTTTGTTATTTTGTAATAGACTCTATTTGTATAGGGTTCTTCCCTTAAAACAAATAAAGATTAAAAAAAAATATCTAGGCTCTACACAGAATGAGGAATATCTCAAACCACCATGTGCAAATGATCCCATAAAGCCAACTCAAGTCGCAAGGAATGCATAAAGGATTAGTAAAAGTAACTATTGACGTAAATAGTAAGAACAAAAACATTCTTATAGGCTTAATTATGAGAACTGGAATTAAGGATTGTGTTCGTGCACAAGCATTTTTGTAATAATCTTGTAAAAGTTAGACTCTAGCCAAAGTATCCCTTCCACTTTGAATCCATGAATGAAGGTCTCATCTCCGAAAACAAGAATGGCCTAGAGTAACTAGATTCTTTTCATTGATGAATCATGGAATTGTGTTTGAAATGGTTCCGTTCCCAATTTTCTAGCCTCCTTAGAAAGTTATGGTTCTTTGTTATTGTGTGCCGATTGGATATGGCTTATTATTTATTTTATGTGGACAATCAAAATTTTGTTGGCATTCGTTTCTATTTTTATTATTTATGTTAAAACAGTTTACATAAAGTTACTTTAAATTATCCCACACAGTAAGTTACAGGATTGTACTGTATTTATTTCGGTTAAGTCAACGTGTTTCAATATTATATAGGTTGGCTACTGGCGTATAGCTCGTTTTTCTGTTAAATTTTCAAACAGTATAATGATTTTTTGAATCCACTACAGAAACAAAAATTTTTAACAATGGATAATTTTTTTTAGGTTAAAAGAGCAAAAAAATAAAATTAAAATAAATGTAATCAAAGTTTTCCGCAGGAGGTAAAACCAGAAATCTAGATTGGTCAACATCTCAATTAACGTGCTACTTCCAACAGGAGCATGAATATTGAATATTTAATAAATGTTAAAAGATAATAACAGTTCAAGAATAACTGTTCCATTATCTGGCACTGTGACCGTTCCAACAAAAATATCGGTCGATTCAAACTGTGACTGCTTTCTTAGTCATCAATTAAACGGTATGTTTACGGGAAACGAAGTAATGCTTATCCTGGGTGAATGAACCTTATATCTAGATGAACATTAGTGGAGAGCTTTGCTTGCACTACTGAATCAACTTCTTGGACTCTTAGCTTCTTTTGCCCAAGTCCGAGCCCGGTTTAAGGCAGGTAATCTATTTTTTTATAGAAAGATCCTCATGGATAATAATTTAACTCTATCAAGTCTATACTTGATCCTTCAATACTTTAGGTACTTACATGATACGATGCAAAAAATGTCATCTCTTATAGCACCCAATGCCCTTACTTCTGAATCATTCCTAATGCTTTCAAACATTTTGTCATTTATTATTAATGATTTTCAAAGTTCATCTAATGTCATACATGGATCTTAACGATGTAATTTCTCCAATTCTTTGTCTTTTTAACTCCTTTCTCCTAACTCCAAGAGCATTCTTTATCTCCAAAATTAAATAATCATTTTTAAAACATTGATGATGTTGTCTTTCCCACATTATTTACCATACAGGAGAAGATTGATGTTAAAATTGTTCCTGATTCTTATGCCTATCAAAAAAGGAATATAGTCCACAGGCAAAGATTCTTTAACACATTTTTTTAAAAATTTGGATTTACCTAATTCTTTTATCGAGATCCTCAATTACCATACTTGTTAACTTGTTTTATTATTAGGACCTTGAATAAGTTCTTGCTGGTTCCTAACATATGGCAGCATCATTACTATGTGCATTTCATTTCATATGTTAACACAATTTTGCAAGAACTACTGTTTGTAAGCTTGGGCTTCAGTGTATGTTAGTTAACCACAGTGTAAACAATTTATTTTTTTGTAGTTCTATAAATGCAGAGTCGAGTTCATGTCAATTACTAAAATAGATAAAAATTGATAAGATTAATAAAAATTTGTACCAATTATTAAAATAGTGCAATTAAATACCCTGTAGGTACTCTTTAGTTGGCACCAAACTATTAAAATATATAGCTGGTACAACTTTTTGTTTTTTAACTAGTTTTCACATACACACAGACCATTTTGCGAGATTTGGTTATTTGGATTCAGGAGATCTCAAAACTTGTATTTCTATTAACAACTTGGATTTGAATTTTTTTCAAAAAAACGATCACAACATTTCCCTATATTATTTATTTCATATAGAGGTAAGTAAATAAATTCAGGCAGACATTTTATAGCTTCATTACCTTTCAACATGGATCCAACAGCCTTTGGAGGCCCTTTGAATGTGCAATAAAAGATTTTTTAAATAGTAAAAAAATGTTGATTTAAAGTAAAAATATTCTGGAATTCATTGGTGAATATATTTATGTAGTGCATATGGCAATGATAACATCAAATGCAATTCAATGTTGCCCTCTCGACTGCCTTATATGTAGTGTTCAACGGTTCTTTTGAAATAAAAAATGTTTTTGATATCTTTATGTCCTATTTTCTGATGTATGGTATTAAATTTGATATTTGAAAAATATACCGCCAAACATTTGTTATTTTGGAACACAAATTTATAAATGATACTCTGGTCGGATAACCCAGAATTGCTTATAAACATAGTATTTTAAAAAATCCAAAATACAGAATGTGGTAAGCACCATTTTTGGCATTTACGTTTTTTGGCCAATAAAGTTGAAATATTCTCGTGGACCAAACTGCTTTATTTAAAGACTTTAAAATTTAGTTTCAATATCAGGAAAAAGGTCTGAAATAAAAGAGGGAACACCTCTTCAATCATATTTATGATTTGGGAATCATAAGAAGCAAGATTATAATATATTAAAATCATGCACATTCATTTTCTTAGGCAATTTCAAAATTAACAAGGAATTGTCAATTACCTATTAAAGACAAATTATTGACATTAAATTCATATTTAGAGGAAAAATTGTTATGTCTAATTGTTAACTGACAGTAGAATTTCTGTCTCATTTTCTAGTCTTTTAAGTTGATCCTGGTTTTGTTTGTAAACATTTAGATTTTAAATTTACCATCATTTGATTTGGACGAAGAAAAATATTTTGTATATACAAGCATTAGTATTAATGCTGAGAGTGCTCTGAACTCCTAAATATTCTATTAGTCCCACTGATCCATACTGAATGATAAGTGTCTAAGTAGAACTAAGCGAAAGTGGAGGGATCGGGTTAAGTATGGGATGGTAGATAGAAGTATGTAGACAGTGATTAAATGTTATTGTCATTGAACCTTCGGGTCATGTCTTGAATATTATTTTTTGCCTGTATATTTATATATTTATTTTCTTTCTAGCTTTGCTATGTTTTCTTCTGCACCTCCATATGCTGATCTCATATTCCAAGATGCAACTACGCAACTTCAAGTCATTCCTGAAGAAAAAAGATGGTTTTCGGATTACCTTGGAAAAGATTTTATGAGAGCAAAAAGGCTGGTGGATTGTTATGCAGGATCAACCCAAATTATAGGATCCATGTCACTTATCATTTGCATGATGTTAATTTTATTCTATTCTGAAAGCTGACATAGATTAGCTTTAATTTAATTGCTTTAATATATGTTTGTTTAGTTGAGTTAATAACAATAACTCTGTTCAGTAACTTCTGATAAACACAATGATTGCCTCATTTAAAATGAGAAATGTGGATGCCATTCCATTTACTTAATATTATTAAATTAAATTAGTTTCCTCATGTTTGTTACTCAGTTTGCCAATATGTAAATCTTGTATTTGCATTCCTAATTCGGATCATAACACTTCTAAACTTGAAGTATAATAATAGAAGATTAAAACCTTACTTACTTAACCTATAATAGGTTAGTTACATCAGATAGATTTTAAGTCAATGCTTAATACAAATCTTTTTATATCTATTCAGCTCAAGGATCTAAAATTCATTGTTAATTCATATGTCTATATAAAAGCCTAAGGAAATAATCTGCTAGTGGATTATGAAAAATTATTGATATGAGTATCCAATTCTTGTGCTGACTGTACTCAATCTAGTGTCTTAAAGTTGTTCTGAAGAAAAAGTTAAGCATGGGCATATCAAAGAGAGGGCAGTGAACTCCCTCTCTCCTTCAACTTAAAAATAATTAAAAATAAAATAGCAACAATTATAAACAAATTCTGAAAAAGTGATTTTTTCGGAGAAAAATTAATTGTTAGTACTTCTGCATTTTAAAATAAAATAATTATGTAAAATAGACACCATTTGTTTGAAATAAATTAAATTAAAAAAATTACCCTCTCTTGACACAAATTGTCTTGAGCTCCAGCTACGCCTTTGCTGTGAGGTTAATGTTATTTATAAGATTTTATTTTTTAATAATTTAATGAATCTATTAAAATTGTTTTAAAACATGTGATATACTGTAACCAACTATTCACATTGCTAAAACCCATTATCACTGATTTTTGTAGTATTATTTCCATGTTAAGATAAATTTTTATTATAAATAATTATTCCACCAGGCAGCAATAACATTTCTAAGTTTGAATTATTGTATACAAAATTTAAGTGTCTTTTTTTATACATTAAGAACTTTAACTTTGTTAAATTAGAAATTTAAGTTTGTAATTATATTTTAGAACTTTAGATCTGATATTGTATGTAACGTAAATAATATTTATGTAGGATCTTATTAATATAAGATTATTTATTTTATGAGTTTCAACATGAATAAATGCTTGAACAAATATTCTAGTAACCTATGCAAGATTTACTCATTTATAAGTATGTTGTAGGTTATCAAATTTAAAAGACTTATTTGAAGTATTAATTTTATATATGTTCAATTGGTTAACAATTTTTCATTTATTAGACACAGTCAAGTGTCCATTATCATCAAGTCCGTCCTGATGGCTGTGCTTTGACCATTTAAATGTTATCTTCATGTTAAAACTATCTTTGAGCTTAACTTATTTATAAACACTTATGACAACACTAAAAAGAAGTTATTATTTTGATGAAACATAATGATGTATTATTATTAATATTAAGATATATATATATTGTTATAGCTGTATTTTTCTAATTGAGTAGTTTAGAATTACTTTAGTTTTTTTAATATTTTTACTTATTACAGATTAAAATAAATAATGATCAATTGTTTTTTTTTTCCTTCTTCCTGTTAAGCAATTTATACCACCTTATTGTATTCACCTTCTTTGTCGAGCCCCTGCCTATCGCTGTTACAATATTGGGGTTCCCTTAAGGAGCTTACATCATATCTCTCTCACCAATTCTCATCTCACCTCAAGCAAATGCTTCCTTTATGCCTTCCTCCCATCTTCTGCTTGGTCTTCCACCTCTACGACCATCCACCTCCTTACAAGTTGCTCTGACTATCCTACTTTCATCCATCCACGCGACATGTCCCGCCCAGCGTGCATCTTGCCAGTACGATGAATTGACTCACATCCAGGTCATTAAACAATGTCTTTATTTCCAAATTCGTTCTCCTCCTCCTATTCTGTGGTGTTTCCTGGACCCCTCCAAATATGCGTCGTATAATCCTCCTTTCAAATCTGAGCAGGGATTTCTCAACTGCTTTAGTTAAGGTCCAACTCTCACAGCCATATGTGAGCACTGGTCTAATAAGAGTTTTATATATTCTTATTTTCACCAGTCTTGACAACATTCTACTGCGAAGATGTCTCTGGAGGGAGAAATAGCACCGATTAGCCACTGCGATCCTCCTGTCTATCTCACAATCAATGTTATTTTGTGCATTTATCAATGAACCAAGATATACGAATTCGTCAACATTCTCGATTCCACGCTGTTCCAGCCATGCTTGGTTTTCCCTTGTTAGACGTGAGGATAGGGTGGACATATATTTTGTTTTGGACGTGTTGATAATAAGACCGATTTTGACTGCCGACTCTTCCAGACTTGTAAAAGCTTCCTGTACTGCCGCAAACGATCTTCCCATTATATCAATGTCGTCCGCATATCCAAGTATTTGAGTCATTCGATTTAGGAGGGTTCCTGTAGTCTGGATACCAGAATCTCTTATGATTTTTTCAAGGGTGAAGTTGAAAATCAGACATGCCAGAGCGTCTCCCTGCCTTACACCTGTCGATGTTCTAAATCCCTTTGACAAGTCACCTTGTACTCGTACGAAACACTCATTACCCTCCATTGTCATTCTAACAAGCCTTACAAGTTTTTTTGGTACATTCATTTCTACCATTGCTTTGTATGCTTCCTCACGATTTATGGAACCATATGCTTGCTTGAAATCAATGAAGATGTGATGTGTACCAATTTGATATTCTTTGGTTTTCTCCAGAAGGATTCGCAAGGTGAATATTTGATCAATGGTTGATTTACCCTTAATGAATCCGGCCTGGTATTTTCCGATTTCAGCCTCGGCATAAGAAATGATTCTTCTATAAAGAATCCTTGAAAAAATTTTATATGCGGTGGGTAGAAGGCATATGCCCCTGTAAATATTACATTGATAGACGTCCCCTTTTTTGTACACTGGGCATATAATGGATTTTTTCCAATCACTTGGAAGCTCTTCATCAACCCAAACGGCATGAAACATTTCCTGGAGGAGTTTTATGAGCTGTTGACTACCATGTTTATAGAACTCTGCAGGGATGTTATCAATGCCTGGGGCTCTATTGCTTTTTAGTCCTTCTATGGCTTCATTGATTTCTTCCTCGTCTGGTGGTTCTACGTCTTCCCCACCTGTAATTGGATCATTTGCCTCTGAGACATTTGTGCCATTTCTGTTAAGAAGAGTTGAAAAGTATTCAGCCCATCTGTCCGAAATGCTTTGTTTATCAGTTACCAAAGAACCCATCGTTTGCTCTGCATCCTGTGGTACGGGCGATGAAGGGCTTTCTTCCTTTATTAATAACCTGGAAGAATTCTCTAGTATTTTTGGAGATGAAGGCTTCTTCTATCTCCTGTAGACTCTTATTCTCCCATTTTCTTTTCTTCCTCCTAATTTTTTTTATATTACATTAGACAATTCTTCTATGAGGATAATTCACTAGTAAATTAGCTTCATATAGTCTAACCAAAACCTTACCTAATCGCTGACAGTGCTCTTCCGTGCTTCGCCTACTCTTGCCCCCTTATTGACGGCCCCTCAAAGGTTGATGGAGGGTCAAACAGGAGTTGTCGCCTAATATCTGGTCGCACACCCTTTAAAAATGCAGCCGTAACGATATTTTCGTAATGACCCCTAGCTCAGCTGGCTTCTACTGACAACGATTTTGGAGTTGCTAGCTCTCCTAACCTTCGGCACATATCGGCGTACTCATGCACTCCTTCTCCGGGCATTTGTTCTACAGAATTTAACTGGAATAGTCGCTGTTCGGGTGTACAAAATCCTTTGAAACGCTTGCGAAGTATTGTCGCTATCTGATAAAATCGAACAGTGGATTCTGATAATTCTGGATGAGATGCAACACATCCCTTCGCGGGTCCGGTTAATTTTAATCGACAAATAAGCACCTTCTCCTGTTCGATCCAACCCCCCGTAGAAGCTACCAGATCAACATGTCTTAAAAATGTATTTACATCATCATCATCATCATCACTTAACCCACCCCAAGGTTGTACTCCACACCATTAGTAATTTATCATACATTATAATTAGTTTAATAAAATTAGCAATATGTTTTCTCATTTTACACAAAAAAATAAATCAAAAGATGTTTACTTTGAGGGAAGTGTGGGAATTAGCAATGAGTTAAGTTGTTCATTATTACATAAAACTGGTTGAGTCTAAGAGATTTAGCTATTAAATAACAAGACTGATGCTATAAAACATTTTATTTTGATTCTATTCATATTTATTTAATATCACCTTCAATACACATTCCTCTATTCCTACAATGTGAACCTTTCATTATCTGAAACAGTGCTAGAAGTCATCTTATGTCAGCTCATTCAGGATGCTTGCCACTTTCCCTTTGACAGCTCATTCAACTGATTCAAATCCTGTTTCTTTTATTGTAGATTTCATCTTAGGAAACAGGTAGAAGGCCCAAGGTGCAAGACCTGGTGAATGGTCTAGCACTAGGATGCTGTACTTGGCTAGAATCAGACAATGTAGAATAAGCCGATGCATTGTGTTGGTGAAAAACACATGACTTGTCCTTCCACAATTCTGATAATTTTTTCCTTATTCTTTCAAAGAGTTCACCAAGGACATGAATGTAGTAATGTTAATAAATAGTCTGACTTTCAGGAACCCAGTGAAGGTGCACAATCACATGAATATCGAAAAAAAAAAAAAAAGTTTCCTTATTTTACAGCTGCATCTCATATTATGTAAATTTACATTGGCAAGCGCATGATGACTGAATGGTCTCTGATGCAGCACTATACTTTCATCTCTTGTGATCACCAGATTGTAAGTGTATTACAAAATGTTTCTAACAACCAATTTCTTTAAGAGTTTAAGGAAATCATGTACCGATAATCAATTCAAGCATTGATCTATCCATTACAACTGATAAAATTAAAAAAACAAAGATCATAACTTTTCTGGAAAAATAATACTACAGGACAATAATAATAAAAAATAATTTGGAAGAACACAGTTTTTAAAAACATTTATTAAATATTAAAAAACAGTATAAAATTTTTAAATTTACAAGTTATTTTTTTTTTGTAGAAACAATCATAGGCCTTTCCAAAGTAATCCTTGAAATTGTGTTTACATATGTATCCAATTTTTTTTGCAGCCGGTCCCCTATCTATAACAAAAATAATAAAATATTTACTTTTAACTATTAATTTTTATGGGAGGAATAAAGAAAAAAAAGATTAAATCTTACATTATAATGTTTTAGCTCTAGAAGTAAAATATCTATAGTTTGTAAAGGTAGACAAAGGGGAGGAGATGAAAGATGCAGTGGAAAATCAATTGAAAAATGTTCTCTACCAATCCCAAGAGCTGCATTTAAGTATTCACATGCTAGCTCCTCAGCTTCTTCCAAATATCCATGTTGAACAAACAGGCGAAGCAATTCTGAGCTATTTCTTTTCTTAAAAAAAGAAAAAACAATAATGGAATAGTAATAATAATAATAGTAAATAATAATAATAATTTAACCATCAAATTATCTGAAATAAAGAATTTTTAATAATTATACAATGCTTTTTAGTGTCTCATTTTTATAAATAATCTATCGTTAATCAATCAATGCTAATAAGAAACAAACCAAGATATAGATGATAGAAGAAAAGACAATTTCTTTGAGGTTGTAATCTTGAAGATTCAGGTTGAATCGTTAAGTAGGCTAAACCTCGAGATTATTAAATAAAGTATACCTATACTATTTTATTACTTTTTTTTTATGTTACCTTATAAGATTGAAGAAGCCAAGTAGGAATAAACAAACCAACAGTTAAAAGTTGGTTAGCAGAAGCCCGATGAAGCACTGTTTCATTTTCTTTTTCATACTTCAAAATACATCTTTCTAAAATCCTCCATAACATTTCATTTGCATTAGATTCAGTTATAATAATATCTGAAACAATTTATGATGAAATAATAATTAATACAAATAAAATAGTGTAGGAGTACAACTAGACTGATAAACAAAAATTAAAATGACTGTTCTAGTAATATTAAACAGAACTAATGACTGCTCAATCAAAGACACCCATCGTGCAATTGAAGGATAAAGAAGTTTTTATATACATAACGTACTTGACAGAGAGCTGGGGTACAAAAGATGGATTTAATAATACGCATCCAAAATCGTTTGGACAGCTTCATACATCCTACAAGAACAGACTAATGATGATAAGCGTAGCCAGTTATTATTTATTATAAACTAAGAAGCAGGAAAGTGGAATTAGCAGTTCCAGTGAAATTTTTGTGATACTAAGCCAAAAAACATACACAAATTTTGATTAGCTTTAAATAAACATTAAAATCAGAATTTAACTGCTTTATAATCCTTTATATATATTAAATACCTGGTTGTCAGGAATTTCATTACTTAACCATGTTTCATTAAGAAATGAACAGACTCCTGATAAACTTTTATTAACTCTAAACTAAATTTTATCTTTATCGCTTGATGATATGACACTTGATTTTAACCATTAATTTGAATGACTTAAAATAATTGACGTTACTGGTAATTTTTATTGCCAAGGTCAATTAGTTTTTAAATTGTTTGATGTTTTATTATTTTCTGATTATCCGGCTTCAATAAAAGACCAATTATGACAAAATTAAGCCAACTGATGAACCTCAGTGAACGAAAAAACCAACTCGAATCACAGGAATCAACCCATCATGTTTGGACGCCATTTTAGGATAGTGTGGCCACTTTGTTTTGTAGGAACATTGGCTTTTTTAAATAAATAGTTAAAATAAAAGGAATGTAAATGAATTTTATAGGGATGTGACAGTACTGGTGGAGCAGTGGCGTGTAACAGAGTTTGGAACAGTGACAGCCTGTTCCACTCATTAGGACCTTACCGGTCCAGTGACAAAAGTCTTCTTATCCATCCCTTTATTTAATTTATGAATATATTAATATGTTATATATTATATTTACTAACCAACAGTCCTATTGTCCATTAATTAATTAATAAGTAATAGGTTTATTGCAAATAAGACATTTCATTACATTAAATAATAAAGTAATATCCTTTATGGAATTATAAAATTGTGAGCTTGTTGTAACTGAGTTCGAAATATATAAACAGATTTGTGTCATATCCATACATTTACATTGATTTTATATTGAAAAGTAAAGTCGAAATTCACAAAAAGCATATTTGAAAATTAACTTAGATCAAAAATTCACTTCGTATATTTATAATAAACTGGCGATATATATAAGTATCCATAAATCATATTTGTGAATATTAAAAGAATGTGATTTGTTTTGTTGAATCTCAATATCCACAGAAAATATGTATTGTTAACAGATGAGAAACTAGTATTTTTTTAAACTAGTAGTGGTTTGGAAAGGACACACGGCCGGAAAGAAAAGATTTCCATGATGCTTAGGCCCAGGCTAAAAGAATCATCAGGTCTAAGAAAAGAAAATGGATGAATGATAAGCTTCAGGAAATAGAAGAAGCTAGAAGCAATGACCAGAAAATTCTACAAGGAGGTCCAGCAGCAGAAAACAGGGATTAGAAAAAATAACAGTTATTATTATTAGAGGTAACAGAAACAGAGCTTCAAGAACACTGGAAGAGACACTTTCAGACACTCCTGAAATCTGAGCACAGCGTTAAAGTCATGAGCTCAGTAAATTATGCGAGTTTTAGCAATGGAGATGAAGATATTCAACCAGAAAAAGAGGCAATTGAACTTATTCTAATGTGAAGAAACTAAAAAGCAACAAGCCTCCAGGACAAGATGAAATATATCAGAATTATTAAAAGTGGCAAATGACACATTAGCCAGTGAGATACATTGCCTAATCTCATACATTTGGCAAGTAAAAAGGATGCTGAAAGAGTGGTCAGAATCAATAGTCGTTCCACTTTGAGGGGCAGGGTGGCCGAATGGGCTAACGAGTGTGCACAGCACAGAGAGTTGCCAGGCCATCAGATAACCGAAATTATGAGATTAAAAATGTACGAGTTCACGTCCCGGTGGCGGAGAGGATTTTAAATTCCCCGCCCTCACCCTCCAGCTCAGGAAAATTCCATATAGCCTAAAAAAAGGCGAGGTAGGGAAGAACAAAAAAAAAAAACAAAGATGGGGCCAATTATTAGCATATGATGATGATGTAGTGATAGCTGGAAGGTGTTTCCTTGATATCAAAGATGCGTTTGAGAAGAAGGAAAGGGAGGTCAGGCCAAAAGATTTGTCTTGGAGATTAATGAAGAAAAGACCAAGATTATGGTTTTGAGAAAAAAGGAACCCAGGGGTATTATAAAACCGATCAATCAAGTTAAGACTTTATAAGACACTAATCAGACCAGTCCCAACATATGAATGTGAGATGTGGCAAATTAAAAATAAGTAGCTTAGAAGATCGATATCTTTGAACATAAAATATTAAGAAAGAAGATGGTTCAGGTTGGCGGTCATAAATAGACTGATTAGTGGCAAAACTATTTTATTAAAAGCGATCGTTTCGACACGACTTTGCAAGTCTTCCACGACACTCGAACTATTAGTGCTACAATAAGTACAATTACCTGTTAGATCAATGAGAGTTCAGCCATTTAACACTATAAAGGAATTAAGTTCCATAAATTCAGTTAATATTTTCGAATACTTAATAGATGACAGTGATATTAATGAGGAAGGAGTGAGAATTGTCTTGAATTGAGATATGGTCCGGGGTGAGAGTCATATATAAATTAAATAGTGGCAAAACTATTTTATTAAAAGCCAACGTTTCGACACGACTTTGCTGGTCTTCTTCAGGTGTAGAACGGACAAGATACAAAAAGATATAGAGAATTGTGTAAGTTACATAATATTTAGACAAAAATTATAAACAATGTGAATAAACTTATTAAAATCATAAATAGTAAGTACATTAAAGTATAAACAGAGTAAGCTAAGTAACAATATCCTAAACTGAAGTAAATATTTTTTTAATTTAAGGTGTAGTTTGTTAATTATTTTAATTTGTTGATAATTAAATTTAAGATTTTAATTTGTAATGTACAGTTAGTCATATTTTACAGGGTTGATTGTTGTGTTGGGCATTATGGTGATTATTATGAGTATATTATAGCCTTATTCATAGAAAAATGCTAAGTTTTAATTATTAAGCTAATGAACTAGATGAACAACAATACACATAAATTAAAAGGACTTCAATGTGTAGAATTTAGCCAAATTTCATTAAAATTGTTACAGCTGTTTGGATTCTACTCTTTAGCGACAGTCATTTATCTGCTTCCCTTTGAAAACTAAAGGCCGGGTCGTAATGATATGTATATAAAGACACTCCTGAATTTTATTGCAACATTGTATAAAAATTTCAAAGCATTTGATGACGATGAAAAACTTTTAGAGTTAGCAGTTTCGAACAAACTAGCATTTATATTTTTAGTTTTATTCATTGTTTCCAATTTTTTTTTATTGATAACACTAAAGCTCATCAATAGCAACGGAACAAAATAAAAAAATCGCTTGAGAAAGAGGATAAAAAGGGACTGAACTGTTTTTTTGTCTTTGCCATTTATATAATGATTCGTCCCAATTGACATCAAACCATTAACCATCAATCATAATTGCAATATCAGCTTTAAAGTAATAACAGTTCTAGAAAAAATGATAATGATAAAAATAAGAAACATATTTGGTGATTGGTTCATCACATGGATAAATATCACACAAATAATGGGTAATGGCAAGAACAAATCCTTTTTAACTTTGAAAGAAAACTTCTTAGGAACAACACACACAAAATTCAGTCAGTACATTCACTAATACATCAGCATTTCCAAATATCTTAATCCATGCCAGTCACAAGTGAAATGATTTTGATAAATGCTTGCCACCAGTGGAAGGCCAAAGTCTGAATATACAGGATTATAATTTTTTTTAAATTTACTTATTCCCACATTAAAAATTAATCAAAAACATAACATATCTAGCAAAATATGCTCATTATCTTATAACGTATCATAGATGATACAAGAATTCTCTCATATTTGTAAATTGATATTTGCAATAAGTATTTAAAATATATATTTAATTTTAGATGAAGACAAAAGTTGTTCTAATATTACGCAGCCGGTTTCGTTCTTTTATCAGACCTTTGAATATGCAACTTATAAGAGTCTACAATATAATAATATTAATGTTAAAGATTTCAGAACAATTACATATATAGGTTCTGATATTTATAAAATTAATAGTATTTTTAAAAGATACAAAAAAATTGTGGCCCTTAAACCTCTTACAAGTTTAAAAAACATGGTTTCTAGGATTAAAGATTGAGTTGATCCTTTATATAAGAGTGGGGTCTACTCGATAGAATGTTCATGATCTGCCGTTTATATCGGGCAGACGGTAAGAAAACTAAAAAACAGAATAAAAGAACACCTCCCTGGTTCAGGCCATACATCACATTTTAAAGATCATTTTTTAAACTGTTCACACCCACAAAAAAGTAACAAGGTAAAACTGTTGCATGCCATTTCAAAAGGAAAAATAATGGACTTTTTTGAAAAATTAGAAATTAAGAAAAAGATTATAAAAAATGATGTAATATGCCTCAATATACAAAGTACTCAATTTGAGGATTCTGTACTCCTCTTAACATAAAAAATTAGTGGCGGCAAATTAAAACAATACGTAGGGTTAAAGATAGCCCATCTGGTCAATAGTTTTATATTTATATTTTAGTCCTCATTTGACAAGCAGGAGACCATCAGTTGGGTGTTTACCATTTATATTGATTAATTTATTAAGATTTGATTTTAAATTGTTAAATTTTAAATTAGGTTTTATTAATACTTACAAAAGTTTTTATCATTGTTATTAATGTTATTATTTTATTTAGTGACCTTTATGGTATGAAGGTCTGATAAAAGACAGAAACCGTTTGCACAAAAGTGAAAAATAAATGGAATATACAGGAAGACAACGTATATTTTTGTAAAATTAAATTTCAATCCTGTAACATCAAGCTACAATTAAAGAAAAGTTGTTCTATTATATATAAACTAAACTTAAAGTAGAACCCAATCACTACATTATTTTGCAATAACATCAACTTCATAAAAATTATCAAGCAAGATATAAAATGAGTTATAAAAACAAAAAAAAAAAAAAACACTCAAGCTATAGATAAAAAACAATAGTTCTAGACTATATGGAAAAAATAAAAATAAATATATACCATCAATTTCATTTGCTTTCAACCAATGCCAGGATATTGATTGTTCAGAGAGAGCTGCACAACTAGCTGTGAAAGCTTGAATACAAGGTGCACAAGAAAGTTTGCACATATTAGCTAGCCGAAGTGCTGTTTTGTATAGTTTTTGGGTGACACATAATGCAATTACCTCTTCCTGAGAAGCATCTAGAAAACATAAAAATCTAATTTAGGTCTTTAAACGTGATATAATTCAACAATTATGCAATTATAGATTAAGAAACAGTATAATTACGTATTCAGTAACAATATCACAGCCGAAAGAAAGATGAATGACAGTGATAAATTTTTATACTAATATTAATATAATTTATTAATGGAAAATACATACATAAAAATAAAGTTTTTCAGAATTAATGCCAAAATTATTTATTCATTTTTACTTTCACTTATCTGTATATGAAATATATAGCAGGGGAAAGTATTGTGATCTTGAAAATTTTCGAATCTGAGATTTTAATGGAAATACACATTTTGAGATCCCTTTAGTCCAAATAACAAAGTTTTGTAAAATGGTCTGTGTGTGTGTATATATATAAACAGTCTAGCTCAAAAAAGAAAAGTTGTACAATAGAAATTGGGTATTTAAGACTTCTATATGGCTGGGATGATACAACAAATTTTTCATCAAAAGTTAAAAATGGCTAACCGGAAGTACTTCTTTATATAATTAGTTTTACACACTTTTACAATTTTCTCGAACAATTTTTATTAAATTCATTAGGTCAATGTATTATTAAGTGGTTTTTAATTTAAGGGAAGTTTTAGCTTCATTGGTGCAGTCTGAGCTTAAATACCAAATTTTCAAAATTTCTTCCTCCAAGTACCTCTGATTTTATATATTTGAAATAATTAACCATTTTACATTACACCTGGAATAAAAAATGGTTAAACATATACTATGAATGAATGTGATAATTTCCTGTGTGAATGCGAGCTTCCTGGGAATTCCTAATTTGAGCATTATTTTCAGTAGTTCCTTCTTATCAACACTTTCATATGCCTGCTTAAAATCAATAAATATACTATGGAGGTCAACATTAAACTCATATCTCCTCCTTTAAAGAATCTGCCTAAACGAAATCTGGTGGATAGTTGATCTTCCAGGCTTGAAAATATACTGACAGTTTCCCAGTATCAGTTCAGAGCACTTTATCAGCAGCTGTTTAGTAATATAGAAAATACCTTGTAGGCTGTCTTTAATAGTGCTGTCCCTTTATAATTATCACAAGAAAGCTTGCCGTCTTTTTTTGTATGGGGCATATCGCTGCTATTTTCCACTCTTCAGGTACTCTCTCTTCAAACCAAACATCCCATACCAGTTGGAATATTAAGCTTTTTAGTTCATTCCCTCCATTTTTTAGGATGTATGAATGTATGACATCAATACCATGTGCCTTGTTCTTTAATTCACCAATTATTTCTTTATTTTCTCCTTGTTTTGGCGGCTCTACTTCTTCATACCGTTTTCAGAGGACACCCAGTTGGTATTTCAGCTGCTTAATTCTTTCCTATTTATCTTGGTGCTTGGGTTCTACTAGAATTTCCCTGAAATTTTCTGCCCATCTCTGTAATATTTGAACAGGCTTACTAATTATGGTCCCCTCTTTTGACTTGCTCTCTTGAAGTGTTGTTTGGATGGTGAGGTGACCTCTTTTTATTTCCTTTATGCCTTTATAAAACTTTCTTGCGTTCTTTGAGCTATGGTTATTATGGAGATCCTCTAACTGCATTTTTAACCAAATTATTTTTTTCTGACAGCAGATTTTCTTGGCACTCCTCCTCCTGGCAGAGTACTCATCTCGGCTTGCTGTAGTCATTTTCAGCTGTGCCTCTTGGTTTGCTGTCAGGGCTTGATGAAATTCTAAACCAAACTAACCGCACTTACTCTCTTTATTTTTCCTTCTTAGTAGCTCATCTACTGCATGCACCAATCTGTTTTTGATTGATGGTATTCCACTTGGAGGCTATATCATTGCCATTCATTTGATCAGAGGCACCTTCTAGTTCTTCAGAAACCTTCTCAGAGATCCTTTTCTACGTTCTTCTTCTTTCAGTTTATATGCTTCTTTTTTCACTTACATACTCCTGTAGCATTCCAACAGCTGCTCGAGATCATAGAGATATTTTATGTTCAAAGGAAGATGTTACTAAGAAGTGATCTATGTCCTAGTCTGCACTTCCATAACTATGTACGATTTCATGTTTGATTTATGTCTATTATGTATTAGTATGTGGTCTATTTGATTTTTAGTGTCTCCATCTGATGATATCCAGATTTCTTTATGGATATCCTTATGCTTAAAATGTGTACCCATTATCTTGAAGCCATTTTCTGTAGCGAAGTCTATTAGCCTTAGTCCATTTTGATTTGATTCATGGTGTTTGCTTTGCAGAATGATTTTTATATTATGTCCTGGGATTTCTTCTAATTCACTTGTGAGGATCCCTTAGAAATCGTCTTTAACATTTTTTATGTAGGATTTGTCAATTCAACATAGTTCAACTTTGAAATCATATGTATTGTGAACAATAAATGCCTCAGATAAGAAAGTGTTGTAACCTTAATTATAATTTATTTAGAATCTTACACTCTACCTTTTCCTCAGTACCTTTACACTAATCAAAGACATATCAGAGAACCTTTCATCCTTATCTTGCAGATTCTCTTGTTGATTAATTTAAAATCTATTAAAGCATGCTTTAGTGATTTCCTTATCATGAAAGCTGTTCCAAAAATCCTTGTTTTCATCTCTACTGTTTACCATTGTGTAAATGCTGAGATTCTGGATCGCTACATTCTTCCATTTATAGATTTTTGCTTTTCTCTCGTTGGTTTAGTCTTCTTACATTCCAAGTTGCTATTTTGATATTAATTCCTTTTTTGGTGCCAAGGTTGTTTCCTTAAATCAGTCTGGCTATCTTTCCTTTGAAGGTTCATAATAATATTTTTGTTTAAGAGGTGTGGATCATTAGCCCTTTCAGCTACCAAGTCAGGTGGAGGGGCTGCCTCCTGACCTGCTCCCCCATCCAGAACAGCTTCCTAGGAGAGATGACCTAAGGGTAGGATATAGAAGTAAGCTAGTAGTGCACTGGAAAGAAAAATTTCCTCTAGTTATAGTTTCTGACCATTGAATAGCCGATCAGATGAGAAAAATTTTAGCACGGAAGTCCTATCTGATTCAGAGCTTAATGAAATCAAGGAAGAGATCGAAGGAAACCCTAACAGGACAATACACATATAAATACCACAAATGAGAATGCTATGAAAAAGCATTTTGGTTTAAGAACACCAGAAGAAAAGCAGCGATTATAGCCTCAATTAATACTTTTGATTTTAGTGAGGACAATGTAACTTTCACAGTTAAGAGGATGTACAGTTGGAAGACACCAGTATCTGATAAGATCTATAATTATTGGACCAAGAGTTTTAGTTGTGTTGACAGAACCCATGATACATTTTACAGTCTTGAAAACAATACTCAACCCTGGATGATTCACTTGGAGCTCGCTAATTTTTCTTCAAAGAAGTACTTTTCTTGAAAAACGTAATCAGTGAAATTCAAACTTACTAATAAGAGATTAAAAATGGCATTCAAACCAGACGAAGCCTTATAATCAAATTAATTTTTATGTATTTCAACTAATTTTATGCAATAATTCTTTTATAAGTGATAAATAATCAGGACGCAGTCATTTTTAGATTTGTATTGTTGTTGCCGACATTTCGACCCAAGCATGAGGGTCATCATCAGAGCATGTTTCGAGTACTGAAGGTGCTCAAGTATTCCAGGGTACTTTAGGATTCTTGAACTTCTATAGTACTGGAAACATGCTCTGATGACCTACATGCTTGGGTTGAAACGTCAGCAGCAATAAAAATCTTAAAATCACTGCATCCTGAATGTTTAATCACCCATGATATGTAGAACAGTCTACTAACTTCCTTCTATAAATGATTACAACTTTTTACTTAGTAAACTATTTTTCATGAAATTTTTGTTGGCAACTAATGTAATATATATAAAGGCAAAATAAATGATCTATTACCTGGTGAACATCCATCTAAATTATATCGAGCTCCAGACAACTCAAATTCTCTTTGAATATCCTCGATTTCTAGTATTTCTACAGCATCCTGGATAAACAGAAAAATTAAAAAAAATGAACCAGTTTTCAGAGAAACAAAAGATGCACAAAATGCATTTAAATATATTTGTGTGAGTGTATGTGTATATATGTATGTGTATGTGTATATATATATATATATATATATATATATATATATATATATATATATATATATATATATATATATATATACATATACACATATATATATATATGTATATATATATATATATACATATATATATATATATATATGTATATATATATATATGTACACATTATAAAGGAAGATGGTCTGGGGTGGCGGTCATAAAATAGGCTAAATAGTGGCAAAACTATTTTATTAAAAGCCAACGTTTCGACCCGAATTTGCAGGTCTCCTTCAGGGAGGTGTGTTCAGCTAGGAGTTTCACTTAAAACTCACTCTGTCAGTTTTAAGTGAAACTCCAAGCTGAAATGGTTTTTCTGCAAATCCGCATGAAATGGTTTGGCCTTGTGATTAGGATGGAGGAATATAGAGACCCATTGAAGACGATGGACTACACTCCGGATGGCAAAAGACCTCGAGGATGCCCAAGAATGTCATAGCTGGAGTACATTGATAGACTCTGCAAAGGAAGAGGCAAAGATCTCCATCAAGCCATGAACTTAGCAAAGAACAGAAAAGAGTGGAGTTCGTGACTGCTCACCTCTTTACGATGCAAGGCACGAAAGGGAGAAGCTAAAGAAGAAGAAGAATCTCCCTGAAGAAGAACTGCAAAGTCGGGTCAAAATGTTGGCTTTTAATAAAATAGTTTTGCCATGACCGCTACTCTGGACCATCTCTTTCCTTTATAATGCAACGGTCAACAATTAAATATTCAATATTCACATTATATATATATCCACACACACACACATATATATCTTTGATCGTGAGAAGTGGTCTCCTGGACCACATCCCGATTCCCAATTTAAGTACACGGGGGGTAGGGTCATCAGTCCTATGCCCGGTCGGTGTGAGTTGCCTCCAGTAAGGTGACAGATCTCACATACGGAGGGGAGAAGGAGTGGAGAATCTCGGACAGTCTGGCTTTCCAGGACAGTCACCCAAATCGGGCGGTCACCCATCGAAGTTCAACCACGCTAGGCGTTGCTTAACTTTGATTACCTATTATTAGCTACTCAACCCCACTTATATATATATGTATATATATATATATATATATATATATATATATTATATATATATATATATATATATATATATATATATATATATATATATATATATATATATATATATATATACATATATATACACACACACTGTTGTACGCGTATACACGTTGTACACCCATATTTTGAGATTTCTGGAGATTTTTCTGGATTTCAGTACCTTTGAAAGAGAGAAGATCTGTTTGCATTTGTTATTCGCTGGTCTATCTCTGTTAGTTGATCATTTATTGAGGTTATTATGGAGCCGAGGTATTTGAATCTGTCTACTTTCGGGAATGACTTAGAATCCACGCAGATCATGTTATTAGGGTGGATGTTTCGGCTAACTATCATGTATTTTGTTTTATCTACATTGACCTGTAGTCCGATTTGCTCTTTTAATAGTCTGAGCGAGTCTCTCAATATCCTCTTGATTACTTCCGAGGACAGCTATATCATCGGCATATGCTAGGATTTTATGTTTTATTCCAACATGCATCCCTCCATCTTTGCGTGATGTTATTCTTATTACTTTCTCTAGTGCTAAGTTGAACAGCATCAGCGAGAGTCCATCTCCCTGCCTCAAACCCGTTTGAACTTCAAAGGCTTCAGATACGTCTCCTTGTATTAGTACCCTGCATTTAGGATAATTTGCACACGCCTTCATCAACCTCACTAATTTCCCAGGAACACCCAACTCAGCCATGATCTTCTAGAGAAGTTTCTGTCAACGGAGTCATAGGCTGATTTGAAGTCGACAAAGAATGCGTGTACGTCCTGATCTACTTCCCATCGTTTTTCAAGTACTTGTTTCAGGATGAATATCTGATCTAGCGTACTCCTCCCTCTCCTGATGTTTTCATAATATGGATATATCTGATTTAACAGAATATTAGTCATTATTTTATAGGCGACCGGGAGAAGTGCTATGCCTCTGTAATTGCCACATTCATACATGGAGCTCTTCTTAAGGATAGGACAGATCAACCCTGTGTTCCATGCTTCTGGTATCCGTTCCTTCTCCCATATCTTCTGGATTAGATCTAACAGCTTGGCTCTGAGTTCTCCTCTCCCATCCTTGAACAATTCTGATGGTAGGTTGTCTATTCCTGGAGCCTTTCTTCTTTTAAACCTGCCGATAGCTATTTCCACATCCAGAATATCTGTTTTTTCAACCTCAAGTGGGTCGATGTCCTCAGTGTGGTCCATGTCTTCTTCGTTTGTGGGGTGCCCTTGGTTAAGCAGCTGCTGGAAGTGTTCCTTCCAGATGCTTAGGATCTTTTCTTTTGATGCCGTCAATTTGCCATCTTTCCCTCGCATTTGTGTATTTCTTGCTTTATATCCTACCCTTTCATTCCTGATATCTGCGAAGAATTCACATATATTTCCAGCCTGCCAGTTTTCCTCAATAGTTTGTAATCTTTCTTGAGGAATTCTTTTTTGGCTGTTCTTATTATTTTGTTTGTTTTTTTCCTGGCGGCTGTGTATTTGTCCAGCATAGATTGATCAGTTTGTAAGCAGAGGACTTTTCTTCTTTCCTCCACCGCCTTTTCGCGTGCTTTTGTGAACCATTTATTTTTTCCTGAATCTCTATTACTTTCTTAGCTGTTTGTTTTAGCCCTGACTGTAGTGCCTCCCAGTGTTGGTCAACCATGAGACCTTCCGAGTTCAAGGTTTCAAATTTATTTTTCAGCTCAATTTGAAATTCAGCTTGTACTATAGGGTTTTTTAAATTACGGACTTCATACCTCTGACAGAGTTTGATTCTAATCAGAGTATGGTCCGAATCACAGTCTGCTCCACGATAACTCCTTATGTCTTGTATGGAGCTTTGATACCTCTTGTCTATAAGCACACTCCTTTAGGACTTATACTTATGTATGTCCTTGTGAAGGAACATCGTACTGCTTACTACTAGACCTTTAGCTGCTGCCAGACTAATGCATCTCACTCCATTGTCATTGCTAGTTTCGTGGAGACTTCGGCCTCCGATGATGGGTTTAAATTGGGTTTTTCGACTTATCTTGGCATTGAAGTCTGCCATGACTAATTTTATGTCATGTTTTGGAGCCTGGTCCACAACTTTTTCTAACTGATCGTAGAAATCATCCTCTTTTTCTTCGGTTGGTGCATACATGTTAATAATCATGATAATAAATCAACGACCTCTTTCGCGCAGCACACTTATCCTTTCATTAACTGGGGTTAAGTTTATTACTGACTTCCTTGCCGCCGGATTAACTATAAATCCAGTGCCAGCTGTCCCATTTTTGTCATTTCTCCCGGTGTAGAACAGTATGTAGCCGTCTATAGTGGTTTTCCCACCATCTGGCCACCTTACCTCTTGAATGGCTGTTAACAGTATGTTGTACCTTTTTACTTCATTAACTACCGTTTGGGTGGCTCCTGGTCTGTGTAAGCTTCGAACATTCCATGATCCGATATGGAGTCCGTTATACAAAGCCGGAGTCATGATGACTCCAAAACATGACATAAAATTAGTCATGGGAGACTTCAATGCCAAGATAGGTCGAGAAACCCAATTTAAACACATCATCGGAGGCCAAAGTCTCAACGAAACTAGCAATGACAATGGAGTGAGATGCATTAGTCTGGCAGCAGCTAAAGGTCTAGTAGAAAGCAGAACGATGTTCCTTCACAAGGACATACATAAGTATACCTGGGTAAGTCCTAAAGGAGTGTGCTGATAGACATGAGGTATCAAAGCTCCACACAAGACATAAGGAGTTATCGTGGAGCAGACTGTGATTAGAATCAAACTCTGTCAGAGGCTGAAGCGAATCCATCGAATTGGGAACCAAGTGGAAAGACAGAGGTATGAAGTCTGTAATTTAAAAAACCCTATAGTACAAGCTGAATTTCAAATTGAGCTGAAAGATAAATTCGAAACCTTGAACTCGGAAGGTCTCATGGTTGACCAACACTGGGAGGCACTACAGTCAGGGCTAAAACAAACAGCTTAGGAAGTAATAGGGATTCAGGAAAAAGAAATGGTTCCCAGAAGCATGCGAAAAGGCGGTGGAGGAAAGGATATATATATATATATAAAACACTAATACTGTCCAGCTCCGTACCTTAGCTTATCTATATATATATATATATTTTGTTGAGAGAGAGAGAGAGAGAGAGTGTGTGTGTTTGTTTCCTAATTGGACAGCAATACTTTAGATATGTGTTCACTAACACAAAAAAGTTCATATTAACATATATCTCAAACTTATTTATTAAACAGCTATCAAAAATTAAAGACTTATTATTTATTTACTACATTAAGACAGACTGTACAAAGTTTAACATGCTTAATACTAAATAACAGGTTTTAATCACCTGATAAACAAATGAACGATAAGCAAGGAAAGTACGGGGCGGGGTGGCCGAATGGACTAAAGTGTGTGCAGTGCACCGCGAGTTGTCTGGCAACCGGATAAGAGATTTGAGAAGATTTAAAAAGTATGAGTTCGCATCCTGGTGCCGGGGAGGGGATTTTAAATTCCCCACCCTCACCCTCCGGCCCAGGAAAATACCGTATAGCCTAAAAGGCGAGGTATGGAAGAACAATAAAAAAAAAAAAATAAAAAAAAGAGCAAGGACAGTAGCCCATCTGTTTGTCTAGTTTTGTGTGTTTTAGTGTGAGTGAATACTGTGACACAGTTCAATTTATGATTATCATGAAAGACACTATAAATATCATAAAAGGCATATAGTACTTAAAACTATAATTTACTAGCTTTACCCGGCCATTACTTCATTCCTTCTATGTGGCAGTCAATTAAACAATTTACAGGAAATTTAAACAAATATATTTAATTCTTTGTTTGTTAATTCTTGAGAACTTTTTATATTTATTTTGGGAATTATCTTAATATTTTCTATTATTTATGTTAGTCCTTTGCAAATAACCTAATAAAGTTTAATTGTAAATAATTTGTTTAGGCAGGAATTGCGAATAGCCTTCCGCTTTTATATCGGGAGACTAGATTATTTACACTCGGGGGACTAGATTATTTACACTCGTGAATATTAAAACAAAACCCTGGCACTGGATATTGACTTTTTGAGGGTGTTTAACTGTTGGGAATTCGGGAATCTAATACCTTTGTGACAAGAAACAATAAGAATATATATATAATGTGGGCCTTAGTAAATACACTTTGAATGAATTGACTCACCTGGTTCGTTATTCTTCAATCGTGAGGCATATAGGACAACTAAATAAATAAATAACTTTTCACTCCTACATAACAAAATAATTTATTTCTACAACTGTAATAAATTGACTCTATTAAAGTGTTATAACTATAGACTTGATCTTCTAAATCTTGTAGTAGACTTCTCTTCCCAGGTACGTCGTTCCATCTCAATGCCTCGGCCTCAAGTCCTCTCGCCTCCACGTCCCAGCCTCAAGTGCCTTCTCCCTTATCCAGCGTCCTTCTGCTGCTGTTGCTACCAGCTCCGTCCTTTTTCCAGCATCTTTCTTCATCGATTGCTTATCGATATGAGACTTTTCAATGAATAATCTGTTCACTGCATAATTGAGTACAATTCATCGTGCAACCTCACCTTTCTATATATTCCATCTCATTCCCTCACACAATGTCACACAAAGAAGTAAATACAGGAGGCTATCTACTATACCTTTTTTTTTTTTTATTTCTTTTTCTTCAAGATTTAGGTTAATCCTAATTTATTGCTGTTTAGATTATGTATTGTCGTTAGTTGATTGTAATATGAATTTTTATTTTCAATGTTGCATTTTATTTATTTTTTTTGGGCACAATATCTTAATTCAGAAGCTTAACATAAGGTTTGATTAGATTCCAAAATATTAATATTATAAATTAAACAAAATAGATGATTTTTTGTACATTTTTAGGGGTAAATTAGACAATTTTACATTTTTCGGATTTTTACTGCATGGAAATGTGGTCTCTACTTATAACCAAGAAAAGAATATCAATTACTTTCTTTAAAAAAATAAAAGTTGTATGCACAGTTCCATATTTCATAATAGATTAAAATATAGTTTAAATTATTAGTTAAGCATTCATAATTTAATTTTTATTTGATACAGTCCACTGGTATTAAAATGGTTTGAGTTCTGACCATTAAATTGAAGGCATTCTATTCCTATAAGATGTGATTTTATATTATTTCACACTTTCCTTTTTTCTGATATAAAACAACCAATTTTTTTTTCTTAAGTTTTATTTATTGTATTATTATTCATTTATTCTACAAACGTTACTAGTCCATAGCTACAGACATCAAGTATCGTTAGGGGTATCTTTTGAATAAGACTCTACTCCTACTCAATTAACTGTTAAAAATTTACCTATTGCTAATAAACCCATATATGGCTCATTAAACCTGATGAGGAAATAAAAAATATATAAAAATAATAATAAATAAATAAACTAATTGACAATGATATTTACCTCTTGAGAGAATGGATTAGGACGCACTAGCCAAGCTTGTTGGGGATCATTTATCAACATCAAGGAGCTGAGGCAGGCACCATAACATTTCCATTGTACTTCAGCAGTGTCTGCACGTAGAGCTTTTTCTAACATAATACTAGCAGCTAGAAAAAATTAAAATATATATATGGAAATCATGAATACTGTATTTTATTCATTAAACAACATAAACCATCTCTTTTACACTTACACATACACACACACACTTATCTACATATACAAAATAGAGAACTGGTGTGGTCAAGTGGGCTAAGAGGCTTGCGCTAGGTAACCAAAGTTAAGGAACAAAGAGCATAGTAAGTACTTGAATGTGTGACTGACCATCAGGGAAAGCCACATAGTCTAAAATTCGACAACTATCCCCCTCGAATATGAGCCAAGTAACACTGATCAGGCATAGGAATGACAAACCTAGCCTAAATATCTTAACCTTAAAACCTATCCTGTGGTTTTCCAAGATATCAGCAACCATCAGGGGGTTCGGTCTAAGAAAAATCTATTCAGTGAAAACAAATAAAGATCCTCATATGCCTACAAACCCTAAGCAGCCATAATTCACGGATCTAGACTTATTTACCACTGTTCTTGAACCAGAGTGAATAGGCAGGTAGTTTCCCACCTATTAGCCCCAAAGGGATCAATTACGGAGCAATAGGGTAGCCTGCCAATGCATAATAGAGACCATGGTTAGTAGGGATGTCAAGTTGAGTGATCCCCTACAGGTGTTCCCCCTGTCATGTGCAAGCAATATACTTCTGCAAGGAGACCACCCATACGAAGATCTCTATGGTCTAACTTTTTTTTTTTTTAAATACAATAAGTAAATGTTACATTGGTAACATGCTCTGTACAACATGAAGAGAAACTACCCATTGGTAGAACTCAAATTAAAGTTCTATATTAGAAGGTCCCGAGGCCATCTTCTTTTCAGCATGATTGGAAACAAGAGAGTTCGGATGGTTCTGAAGTTTATTATGAAAGGATAAGTATCTGGATTGGGCTAATTTGTAAACATATGGTATGTTATGGATTATTTTATTTGTGACGAAGTAAGGTGCATTGAGGATTTTATGAAAGATTTTGGATTGTAAAGATTGAATACGAGAGGAATTTGATGGTTTAGTAGAGCCCCAAAGCTCGATTCTGTAAGTCCAAATAGGCCTTATTATAGTCATATATATAAGTCTTTTGTAAGTAATTGGAAGTTTAGAGCGTTTGTCTAGTAAGTGCTGGAGTAGTTGAAAACGTCGAGCAGTTTCTTGTAGTTTCAGTCTGGTATGAGGATTCCAAGTGAGTCATTTGTCCAGGTGAAGTCCTAGGTATTGGATTTGTTCAACAGGAATAAGTGGGGTATTGTTAAAGGATACAGTAGGGCAGAAAGTCATAGGTTTGCGGCGAAGGGTAAAAGTAATTTGATGGTATTTATTTTAATCCTCCAGTTTTGACACTATTCTTCAAGACCTGTGATGTGTGATTGGAGAGTTTGGGATGCAATTGATGGATCGTTTTTAACTGATAGGATACACGTGTCATCAGCATAAGTGGTGATGGCAGTGTCGGATGGGCTGGAATGTCAGCTGAATAAACTGTGTAAAGAATAGAACCTAGGATACTACCTTGAGGAACACCAGCAAACTGAGAAAAAAGAGATGAATAGGCATTTTTGTGATTTACTTTGAAGTATCTATCACTAAGGTAGGAACGGATAATGAGGAAGTATGTAGGTGATAAGAATTTACGGAGTTAGTACATCAGTCCCGAGTGACAGACTCTATCAAACGCTTGTTTAACGTAGAGAAATGCTCCCGTGCAATACATTCTGCGCTCCAATGCAGAGGAAACCATGTCTATCACACGATGACATTGCTGAATAGTGGAGTGAGAAGTATGGAATCCAAATTGGTGATCTAGGATTATGTGATTAGAATCTAGGATGGGATACAGGTATTTTAAGATGAGTTTTTCTAGCATTTTGTCCATAATGGGTAAAAGAGAGATAGGATGGTAAGAGGATGGGTATTTTGATGGCTTTTTGGGTTTATGTATCATTTTGACTACAGATAGTTTCCAAGAGTCAGGAAAATATGTGGAACGGAGTACGGCGTTATAAATGTAAGTAAGGAATAGAATGGCTTTTCGAGGAAGTAGCTTAAGAATGTGGGTTTGGGTATCATTTTAACAATGGATAGTTTCCAACAGTCAAGAAAATATGTGGTTCATAGTACAGCATTATATATATATATATATAGGTGAGAAATAATACGGCTTTCTGAGGAAGCAGTTTTAGGATCTGGGATGTGATTTGGTCATGGTCAGGAGCTTTGTGGGAAGGTAATCTGTGTATGATATTGGATATTTCTGAAGGATGAAATGCTTTAGGTGGAAGGGTCAATTGGAGGGGGATATCGAGTTCTACTTCAATACACTCAAGGTGGATTGGATTTAGGATATCTGAGTGTGGATTAAATGTTTTGAAGAGGTGCTGAGCAAATATTTCAGATTTTTCTTCATCAGATCTGGACCAGGTTTGGGTTTCGGTAAGAAGTGGGTGGTTAAAATATTAGAATTTTAAGAGCTTTTTAGTGGTCAAACATAGTGATTTGTCAGTGTAAGATTTTCTGTTAAGTAAATTTGAGATTTTGGATTTTCTAATTTCAGCTTTTAGTTGGTTAGTTAACTTGTAATATGACTTGTCTGATTTGTATCTAGCCCTATGCCACTTCGATCTTGCTCTGCGTTTTTTCCTTAATAAGATACGAATGTGCTGTGGCAAGTTAGTCTTTTGGGAGTTGTTATTTTTATTGGTTGATGTGTTATCGTTAATTTTGTCATTTATAGATGTAGCAAGTATTTATGGCTGAGTCAATGTCATGTTTTGTCTTAAGTGGAAAATTTAGGTCCAATTTATTTTCCAAGTTTTTACGAAATTTGTCTGTGCATGAGCTGCAACATAAGGCCGTCTGTCATAATTATTCAACCTGTCCTTCATGAGGTATTTATAATATTCATACTGGAATCGTCTATTTAATTTTTGTTGACTCTATTTCTATTTCTCTAGTATATTTAATTTATGAAAAATAAATGTGTAAATATTTGAGACAAATGTTAACAAAATGAGAAAAAAAGAAATAAAGGACACATTATGTTGTAGATTTGGTTATTTGGTGGAAGGGAGGCTGGAGCGCTCACTAGTACAGGTAAGGCAGTTGAGTAATGGCTCTGGTCGAATATAATAGAATGAAATTGAAATGTGTTGACATCCAATAGTCCAAATGACTATTTTAAAACATTTAAATTTTCAAATATTAACTATGTAATTGATTTTTGTTTCATTCATGCAATATTTATAGCATCTTTAGTCATACCATTAACCTAGCTATACACTATTAAAATTATCAAAATTACTAATCTTTCATGAATAATTAACTTTTAATAATTAATAGTTAGATACCTACTTTGTTCTTTGGAAACAAATGAAATAGCCATTTTGATTATGGGAATTAATAACTTTAAATAAAACAACCAAGATATTGAACTGAACTCATGGCAAGTAATCATGAGGGGGAAGAAGTTTATGTAGTTACTTCTGTAAAGATAATGAGATTAGAAAAGCAAGGAAGTAAGTATAAATTCAATAAGTTTTAAGATAATGAGAAATAATTAAGTAAGTTATATGATAATAGAAAGAGAAATAGCAAAAAAGTAAAGTTATAAAATATAATGCAGTGTAACTAATCTTTACTCATAGTGCCATTACTAGAAAAATAGAAAAAGAAAAAAATAAGGAATATAATTTGACAATACTTATATCTGTTTTGAGGAAAATATAAATTACCTTTCTTAAAGTTTTCATGTTTGACATGGAAAGCATACAAGATATTATAGTAGTTAGTGGCAAGGCCGAAAGTCAAAGATCTAGCACGCGAAGCAAGAAGCTTTTCTAATTCATCTAGGAGACCAGTATAAGAAAATGAGATAAGATCAGTGAGTTTTCCTTCTGATATCATGTTAGCAACAAGACGCTGCAAAAAGTCAGATCTGCGGGACCAAGAACTACACGATTCAATCCAACTCCAAGCAGCATCATAATTTTCCATTCCTAATTCATGAACAAATAATGCTGATTCGAGTGTTTCCTAGAAATATAAATTATGTCTGTAAATCAAAGTATTTAGCTCAAATAACTTCATAGAATAAACATAAACACTATAATAAACAGTTGCAATAAACAAAATTATTGCATTGTATTTTATCTACAGTACTATATTACTAAGAAGGCATCATTGACAGCTAAATTAACTATTTATAATTGTAAAAAATAAAAGTGTTAACATAATACACTCATGTTGTACACAGAAAGAAAGTTTTTATAAATAAAATAAATAAAGCTACTCATATATATAAAGTACATATATTTACTTAATTTTTAAGATTTTAGAATTATTTTTGTCCTCATATAGATCCTAAAATAGTTTTGATCTGTTTTTGTTCAAAAATGAAATAAAATACTGGATCTCGTTAAGGAGGAGAATCTGTTTTTAGGCACCCTCTATTTTGTTCTAAAATATAAAAGAAGAGTTCCATAAAAATTTTAGATTACAAAAAAATTTAGAGGTCACTTGAGCTCTGAAGTCGCTACTGAGTTTTAAAATTGTTGGAGATTAGTTTATATTTTTATAAAATTAAATCATACTGAATTATAAACATTGAAATTTTATTAAATTATTGATTAAATTACTAAATTAGGTCAATAAATTATCTTCTATTTCACTTTATTCGACTAATACTCTGTGTATTTATGTTTACCAGTGTATTCAAGAATTCATTATAATCTTTGGAAATAGTTTAATGAACTAAAATTCTGATTGACAGGTGGAATTTATTCAAAGGGAGATAAAGAAAAATAATGTTATTAAAGGCTTAGATATCACTTCTATTGAGCATTGTAAACAAGGCATCAAACAAATCTACTATAATACCTCAGGTATGCCTGAAAATATTATTATGAACAGAGCTCGATTTGTTGTTAATCGTAATGTAAATAAGAAAATTATCTATGCTGAATTTTCTAATGAATCGGAAATATAAGGCATATTAAAGGCATTAAGAATATTAAAAGGTACTGACATTTCTATCGAAAAAGATCTTACTTTTTCACAAAGGCAGATGGTTGTTTTTAAAAGCTTTGTTTAAAGAATTAAGACAGTGAATAAAAAAATTTGAAAAATTGAATTTTATAGTTATTGCATTTAGGATATAAAATGAAATATGTTTTGTGAGAATAACACACAGACCGCAACAGATGGAATTTTACATTGTCTATGTGTTCTAAAAATGTAATATCGATTATATATTTTGTAACTTATTTATGTCAATAAACACATTTTCATTCATAAATATATAATGCTGCAAATTTCATACCAGTTTATTAAAAATCATTTAAAGTTAAAGAGTCAGTAAGGACCACTAAAATTAAGTTTAAAAATCCCAAAAAAATTCAGTAATTTACTACAGAGGAGATCAAACTCAAAGATTGCACCAAAGAAAATGATGAAATCTTTTTACTCTGGTTTAAGAACCAACCTAATGTTTACCTTGAAACAATCGAAACGATATCTTATTAAAATTACATTCACAAAATTAGATGGTTTAAACTTTTCATTCAGTTTGGACGTGTGGGGTCTTGGCAAGGTTTGTTCGTCGATGTCATCTTCACCCTCAGTAGTGGTACAGGGTGGACCAGAGCCCCTACCGTGTACTCTCGTATAAATTTCATATCGTTATCTTTGCAACTATTTATTAAAAAAAAAGTCAATGGTCCCACAAAAAAAAGATGAACGCATTGTCCCAAAATGGCGGATTGAACAACTTTGACTTGAGTTAGTTTTTCGGTCACTGAGATTCAGCATTTGGTTTAATTTCATCACAGTTGGCATTTTATTAAAGCTGAATAGTCAGAAAATAATGAAACATGGAAAAATAATTGGTTTAGGCAATAAAAACAATGGTAAAGTGAATTTATTCAATTCATTCAAATTAATGTTGAAAATTAAACATCGTTTGTAAATAAACGGCCACAATAACAAAAAATGCCTTGAAATAAAACATATGTACAATACATTTGTCTTTCTAAATCAGTGATTAAGTTTTAAAATGTTTGAATCAGTTCCTTAGAAAATACACATAATCGGTGGAATAAGCGCTTCTTCTGTAAGCGCCTACTGTCATCTTCCTCAGTACTCATAAATGGCATAGTTATAGGGCTATAATAACGTTTTTGGTATAACTTTTGTTCAATTGTATAATAATATGTGTAGTCACACTTTAAATCCAGTTATTGAATAAAGTAGAAAAAATAAATAAAAATTTAAATTACACGATTCTTTTTTTTTTTTTTCAAAAACGGTTTAGAATTAGGATAAAACCTATAGAATAAAAGTTTTAGATAATTACATAAACTTTACTGAAAAATTTACCCTGGAATGCACCGTTTTTGAGAAATAAGTGAAAATCCAAAAATTGTGACCTGTCTTACCCCTCTCCCACCCCGGCTCACCATCTAGACGTCAGGACTTTTGATATGTTCATACCCTCAGCCCCCGGAACAAGTTTCTGAAAGAATCGCTTAGGTCCCTGCTCACGCACTCTACACCCACTTTTTGGGCATTTATTGATTAGACTAATGGTTTCACCAGTATCATACCTAAGGCTGAGTATGCCCCGAGACTAGCATCCAAAAAATGTCCCAGCAGATTTGATGCATTTAATACAGGCATACTAAACCAGATAATAATGACAATTATAAAGGTTTGCAAATAAATAAAATAATGATACTTTTATTTAATAAAATTCCCCACAAAGTTGACAAAATTTAACTTTCAGGCTCTTACACTTTTAATACTTAAAAACTAATATTGCTTGGTCCAGAGGAACTCTTAGTACTTCTAAAGTAATTTCTTGTAATTTTAAGCACTAAAATGATCTTTTGGTATTAGTTGAAATGAAAGGTATTGTATAGAAAATGTCACAACTTACAGCTGTATGAAAAAATGGAGAAGAAATGGTACCTATAGCTGAGAAGATGAAAAAAAAAATAGAGAAGTACCAGGTCTGTTTGTCATGGAAGTCTGTGTATGAATTATGATTATCAACAAAAACTCAGCAAATAATCTATTAAGATTAACATTTCTGTTTTTTACTTATCTTTAGCAACTGTTCCTATTTCGAATAACATCAACTGTATTATTTTTCAATTTTACGAACCCTCCCAACGTCCAATGTTCCCCCAGTTGAATCTCAGATTGGTTCATAAATTTGTGGACTTCAGATTAAATCAATTCCCAGCCATATAATTCTTCTATTCTTTCTCAAAGTTATTTTAGTGTTTGCAAAGAAAAGTATAAGATGAACATATGTATAAGAGGATTATTCATTTTGGATTTGCCTGAAAAGTGATACAGTGTAAACCCACAAATTGTCTATTTTTTTTCAGGAGCCACATTCATCCTCTCTCAAATAAACTAACTAATAAGAATATGGATTACATACAGACATAACTAACTGCCTTTAGAAAAGTATACAATAATAGCAACTAAACGAAGTTGATCAATATCCACATACTGTTTTTATTCTTTGTATGGTTGGGACGGCAATGAATGATTACTTCAGCAAATGCACATTAAGGCAAATACTTAATTCAATACTCCATATATTGAATTAGAAAGATCCCATCCTGTATAGTTTATATTATTCTGCAATCAGTTTTGGGTAATAAAGTTTCATTATGTGATGAAAATAAAGACATAAAAAGATTTCGAAAGAGAAAGTTCTACTTTTTTTTTTTTTATCTCAAAGAGGGTTAGTTAAAAATAAATAATCTAATTTACATTAAATTAATGAATACATTACATTAAGTTAAAGTAATGAATATGAGATTGTTTAACATTCCACATTTGTTATTTTAGCATCGTTTCAACAATTTTTTTTTTTAATAAAAGAAAAGTAATGGGAAAAAAAGCAACAGATGGTAGAACCTCACAAATAAGGAGAGATTCTAGATAATTTTCGAAGAAACCAGTTTTTACTAGTGTGTTAAAAAGATGAAGTTTTATGATGTATGACAGATTTTCCTTTATCTCCACCCGGAATCAGTGATTATCAGCCATGAGTTCTGCTTGGTTTCACAAATAACTATTTTTCACAACTTGAAGAAGTGGCCAAAGAAAAGCCTGACGACACTGGCTCGACCAACTCCAAGTTTCAGTTTCCTTCAGTGACTCAATATGCAAATTGTACAACGGGTCATTGGGATTACTATTTCTTATATAAATTATCAGTTGGTATATTGTATATTTGTAGGTTAATTTTTAGTTTTTTAAATATTTCTTATTCTTTTCTTTGAGAATTAAGGTTTATTGTTTTTGTTTTTTTTCTGTTATCTTACAAATCTAAATTTGGATTTATGATGTTCATTTTCTTAAACTGTGATTTTTGTTAATAAACATAGAAGTAGGAAAATTCACTAGCATTGGTAATAGTGTACAGTTTTTATCTTCTTTATCTTTTCTATTTGTTTTAAGGTTTCAGATATATATAATTTTGTTTTGTTAATAGGATATAATTAGGATGGACCGTTCCGAGGGCGGAAAGAATTACAGAGACCATTTTGCTGGACTTGATTATTTAGACTCAGAGGACCTCAAAACATGCAATTCCGTTGAAAACTAGGATTCGAAAATTATCACGATCGCAATACTTCCTCTTTCTATACATTACATATATAGATAAGTGAAAATAAAAACAAAACGGTAAAAACTTTATATAAATTCATTCAAAACTTAAAAACAGCAATTTTTACTTTACCAGTTGGAAGTCGAGTCATACATTCGTTTTATCAACATGCCACTTATGAAAAGATCTCTTGACATGGAACTGAAGTGGCCACTACACTCAACATTTCTTTGGCAATGATGTGCAAATTAGGTTAGTTTTCTGCAGACCAAACCACCACTTAATAGGGTTCTCATTGCCGTATAAAATACCTTTTTCTAAGTACCTGTTTAATTCAATCATTGTCTTTGATTCAGATATGCCATTTGGAGAATGTTGCTCTCAAGCTTTCATCAATGTTCCTAAAATTTCCAGTTTTTTTTTTTCCTTCATTTTTCTGTACTTTTCTTTGTTTATCTTCATTTCCCTCAACCTCAATGATTTTTCAGTCATTTAAATAGTTTTAGTATTATGCATATTAGCGTCATTATTCTCTATCGCGGTTCATGTGTTCTTCGGAACGAAATGAGATCTGGAACGAATTCCAATGGTGGAAAATTTCGTTCCAACCTGTAGTCGGAATTGCCCATTCCTAGATATAATTAGGAACTATAAAACCCTGTTCAAGGTATCAGAGAAATATAATAGAAAAATGGCAAGGAGGTTCCAAGGCTGAGGAATAAGGTAATTAACATATGGTTTAAAATTATTGTGTTCCACTCATTCTCTGTTTCCTCGACTTTTTTTTAATTCACTAGATTTATTTATTTTGTTTGTAATTATGGTTTTCACTGTATATAAAAAACAATCAAATAAAATAGCATGGTGCCTGTCAGATAGTTATTTAATTTTATTTATTTTTTGTCAACCTGCCAGTCTCAACTGAGTGTCCAGCAATTTGTTGTGGAAAAATTATAATATACCCAAGACTAGATATAAATATATATTTTTTGATATTAAAGACCGTAACAATTAGGCTGATTTAACACAGTATTTGCATGTTATTCCTCTCTTCCTTGTCAATAGAGGACTCAGTCAATGATTTCTCACTCAATATTAACTATACAGGAAGATACTTTTGGTTTATTATTTTCAATAGTTTTATTTAAAGTGAATTGCACCTTTGGGTAACATCAAGCCTCAATTCAAGAATTTAATATGTCAATTACTGAATGGATTAAGGCTTTTCAGAAGCCACAGAAAGACAAAATATAACTAAAATCTACAGATACTATCTTGATATGCTTTATTAAGAAATGAATGATTTTTAAATAAAGAAGTTTAATTTGTTGGAAATATTATTTTTACAACACAAGAGAGTTAATTTCACAACTGCTAGTAATTCACTCTTCGTTAAATGTAAATCGAAGAATTAAATATTTTGACATTTGAAAAATAGTTTTATTTAACACTCTATTATAAAATTTCAGAAATAATAAAAACCATACCCTATCAGAATGTGAAACAATAAGGAGTTCCAAAGCTTTAGTTGCCATTTCTATTACTAAATCAGACCTCGAATGTTTTTCAAAAAGTCTTATAGCATTCAGGAAGTGCACAACATCTGATCCAGCATTTTTTAAACAAACATCAAATGCCTTGCCAGGCTGTCCTGTCAGAATGTATGATTCTGCAAGTAGTAAACTCCCTAAAAATATAAATAAATATTATTTGATAATATACCTATATATTATATAGGGTTTCCAGTGATATGTTATGAAAAAGTTGAAACATAGCTCAAGCATTTTAAGGCTCCCAACTGAAAAATTCAAGGCACTCTTTGTCAATTTATCAATTGAACCATAAAATGTAATATTTTGTCAGCTTCTGATAGAATGTAAAATTATGACTAGGGAATGTAATTGAATAACTATAAAGATTGTATTCTTGTTTGAAAATGAAAAATTGTTACTTAACTTCTTATAGCACAGAATCAACTTCAAGTGTAAATAAATACAATTAATTCATAAATTTTGCAAATCTATTCACAACTTTACTTTAAACTTTAATGAACTTATTTAACATATTCACAAAAATTATTATTCATCTTGACAAACTTATTTTACATATTTATATCTATATACATATAAAAGTCACAAAATATATATTTTCTTTTCTAATAATTTATTTTATTTATTACTCCATAAAAATATATGTTGTCCCAAAAGGAGGAATTGATTAGTTATAATCCAAATAAAAAAATAAATTGAGCCCAGAGTCTACACCACATTTACCAAATTACAGTGGATTATGAGATAATTTTACTATTGCCCTTTTTTACATTATTAAACATCAGCCAGACAAGATTGATCATTTTAGAATGACAGACAATGTTTCCTGTGATCTCAAGTTAGCTTAGTTTTGATATGTATAACCGAAAATTTGCTCAAAATGACCCAAAATTTCAGTCTTGAATGTGAGTTTTAAGTGGCATTTGCTTGATATAATCAACTAATTTGGTTTGGCAGACAATGTTTCCTGTAGCTTTCAGTCAACCTACTTTTAGAAGCATAAGTGAAAATCTGCTTAAAATAGTCCGAAATTTCACCTCCCCACCAAAAGTGGATTTACAAGTATGTCCAAAAATTTAATATTATGTTCCGTTTCAAGCCTGCATGTGAATTTGTTGTTATTTGAAAATTAATTAGAAAAAATACTTGAAAATAATTCAAATCATTGAAAAACTTTCCATCTCATCTTCTGTTAATACCAATAGTAAATCATCCACATATTTCGTAATGCAACTTAATTAAAAATCTTATGCAAAGTTTTATTACAAGTCATAAATCCACAGAAACAATGAAATCAAGTTAGAAAAAAATTTATATTAATACTCACAGTTATTTATTCCAACTAATCTTGCAAATGTTTGTAGAAGTGCATACTGTTTTGTTGATAGCAAATGCTGAGCAAGTGTACTATTTGTTGCTAATGGCCATCTTTGTATGGAATTAAAGTCAAAATAGATGAGATATAAGATGATAATTAAATGGCACTAAAAAAATAAAATGCAGAACTACTGAGGGAAAACACTTGTTTCTTTAATTGCAAAGACGAAGCAATGCCAATGTTCTAGATAAACATTAAAATATAATAGTAAAATTGCACAATGATACAAATGTTATCTTTTTCCCATGGTCAACAATATTTAAAAAAGAACTATGAAACAATATTGTACATTAAAATTATAATTTTGTAACAAAGTATTGTCTTATGGAGAATGCTCAACAGATAAAAAATTCTTAGTTTTAAAATTTTGCTTTATATATTTATAAATTATACATGCTTTATTGTTGTGATTTTGCAGCTGTCTGTTTATAATTGATTATTTGTTACATTGGGTTTAGCACAATAATAATTTTATATGTATAAAAGTCACCTCAAAACATGTATTTTCGTTGAAAACTCAGATTCGAAAATTTTCCCAATCGCAATACTTTCCCTTGCTATATGTCATATACATAGGTAAGTGAAAGCAAAAAAGTATGCATTTTTTTTAGTTTTAAAAATAATTAAATCACAATAAAAAAAATCTGGTGATCACAACACTCAAGTTTCACTTAACACTCCACTTTGAATAGAAATTATTTTCTAGCAATGTTGGGCTATTATAAAATTTTATAAGTGCATTTTAAACGGAACTAAAGCATAAAGTTTACAGATAACAGATCATTTAGACCATTAAAATTACAAAAAGTCTCTTTATTACATCGACTGGTAGGCAATAAAAATCTAGTTACTCCATCTGCTTTTATAAACCACATAACTTCAGTCTATGAGCCTTTCAGTTGACAGAACAGACTACAATTTCAACATTTTTGAGTAATGTCATTTTAGTGATATTTCTAGTTGGAAAAGTTGTATCTATACATATAGTAAGTTGATTCTAAAGTAGATGATAGCAATGTTGAAATGTTGAACTATGAATAAAGATATAAATTTTGACACAGAAACATTTTGAGTTGAACCTTTAAAACAAAAATTGACTTTTTATCCACATTCTGAAAAAGACAGATGCCCATTTTTGATTTGAAGCCATTCATATGAATCTTAATAGCTACAAAAAGTCTATAATTTAACTTATATTCAAGCAATAAATAATATAAAATACAAGTAATAAACGAAACATTAATTTTAAAGGATACAAGCAATTAGCAAGGCCAAGCACACATTGTTCAAGAGAAGATTGCATAATTGATGTTGGGTTGACCAAAGAAAACACATGAATCATGGGTGCATTTCCAGTGGACTTGGATGTACAGATCCATTTTAAAATATAATACGCTTTACAAAGGGCAGCTAAGCTCCTGTGTTGAGTCCTATCTGCAGCACCATCATCATCTCTCATAGCAAGCTCAGTAAGCAATAACATTTTTTCACAAATCTTTAACCTAAAAAAAAAATATACTATAATTATATTAATTACATAAAAGACATTTATTGTTTATATCAATAGATGTTGTTTATGTTAATAAATGGTATTTGTGTATAATCAAAATATATAAAATTCATAAAAATAGGATGTGAAAGAAGATTTAATGGTATAAGGTTAATTTTTTTTTTTCTAGTATTACATACATATACAATATAAATGTTGGGTTTATGCCATTTAATCTAGTATACAGAGGTTTGAATTTCAATTAATTTTCGAGTGGATCGGTGAAGCCGTTCTAAAGTTATCACAAGTTTTGTGGTTATTGACAAAATTTCGTAGGGTCCAGACAAAAAATTTTAATTTACCGATTGCCATAAAAATTTGTATTTCACAGTTTTTTGAAGTGTGAAAAATGAATATCAACTTTGTTTCTCCCTAAAAAAATATTTACTTCCACATTGCTACGTCAGTCGATTCTAATTCTGCCTATACTATGGCTACCTGCCATATGTAATTTTTGTTAAAACTAGTTTGGTATCTAGAGTAAATAATTTTTTAGGGAGAAACAAAGTTGATATGTGTTTTTTGCACCTCAAAAAACCAACATTTGTGAAAAATCAACAGCTTCAATTTCAAGAATTTTAATTTGGAAAAATTAAAAAATACATCAATTAGAACTCAATTCGAGCTAGATGTTAAGAATAGGTTTGAAGTTTTAGAACCTTCGGATGAGGACCGCAAGGATATTGATAAGTTATGGGGAGAGATCAGGGATAATATTAAAGAGGTTGGTAACTCGTGTCTAGAAAAAAAAGAAAATAAAAATAACAAACCTTGGTTTGATAAAGATTGCTTAAACATGTGCGAAAAAAGAAAAGCCCCTAAATTAAAGCTCTAAATAATCCTAGCGAAGACAATCTAGAATACTTCCGATCCTCAAAGAATAAAACGATAAAATTGCTCAAAAACAAAAAAAGGGAGTATCTTAAAAATAAAATAATTGAAATAGAAACTAATAGAATTGAAAATAACGTAAGAGACATGTACAAAGGTATAAACAGATCACGTTAGGGATAAAAATAATAATATTCTGACCTATCCAGTAGACATATTAAATAAGTTTAAGAGCCATTTTGACAGTATTTTAAATATGGGAAATTATGATCTGTGTCCTCCTTCTGAATACCAGAGTGCGGAACCGTTAATATTCCTACTGAACTAATTAAGGCATGCGGGGAAGCTGGAGTTTCTAAAATACATCAGTTGGTTAAAAAGATAGGAGTATATATATATATATATATATTCTTCCCCACTCCTATCATATCAACTATTCACTCAATAGCAATAAAACTGACATCTGAAATCTATGTGGGTTGACACATAATATGGTAATTTAAAATTATATAAATCTTTCAATAAGAAATTTTTTTTATTATAATAATATAATAAAATAGTTAAAAATAGATATAATAAGCGTGATACTGGTTATTATGAGAAGATACATGTATTTTATATAAAAAGTATAATGGACAAGTACATGATAGGTAATTATATAAAAAAAATTTATATTTTGAAATATGTGAGTTTTTTAGAATGTATTAATGATTATATGAATAATTACGCATGGAAAATTTAAAATGGCTCGATGAGCCGAAACATCGTAGAAGGATTTTGAAGTGAAAACATTGGTGTATTGTTGGCTTAAATAAGAAAATCTGGTGCGCGCAACACACAACTTTCAACTTTCACTTAACGCTCTACTTAGAATAGAAATTATTTTCTGGAAATGCTGGGCTATTATAAAATTTTTTGAAGTGTATTTTAAATGGAGCTGAAGCTTAAAGCTTACAGAAAACAAGTCATTAAGACCATTAAAATTACAAAATATCTATTTAATATATCGATGGTAGGCAATAAAAATCTAGTCACCCTATCTGGTTTTATAAACCACAGAATGACTAACTCCAATTTCAACATTTTTGTGTAATGTCATTTTAGTGATAGTTTTAGTTGAAAAAGTTATCTATGCAGACAGTGAGTAAGGTGATTCCGGAGGTGGTAATTGCAGTGTTGAAATATAAAACTGAGAATAAAGGTATAAATTTAGGTACTTATTTCTTATGAAACATGTTCTTAGGAAAGATACTCTATTAAATATCTGTAGAAAAAAGGTTTTTTTAGTCTCAACAATTAAAAAAGCACATTTTAAATTTATCCAAATTTTCTTCTCTTCAGGGAAGAAAACTAGAGACCATACTTTACCTAGTAATTGTCCAATTTCGATGAAACTTCTTTCATTTCTTAGGAAATTTAAAAACCTTTGAAACAAACATCTTATTACAATATCCACTAAAAAGTGTATACTTTTTGAGTTATTCGGAATTTAATTTTACCATCCCTCGTAACTTTTTTTCCGGCTTCTTTTCGTTGAAATATGTTATATAGATAAATTTAAAGGGTGTCAAGAAAATGATTTTAGCGAAGTTTCATTGAAATCAGTACATTCGTTTAGGGGCTACAGTCTATAGCAACGCAGGTTTTTCTGCATTTTTATTTTTTTTCTTCTTTATTAACTTATCAAATTCTTTCAAAAGTTATATGTAGCATTTTTTTGTAACTCTGAATAATGCAAAATGATTAATTTTTTAAAATAAACCATATTAAAGGTACTTTAGAGGAAGACATATATGAACATTGGGCATTTAAGCCCTGTAAAGTCACATCGACGGGGATAAGACCTAAATGATATTAAAGACCACTTAATTATACAATGATCAAATTAAGAGAGTCTCTTAATTATGAGTTTAATCAAAATCGTTAGAGCCATTTTTGAGGAAATTGTAAAAATGTGTTTCAGCGTTCATATAAAGTGGCACTTCCGGTTAGTCGATAAACGAAAAAGTTACGGTCACATCCGGCTCATATACAAACCTTAAATACTTAATATCAGTTTCGTACTACTTTTCGTCTATGAGCTAGACTGTTAACACACACACAAACCAATTTGCAACACTTGGTTATTTGGACTCAGGGGACTTCAAAACATGTATTTCCGTTGAAAACTGAGATTCAAAAATTTTCACGATCGCAATACTTACCCTTACTATATATTATATATATACGTAAGTGAAAGTAAAAATTAGAAACTAAATATTATACACCGAAATATAATAAAAGAATATTAAGAAAACTTTACTCATTGGCAGACTCATGCCAGCTGTCAGCGAATAGATATTGACTCACTTCAAACAATTTGATGTTGATTTACGAAGATAATCCAGTTATAGTAAGAATGACCTCCAACAGCACTCTTGATATTACGAGCAGTGCTGGAGGACAAGCAAACCCGGATAATTGCCCCAGGATCTGGAATGGGATGGAACGCACTGACCAAGAATGGGCCACCATCACTTATTAGGAATAAAACAAATGTTAAAAAGCGTATGAGAATAATTGTCTATTAATTAAGCAACTGAATAAGAAACATATTGAATTAAATAAAATTCAAATATTACTTATAATAAAACAATTTAAAAAATAAATTAATTTTTTTGGCAGGATATAACCATTGGTGTTGTATGTTTAAGGCCAGCACTGATCATGAGCAAGTTGAAAAGGTCATGGATCAATAAATTTCTTTTATTTAAAATAATGCCCAGAAGAGTTACCACTGCCTTCCAATATTCTTCCTTCCAATTATTTTATTACTAATTTTTACTGGCAATCCACTTATTATCAATGTTAGATTAGGCTGATTAGTGGACTAAAAAAAAATATTAAAACAAAGTAAAACAAAAATAAAATGAATACATAAGAATTGACAAACCTCACAGCAACATAATCTCGAAATGCAGATGTCACAGCACCAACGCCACTATAACTACAAAACGATTCCCAGGTACCTAAAAAAACAAAAATTAAGAAAAAAATAATATTAATGCCAATACTATTAAGTGTAAAAACTATTTTTAAAAGTTTATACCATCTTTATTAAAATCTTCAGGCACAGCTAATTCTTCTATAAGACAATTTAAACTTCTTCCTAAACCTTCTTCATAGAAGATACTTAGAGCCTAAGAAAAAGAAAAAAACAATATATTAACACAATTTAATTTATATTATATACATATTTTATTAATTTACTTTATCATTTTTTCATTATTTCTCTTTTTTTATTTTTTATTTTTCTTAAACTTCATTTATTGTATTTTTTTTTTTTTTTTTTTTTTGTTCTTTCCTACCTCGCCTTTTAGCTATACGGGATTTTCCCGGGCCGGGGGGTGAGGGCGGGGAATTTAAAATCCCCTCCGGCGCCGGGACGCGAACTCGTACTTTTTATATCATCTCAAATCTCTGTTATCCGGTTGCCAGGCAACTAGCGGTGCTGTTACACACGCTTTAGCATATTCGGCCATCCCGACCCCTCATTTATTGTATTATTATTATTTACCCGGCTCATGGCAGTAAATTTATTTATTCTGTTTCATTGGCCGTGGGGCGACCCTGGGGTAGGGAAACCCTCCTGGAGCACACCCAGTCTCTATAAAGTGGAAACCCTTAATTATATAATTAATAAAGGTGAAAACCTGGCGGTTTAGCGTGATCCTGGCTCGATCTGCTCCCTGCATAACCGCTGGCCTTGAAACAGTACTTTCCTAAAATAGTACTGAACCCAAGACCATTCATGGGTTGCAGTGGCACAGGTTTTTATTTTTTATTATTATTCATGTATTCAACAAACTTTACTAGTCTATAGTTATAGGCATCACGTATCATTAGGGGTGTCTTTTGTTTGAGACTATATCTCCACTTAGCCAAATGTTAAAAATTTACTTATTGTTAATATACCCATGTTTTTACAGAAATGAAGAATATATAAAAAAAACCCACATAATTGAGGCTTTCTTATTTCCTTAAATGTACAGGAATCAGAATATAAAGAGAATAATTCGTTCACTATAATGATCTTTTAAAAGGTTAGTGTTCAATGATCATTGTCAGTAAAAACTACAGTGGCTTAATAATACAATGCGCCCAAACCGTTGTGGCGGCCATATTGGGTCATCGGGAAACTAATATTTGATTAGTCTTCTTTGTTCTGTCTTCCATAATAACCATCCGAAACCTCTTGTTTCCAATTTTGCTTCCTCTTCTATTCCCGATAACCCTCCAAGGCGTCTGAAAAGAAGATGGCCTCGGGGCCTTTTAATATAGAACTTTAGTTTGAGTTCTACCAATGGGTAGTTTCTCTTCATGTTGTACATGTCATGTTACCAATGTCACATTTACTTGTTGTATTCCTCATTTAATACAGTCGTAAATTTCATTAAAATAAAATAAAAAATCATTGCAACAAACTATTAACTAGAATGGTTTGGAAGATAGAATTGAAGTTGGGCAAGTCGAATGAAGCCTATGAATCACTTATATCATGCGAAAATAAATAATAAAATCAAACAACAATATATATGTTGTTTCTTTTATTGGACTTTTTTTGAAAATATATTTCAATAAACTTCGATTTCCAATTTATTTATCTTATTTCCTCATAGGCAAATTTCACAAACAAATTTATATAATTATTAAAACTGTAAAAAAAAAAAAACGGAGTGAAATTAACTTTCATTGGAATGTTATTAGAAAACTAGAATCTCAATTCAAAGTTAGCAACCATGAAACTATTTTTTATTTTTCTGCTTAATACACACCTTTGAAAAATAAAAAAAACCTTTAAATAAATATAAATTATTTAATGTAAATTTAATAAATACAAATTATTTATAGTAAATTTAATAAATATAATTTATTTATTTTCACTTTGTTACGTGTAACACCCCAGCTCCTCTTCAATATATCCATGACAGTCGATTATTAATCCAGTATTATTAAAAATTTAATTCTTGATCAATAGAATCATTTCCGATCATTGATAATCAACTATTTTTCATGAAATGGTTCATCTCTTACCATATTTAGATTTTGTATATTGCATCTGAAGTAGAAAAAAATTATTCATTTTACTTTTAATCCTGGTAAAGGTGGTAGGAGAGTATTTGTTTCGGAATAGTATAACTTAATTTTTGTACAATTTGAAAATTTCTATTTACCAGTCAATATCAATATACCTGTTATCAATGAAGCGGATGAATAATCATAATATGATAAATTGTAATAATGTTCCTCATATATAAGGTTTCCCTGATTTTATTTATTTTTCATTACTTTTTAGGAAAATCAGAGGTTGTTGGCTACAATGTTTTCAATTTTATCACACGGGATATGATACTAAGTAAAAAACCAAATTCTTTTTACTAATTAAATTTATCTTAAGTCTGAATACAATAAATCTCTTAAGAATACTATCTTTAATACTGTGGAATTAATTATGTGTTCTGCATCAACAGAACTCATTTTTTTTCTATAAAAATGCTTTTAAATCACCTCTTACTGACTTGATTTGGCTTATATAGGTTTTGAAAACGGCTTAATCCTTTAATTTTTTACTTTATTTTATTAATTTTCCTTTGCAATTCAGTGGTTATGAAAGAAAAATATGGAAATTAATTTTGAAACTTGTTATAGAAGATAATTTCTATAATTTGAGATTACTAGCTAATAATTTTTATTTTGAAGTCAGTGGTTTCAAGTATAAAATTGAAATTTGGTTTTCCTTTATAGTTATAGTTACTTTCAATATTTAAAATATGAGTATAGTTGATGATCCTTGAATGATAGTTGAATTGAGTATAGTTGATGTTCCTCAAATGATAGTTGAACTATCTTGAATAAATATTAACAGTTTTAGAATTTCAATTATTAGAAAAACTAAGGAAAATAATATTTCATTTCAGAACTTTTGCAACAGGACATGATTACCAACAAAGGCATTTATATAGGATTGGAGTGATGGAAAGCTCTGTGTGCCCTCTTTGCCATCAGGACGAGATATACAACCTGCACCTCTCAGATTGCCCCGCTCTGTCAGATGTCTGCAGTAATTCTGATGGAATCGGCACAAATTCAAGCAAAGGAATCGTGGTGGAATGGTATTGGGCTGCCAGGAGCCCAACGCCTCTGCCGAATGGCCTAATAGCCAATGGAGAGGCGTTGAATAAAAAAACTTATTGATTCAAGGACTTGTATCATCTCTGCTTACAGAATGTGACCGCTTTAGGATAAAAAATTGTATTGGTTTTTCATTTCTGGGTGGACCTGTTTTATTTAGAAAAGGTTCATTCCATCTTTAAATGATGGAGTATATTTGAATAAATAATTGATTATAACTGTTTAATTGACGAGAAAAAATTACTTACATCATCAAGTTGCTTAGAAGGATGAATGAGATCAGCAGCTTCTTGAAGGATGGAAAGCTCATCAATTGATTCTCCAGTATGAATGCTCAATTCCAGCTTAACAATGCCAGATTCTAAATTAATATCCCTAAGCTTTTCTACAAGCCAGCCGTATCCAACTAACATAAATAAAATAAATTAAACAGATAAATAACAATATTATATTTACTCTATGCAAAAGCAATAGATAACAAATAAACCTTGTGGAAATTGTGAAGACTTTACAGCAGTTGTCATAAAAAGTTCTAATGGTTCAATATCAACAACTATTGAGAAACCACATTCTTGAATTAAAACTAAGTAATCTCCGAGCCAAACCATTCCAAGAGGAAGCATACTTGAAATAATATACTGACTGCAACATGAATATAATCGATTCCAACACCTGCAAGAAAAAATAAACAATTTACAACTAAGCTTCATATATTAATAATTGATGAGATGACTATTTTCACAAGATAATTTAGGAAAATTATTGAAATAGATTTCTATATACCTAAAAGCAATATCTAAGAATTCATCATCATCCAATTCTTGTTCACCAATTTCTGAATAAATTTCAGTTTCCACTATGGCACAAATCTGTTCAGCAACATCGATGTTTGGTTTTATTACAGCAGTTATTTTATAAAGCTAGAAAATAAAAAATAAGTTTTATTAGTAGTTATTAAATAATATAATACATTGCTACCTATTTATTTATTGTTACATATGACCATCAAGATTTGTCTCCAAATTTTAGCTATCTAGTTTCTCTTTAAAATAACTGTTACAGAAATTAAATAAAAACACTTCATTGGAATATATAAACAGTAAAGTCAAGGAAGGATGGTAAATGATGTGTTAACCATTGCCTTTTTTCGTTGTCTGTAATGCCTATTGCAATGGAAAAAAAAAAAAACTAACTTATTGCTTACGAAATTAATAATATTAATATCATCCAAAATGAGTAAGTTGTCCCATATTTTTAGAAAAAGAGACAAACAATATCTAACAAGCAAGTCACTGGAAAGCAGTGGTTCTCAATTTACTATAACAATACTAACTGAAATTGCTTTAGCTATATCCAAAGAAGTGAAGAAACCAGAGGAAAATATGGCATCTAAATAATGAGAAGCTGGATCCCTAGGAATGTAGTCTGACACTGGCACCTTTAAAAAAAAAAAAAAAAATGATCATGTTTCTTGTACTCATAAAATAAAATTATTTATTTGATGATTTCTTTTTTGTCTTACTTGAAGAGAAGGTCTGGTTAATGCCACCTTAGAAAATCCTGGATGAATGACATTATTCTTGGTAACAGCAGGTGATTCATCTAATGTTAACCAACTACACCAAAAATATCCCTCCTCCCCAGGACACATATTTGTAACTTCAAAACCCTACAAATAAAATAACATTAAAAAACATATATAAAATATTTTAAACTATTATAGGATCTGGAAATAGGTAATGGTAACAGTCGTTCACAAAGAGATTAATTAGTGTATTTTGTCTGCATCACTAGACAATTTTTATTAATCTTTGCAAATGAACACATTTAAAATAAAAACAAAACTGTTATTGATAAACACATACAAGAGGAGGCTACAGATGTGGGTTCGCCAACTTTAATCAAATATTTTTTTATGATACTAAGTCTGTATATGAGACCCATGCCCTTGGGTTCTAGCCAATGGGACCTATGAGGAGAGAAAAAAAAAAGTACAAACCATTTTTATATTATTGTTATATGTTTTTGTTTTGCATGGATTTCTAAGTTGTAACATATCATTTGTTTGTTTTTTTTATAAAATAAGAAAAAAATATTGCTAATTGTATTAAATGAATTTGAATGTATAATAAATTACAAAAATCGAAGATGCTTCCAGTAAAATAGGTTAAGTAAATTTTTGTCATGAAAAAGAAATTCAGATTTGATATTAGCATAACATGATTCACCAGCAAATTCACAAACGATTTCCCTACTTTTGGCAACTTTGACCTCATTTGATGGTAGTTTATAGTAGAAGAATAATAAAAAAAGTCATAAGTAATAAAGTAATAAGTTCTAAAAATAACAATGGTGAGATTGAAGATGGAATGATGCTTAATAGGAGGTTGTTTAAAAAAATAGCTTTTCTTTATCAATTGAAAAAAGAAAAACACTATTCAAAATTTATAAAATGATGAAGAAAAGATGTTTTTTAAACAACTAACCACTTTAAATAAAAATTTATGTACTTGACTGAATAATAAGTTAAAAGTAATAATAATAAATTAAAAAGTTGAGAGAAATGACTAATTTCTAATAACATTGTGCTGAACAGTTTATTATCAATGACAGTTGCTAAACATGCACTTACAGCATTACTTGATACATGCGAATATATTTTCTTAAGCACGACTATTTCTCAAAAACAGCTAGTACGATTTGGCTAAAATTGAGGATTAACAAAAAAATGATGATATATCAAATTATCCATCCATTACTTATTCTTATATAAGTGCAAACACATTTCCCTTGAAATACATACATTAATTAGTCCAGTAAAGTTAGGTAAAATGACAGCTTTATCCCAACATTAAAAAAATAAAGATTAAACTTGTCAGAAATTGTTTATTATTTTCTCCATAATAACTGGTAAAAAGCCTCAAAGAAAACCGCATCAGGTTTTGATGCGGAGAGGACGGAAAAATGATTTTTTTTGCGAATATTTCAAAAACTGAAAGGTTTTTAAAGATTGTTCAGTACAATATTAAAGTACTTTAAAATCTCTATAGAAATGATCTTATACATTTTTTTGATAAAATCAATGGTTATGGAGATATTTCTTCTTCTTATTCGGCGTTACGACCCATTATTTTGAGTCGTATAAGATCTTGTAAGGAACTTGGTTCGGATCCATCCCCTTATGACGTGACCAGCCCAGCGAAGTCTTGATACCTTTACGAATGTTAATACGCCTATTTCTTTGTACCTTGCTCTTAACTCAGTATTCGTTTTTCTTCTCCATACGCCTCCCTCACATATACGACCATATATACGGCGAAGCACTTTTCTTTCGAAACAGAGAAGGAGATACTCAAGGGCTTTAGTTGTAGTCCAACATTCTGAGCCATATGTAAGAACTGGTCACATAATTGTCTTATAAATTCTCAGTTTCGAGGCCTTCGACAATACACTACTTATCAAGAGTTTATGGAGGGAGAAATAGGTGCGGTTTGCGGAGAGGATCCGTCTTTGGATTTCTTCTTCAATGCAGTTATTACGGTTAATCTGGGATCCCAGGTATATGAATGATTCCACTCTTTCAAATCTATGGCAACCTATCGAGATATGACTCCCATCATCTTCGTGGATAGGTAGGGTACACATATATTTCGTTTTTTTAACATTCACCATTAGGCCAGGTCTTGCTGCAGACTCCTCTAATGCTTTAAAAGCTTCTCTTAAGTCCTTCCCGCAAGATCCAAGTCATTCGCAAATCCTAAAATCTGGACTGTCTTGTTGAGAAGTGTTCCTGTTACTTGGATACCAGAGTCCCTAATAAATTTCTCAAGGAAAAAGTTAAATACTAAACAAGCCAGGCCATCACCCTGCCTCACACCTGTCCTCGTTGTGAATCCTCTTGATAGCAATCTGCCCACTCTAACAAAGCATACGTTGTCCTCCATCATCATTTTTACTAGACGAACCAGTTTGGTAGGGATGCTTATATCCACCATTGCCTTATATGATTCTCCTCTGTTCACAGAATCGTAGGCTTGTTGGAAATCAATGAACAGGTGGAGAGTATGTATCTGGTATTCCCTTGTTTTCTCCAACAGGATTCATAGGGTAAACATTTGATCTGTCGTAGATCTTCCTTTTCGGAATCCAGATTGATACTTTCCGAGCTCTTGTTCAGGAGTCTATTGAAGAGTATGATGGATAAAATTTTGTATGCGGTGGGAAGGAGAGAGATGCCTCTGTAGTTATTACATACCGATACATCCCCTTTCTTATGAATGGGGCAAATCACCATTTTGTTCCATTGAGCAGGTAGTCTTTCTTCTCTCCATATATCAATCAATAACTCTTGGAGAAATTTTATTATTTCACCCCCACTACGTTTAAAGAGCTCAGCTGGGATATTATCGATTCCTGGAGCCTTGTTATTCTTTAATTTCCCAATTGCATCATGTATTTCCTCTTCATCTGGGGGCTCTATTAATACCTCATCTTCCCGTTCCAGGAAGTCACTTGGGAGTATATTGTTTTGACATCCTCTATTTAATAGATTTTGGAATTGGTTTGCCCATACTTCCATGATTGCGGCTTCCTCGGTGACCAGCGTGCCATCGTTTTCCCTACAGGCATAATTCAGGGAATGGAATCCTCTGCGGTCTTTATTAATCATTCGAAAGAATGCCCTGCTACTTTTTTCATTGAAAGCAGCTTCTGTGTCAGCAAGCCTCTGGTTTCCCACTGTCGCTTCTTCCGTCTCCGTGTGTGAGTTTTTCTTCTTCTTCTTGCACGGTACTCCTCTACATATTTTCTGGTGTATTTCTTCTGGATCATGGTTCTGTATGCCCGATTTTTTTCCTCATTTAGTATCCTGCACTGTTCATCGAACCATGGTTTTCTCCTTCGCTTTTCTTCCTTGATCCCAATTACTTCCTTTGGTACCTCAGTCATAGCTGTTTCGCACTCTTTCCAGTGATTATCAATGGTTGCATTACGGTCAATGGTCCTAATCTTTCTATCCATTGCAGCAGTGAACCTCGTCTGAATCTCTTCGCTTTTGAGCTTGGATGTGTCAAACCATAACACAGGAGCACTGTTCTGTCTGTTCTGAGCACCATTCTATCAAAACCTCACTGTTTTTGAGATATACTCCAAACAAAAAAAAAAATATCAGTTTTCTGTCCTTTCTCCTCTCCCCTATCAAAAATTGATGCGGGATTGTATGGGAATTTTTACTAGCTATTACGGGAAGGATAATAAACAATTTCTGACAAGTTTCATTTTTATTTTTTGAATGTTGGGGTCAATCCCTAATTTTACTGGACTATATCTCGATCTGCCTCAAAGTTGGAAAGAATTAAGGAATTGGTGAAAATATTATTTTATTCCCTTTATATGAGCCATTTATTTTGAAAGTGGCCTAAGTCCATTTATACTTAAATTGAGATATTCAAGGGTTTGCGTTTCAATGCAATTAAAAATACACGAATAGGATACTAAGAAGTCATACCACTAAAGTGTATCTAAAGGAGTTAAATTTATAGTTCGTATTAAAATGATGGAAATTATTAAGTGAATAGTATGTGTTTTCTTACTAAGAATGGAGTTAGGCCACTTCCAAAATTAACAAGATTCATTTCAAAATTTGAAGGAGCCCAAGTCCATTCAGCATAACTTAAGATGTCTCAAATTGAAAAAAAAAATCTGGTGCAGTGCGTGCATCACACAACTCTCACTTATCACCTACTTATTAGCAGAAATAAGTATTTTGAGACAAAGGAGAAGTGAAAGTAAACAATTATAAACGCTATATTGATTTATATTTCATTGTGGGTATTTTTATTTGTTAAAATAAATATTTTATTGCGCCCGTTATCATTAAACAGGCTAATCTCTGTAATTTTGTCAATTATGTCGTCTTTTGGCCCACTCTTGCCCCCCCTATGCCACCATACAACAGTTGAATATAAAAGGGCAGGTCTAACCGCTGTAACATACAGCCAGTAGACCATCCGAGGTTTAAGTCCCCATGCCTTCCCAACAGCATTCTTACATGCCCAGAGACATTTTAGAGCTTTATTGGTTGTGTACTCCACATGTTTATTCCACACCATTCCATTCTCCAGCATAACACCTACATGCTTTACCTCCTTCTGCTACTTTCTGTTAGCATTTTAAAAATACAAACATTTATCTTGGGCAGCTTAACACTTAGTTCACTAGACAGGCACCATCTCTCCAAGACTCCTGTCGCATTTCTCAACAGATCAGATAGAACATTCTGATATTTTCCACCAAATTTTCCATTACTTTGAGCTATTAAAATTTGTTTCTTAGTTACTAAATTATTTAATAAGAAAATGGACATGGTTTCCTTTACCTCTAAGGTACAGAAATAAACAAAAAGAAAACTTAATGAAAATTTGAAATTGAAAACCAGTAAGTTTCAATAACAGAGAACAAATGCAGAAATGGCTAACATACGTAACAATATTTGTGTTGTAAGATATATAAAAGTTAAAAGCTTCACTAAGAAATAATGAGTTATAAGAAAGAAAACTTGTTAAAAGGCAGTATGCCAAGAGGAAAATTGGCAGACCAAGAGCATTGTAATGGGCCAATGAAGTGGCAGATAAAAAGTTGTCCATCTTGGGATTTAGGTCATGATATAAGAGCAATGAGCAATAACAGATCTCTCAATACAGCTAAATAAATAAATTAATATTTTATTCCACAGAAGTGGCTGCAGAGCAAGAGATTGAATATTCAGCATTCATAACAATTCAGAGTGATCGCTTGTCACAAAAAAATGAGAAATATTTTTCGTTAAAGTCTCCTTTTACTCTTGTTTTAGTAGTTAATTTAGTATTGATGGTATGATGGCAAACAATTCTCTTATGATTATAAAAATTTAATATCCTTCGTGCTAAGTGATTATGAATAGAAATGGTGAGGGATAACTAATCTGACAAGTGGGCCTTGAGGACCTTTCTCTTATCCCAGGTGGCTCCAAGAGGTTGCTGCCTCTTAGTAACCAAAGTGTGGGTGTCAAGATTCAATTCTTACGACCATTGAGGAACTAATGTTAATGATCCAGGAAACAATCAAACCTACAACTTACACTATTCCAAGCTGGACATTCTAGGCTCCTTCCCCTAACATAGTCGGCTCTAACGACCTACACCTGCTTTGGAGTAACAATCAGAGATTGCTCAGCAGAAATATGACTCTTGAAGACGCATGACCGATTGAAAATTTTTTCCCCAAGTATTTCAGTGTAGTCAATATGGAATTGAATATTTCAATCGACATTTTAACATTAAAAAAAAAACAATTTCCAGTATCTTCCCTGAAATAGGTAAACAGTTACTAATGTTTTCCTTCAGAATTTGTTGAGGAAATTAATATAACCTACCACAAATCGCCTTTTATGCACAATTGTTAAATGAGGATTCGCTTAATGCTAGTAATGTCAAAAGTTCACTATTTTATGGTATGGTGATAAATGCCATTTGTAGTTCGTATGGTAGCTATCTCTATAATTTATTGCTCATCTTTTATAGCTAATTGTTTCTATTGCGTTCGAGGCATTAAGAACTGTAAAGCAGCAGTAATGGACCAAGATAGCAGAAGATGCTAAAGGAAATTTTGACTTACTATGAGTTGTGTTGACCTAAATAAACAAAGAACTCCAAATTTAGATGTGGACATACACAGTTCTTGTGAATACAAACTGCAAATATTTAATATTCATGTCTGTAGAAGTTGTTGAATTCAATTATCTTATGGGAATTGAATATTAGACAGTGAAGCTTAAATTTTGCAGATATTTTCCATCTAGTTCAAAGCTATACCAAATAGCTTTGTTAAAATGTAATATGTACAATTATATAGAGACAGATGTAATTAGAATTATTTTATAAAAATATGTTCAGGTAAATATTCACATAAAATTGTTTAATGGGAATAATACTCATAAAAACATGCACACTTACAGGTTGAATAGGTATTTCCGAAATGGTCGTAAAGTTGAATACACCATTACCATAATCTGGAGCTAATGTTACAATAGCAGCACCTTGTACACAACAGTGTAATATAAAAGTGCCATTTATATATCCTTTGCACATCTTGTGTTTCTGAGCTAAAATCATAAGGAAGTACAACAGTGGCAACTCTAATTCACAATCCTCATTAAAAATTATTTTTAGTAATAATAATAATAATAACAATCAGAAAAATGTTCAATAAAAGTTAAAACCAAGATTGAAGAAATTAAAAAATAACAACAGACCTTACGGATAGATTGGTTATAAACAAAAGAAATAAGCCTGCATTATCATTGACATAGCAGCACTCTATGATTCCAACATAGTAATCATCAGGGCAGAAAAAATCAAAAACAAAATCAGGAAGTAGTCTTGGAGTTAAAAACACCATATCATTTAGAAAAAGTAAAATTACTCCCATAACATAAATATAATATCTTCAGTATTGAAAAGTACAACAGGAGGTACCAAAAATCTTGGACATGACTTGGCATATTTAAAATCAGCTCAAAAAGCAGTCCTGCTGTGCAGGATTATAAGAAAATTTTTAAATAAATATAATAGCCCACCTGCGTTCCCTTGAAGATTTTTTTCGGGATGTAAATATTCAATATATCTGAGAAAGCAAAGCAAATAAAACTAATAATAACAATCCAGAAAAAAGTTCAATAAAAGTTAAATCCAAGATTGACGAAATTATTGCTTTTAGTATTGACACAATTGAAAAATATGACATGGTTAACAAGCTAATCTCACTCCTTGACAAATTAAAGCAAAAATTAGCTGTTTATTCTAATCAGAAAAGAAAATGTACTGAGGCGGAATGTAGAAGGGAAAAAAATGCACTGTTCCAATCAAATAAGGAAGTGTTCTACAAAACATTACTCTCAAAAGATCTGCTTCATTCAATAATGATGTTAACGGTGAAGATATGAGAACCTACGGGTGTATATGGGAAAACCCGAAAATTATAAAGAAGGAACATTTTGGCTTAAGAATGTTAGAACAAAAACAGAGTATACCTGTTACGGAGATTACTGATTTAACTGAGGAAGATATTATCATAGTAAGGAGGTTGAAAAATTGGAAGGCATCTAATAAAATCCATAATTATAGGACCACAAGTTTTAGTTGTGTGCATAGGGCTCTTGCTAAATGTTACAATAAATACTTAACAATGTCCGTAATAAACCTGATGATTTCGTCCTAGGAATAACTCATATGATTCCAAAAGGAAATCACAAAATGGACCAAAAGATTATAAGCTAATTATTAGCTTAAACAATACCTATAAAATCCTTATATCATTTCTCTGGTCTCTGGCCATAACTAATTAAGTTGACTTATCCTAACATTGCATTTAGTCAATTATTCTTTAACTCTTGAGTTCTTACACCATTGGTAAAATTCAGTTACTCTAACTGAACTAGTTATGGCCAGAGAACAGAGAATTATAGGTAAGAAAATGAAAGATCATATCAACCTCTTGGCAGTTGTACAGCTGGTGTATAAAACTGATTCCAAAGGATGTAAAGCCATAGATTTTCTAAAAAACCTTATGGAGAAGTGTTCATTCAATCAGAAGAGGCTTATTTGCCTTTATTTATTGAGTCCTTTATGGTTTTGTCTATTGAATGCTTAGAGCCAGCTATTAGCTGATTCGGGCAAAGGATGTTTTCTTAAAGATAGAGTGCAAATTACTCAGGCTTTTTATATGAATGATATAAAAATATATGCTAGAAATAAGAAAGGCTTGAAAAATTTATTAGTCAGTGGGAGTATTCAGCAGGGATATAAATATGACCCTTGAGTTGGAAAAATGTCTAGTAATTAACATACGCAAGGGCAAGCTGAAACATTGAACTTTCACACAAATAATAAAGCAGCTCAAGGAATCAGATTCCTATAAATATCTAGGTGTAAATGAGATCTTAAAATTCTAGGACAAATCCTGTGAAATATTTCAAAAAGAATTTTAAAATTTAATCAAATTTCTCCTTAAAACACATCTTTCATCGGGTAATATTGTAAAGGCTATAAATGTCTGGGATATTTTCATATTATCATACACGTTTGCAGCGTTGAAATGGACAGACACTAGCTTGCAAGCATCAGACTATAAGCTCAGAATGATGATGACTGCAACCAGAAAAAGGCATCCAAAATCATCAGTTTCAAGACTCTACCTCCCAAGGAAACAACGTGGAAGAGTGTTAAGTCATTTCAAAAGCTGTCGAGAACAGGAAATGCAGTTGAGAAATTATACTCTCAATGGTGAATCAAAATTAATGGCTACTATTAAGAAAATGGACCAAAACTTAACTACATTAAATCTTGCAGCTAAGCCTAAAAGGCAGTAACCAGTAAGGAACTGATAAGGGATGATAGACAGTAAACAGCTTTACGGTAGTTTTTGACCTCACTTCATCAACAGGCATTAATCATTCTGCCTCATTTGAATAGCTTAGAAAAAGGTAACTGTTTCAGGAAACAGAAGGTTTTCTACTTGCTATACAGGACCAAGTAGTGGCAACTAACTCCTACTGCAAGTATATATTTAATCAGGATGTTAGTGATAAAAGCCAACTTTATAAAGGTGAAATTGAGTCCATTCAGCATATAACAACAGGTTGCACATTATTAGCATGGAAAGAACACCTTGAAAGACATAACTTGGGGAAAGTAATTCACCAAAGTCTGACCAAATAAAAATTTACTGAGAGAACAAAGCCTATTAAAAATAATTAACATATTTTCAACCATTATTTATAATAACATAAATTAAAAAACTAGGAAATGACATAAGAAAATGTAAAATATAATTGTACATTTACATTATGAAAATATAAATGGATGGTATGAATCTAAAAGATAATTTTAGATTTAAGAATATTCATAATTTTAAAAAACGCATTTGTGAACAATACAAGGTACTTACCTTTCAATGTTGTTTGACTTGTTAACTTCACACATAGAGACGTGATAAATGATCCTCTATCAACTGACCATACACGAAGGCTTCCTCCTCTACAAAGTGTGAAGAGAAAAAGTTCTTTTTTTATATAATGCAAAATCAAACTAACTGGAACCCATTCTCCACCATCCTTTCCCCTGAAATAATAAAAATTAAGTTTGATGAAGGAAATATGAATTTCCACTATGACAATTTTTTGGAAACAACCTATTTCCATAAAAATAGATCCATATGTAAAAAATGGGAATCAAAATATTTCATTATTTTTTTCTCCTTAGTCTTTCCTCTTCTACCACAGCACAGTGTGAGGTGCCTTTCGATAGAGCTTGATTCCTAAATTGATGATTCATTAATTTCCATATAATAAATTAAAAAGTTTGATTTATAAATAATCAGGGGTAATTTTTGAGAAGTCTCCATAATGAATAGAAAGAAACTAGTGACGCCCTTGTTCTGGAAACTTTAATTCTAATTATAATAGCTTAGTTTAATTATTGTAGGCTTAGCTACTTACTATATTGGAAATAACGTACGTTAGTAGAGATTGTATCTTTCTTTTATTCTTTATCCCCTTAGAGAACTTACTGGCATCATGTAAACTCAAATCTGTTTACATGAGAAAAGAAAAAATTATGTGATTAATGCGAGTACAAGAGAGGAACTTAGTATTCGCAAAATATCAGGTTTTGTTTTTTTTTGTCTTTTTTTGTTTGATAGGTATTGACGAACTTTAGCATTATCAATAAATAAAAATATTAAATAGCATGTAAATAAAAACATAAATGGTAGTTTGTTCAAAACGGCTAATCTCCGAAAGTTCTTCACCAATTTCTTTTAAATTTTGAAACGTCACAATAATATTTAGAAGTGTTTCTGTATGCGTTTCATTATCATCAGGCCTTTCCTTTCGAAATGGTGTCCACAAAATGTGATTCGCTTTAGACTGTAGCGCCAATACAGCTTCAACAATTTCAATGTAACTTGGCTAAAGTCTTCCCCTTCAAACATTTATACTTTATGTATATAACATACTTTCCCGAAAACATATAATACTAATATTTATTTGAAAGCTTCCTGAGTTTCCTACAAAATAAAAAAAAATCATCGAAATTGGACTATTTGTTGCAGAGATATATCTATTTTAAACATTTAGTACTTTTTGTTTTGCCAAGTCGATTTCCATTATTTTGGTCTTTGATAAATCGAAAATTTTACATCTAATGAAGTAATCGGGACTATTATTTGAAGAGATGATATCATTGAATGTTATTGGAATGTTACCTTATAAATTAAATTTAAAAGTAAATGCTATAGATATACTCATTCTTAACTTAAATACTGCATAAGCATTAGTTAATGTCACACGAATGAGAGTGAAGTACTAACAGAGGCTACTTTAAATAAAAGAATTTTAATTCCAAGAATTAATTTAATGTTTTCTGACACAATACATTATATTCGACTTTCAAAGAACAATGTTCTTATTAATAGCTGGATTTGCTAAGACCATAATCAAATCGCAGGATCAAAGTTTTGGAAAAAAATGTGTATTATTGCGACGTCCAGTAATTTCGCATAGACAATTATATGTGGCAGCAAGTAGAGCACATTCATTTAAAATAGAAATTTATATTTTCAATGGCAATGGGCAAGGCTATGCACTAAACAATAACAGAACATTCAAATAGAACTTGTTTACAGAGAAGTTCTGAATAAAAATGGATTTAAAGTGAATTGAAATTGCTAATTTCAATTTATTTTTAACTTGCTTAATCATAACATTAATTTATTGTGATAATAACACACATAAATTAAAAATATCACATTATTTGCCAATGTTTCAACTGCCTGCCGTGCCACATCCCATGCCCTGATGAAGACCTGCAAGGAGGGTCGAAACATCGGCATAATAATTAAATAATACTATTTCTATAATTTAGTATTTATTTGACCGCACCCCCCCCCCTCCCCTGATCAACTCCTTCTCATATTATATCACGGTCAACCATCTCTACATCATTATAAATAAGTGAACATTAACTTAACTAAGGATTCAGATTTTTACATATTTTAAATCTTTTAAATCTTTTTTTATTAATAATAAGTTTGAGAGGTCTATTTTTGTCTTGTCTTATTTAATAATTTGCTTTAATAACTTAATCATTAAATACAACAAGCAATGATATTAATTATATGATAATACACATTAAAGAATAGCAGGATTTAGATAAGGCACTTTTTTGAGAAACATTTTTTGAAGCGATCAACTTACAAAATTCCTGTGAGAAATCTAGGAACAATGTTATCATGGGAAAGAATACGAGAAGAAGATAAGCCACTAACAGAATCTACAATGACAAGAAGAACTGAAGCATTTGCTAATCCAAGAGCAAATATAGCTTCTCCATTATTTGCAATACAAGATGTGCAGCTAACAATTGCACCTAAAAAACAAAACAAAATAGTTTAAATGATACTGAATCTTTAGTATGCTTTAATATCAAATTAAATTCAATAAAAAATCAGACAGTTTTAAATGAAATAAAAAGCAATTAATGTGGAAATAAACATTTCTTTTTTTGGTTGTTAATAATTTATGAGGGAACATCTTCTATTTTTCTTATTCAATTGTCTTTGTCAAAGTTAAAAGTTCCTTCTCCATCATCAGGACAGAATTTCTTGTACCCATTTTTTCTAATATTATTTTCTAATAACAAATTTCCACCCCCTCCCCCTCCCCCCTTAGCCATTTTAATATCCATAATAATGTCATACATGATAAGTGGCCCCTACCCTCCCTAAAGTGATAAATGTGTAACGATGCCTGAAATATTAGGTGCTTTTAGGATAAACATGAAGATCCTGATAATTAATTATCAGATCTAGTCTTTTACAGCAATTAACCCCAGGAAAAAAGGGCCTGACAAGCGTAGTTACACCTGTGATAAAATATATATATATATATATATAATCACAAGAGTAACTACGCTGAAATTCTTATATATATATATATATATATAATAGATGTTATCCTACTTTATTATTTTTAAGATTTACTTATAACATTATATATAAATTGTAAAATATAGGCCCACTAAAAGTAGGTAGGAAGTTACTGGAGGGCACCAGGCATTCTATTAGTGTAGTCAAAACTTTCATTAATACCTCAATAAAATAAAAAAGCTAAAATTCACCTTACTTTAGCTCATGAATTTTGATCAAACTGGGAGCAAGCCTGCCCGCTCGGTTACCAATCTTGGTGACCGATCCCCTATTAAATTCAAGTTAAAATATTGAAGTAAATTGGATGAACTATGGTACAGAGGGCGGGAAAGAAGGACAAAAAAATAGTGAGATAATGTCACATGGTCCTCAGCCGAAAAACATGGCATTTTTATCAATAAGACTCATATTGCAACTTTCAATACCAATATCTTTTGAACTGATAATAGTAGAGAGCTCTGTTTTTCATATAAATTTGTTATGTGAGAAATAATAAAAATAAAAACATACATATACTCTATTGAAACCCAGAAATGATCTTAATTGTTAAAAATCACAATTTTTCCCAATAGATAACTAAAACTAAAAATGACTTATGAAACTACTAAACATGTCAAGAAGAATATAAAAACTTCTAAATGAAACAGCAATTAATTATTAGAATTTTTATAATTGAGATTTAGTAATTACTGGAAGAACAATTCAGTTGATGGTAGGTCTGTGGATCCGTAGCATCACTTTCACTAATGCCATGAAAAACAGACAAACTAGACACTTCACCAAATCCCTGAAATAAAAATATAAAGTGAAAAACTTATAAAGTGATTGATTGGAATAATAACGTAATTATTTAATTTAAATATTGTCTGTGTATATACATAATAGCATAGATACACATTTCACACAAGCATAGATGGATTCAGAGGTTGGGAGGTCTTCCAGAATGAAGCCCTCCAAAATTAGCTGGTCTATATTAGCTTCAGTATTTAAAATGTAGAGCTAAATATTTAAACAATCAGAATATGTACTCTTTTTCAATTATATTATAAAACATACACATCCACTAAATGTAAGCACATATAAAAACCAAAAAAAAACCTAAAAGCATTATTGTTCCTAAAATTACCACATTTAACAGCCCTGCAAGGACTATTTAAACATCATTTTACACTGTGCCAGCCCTCATCAGACCTGTTTCGACATTCTGCTCATCCAGAGCTTTGGTAATATCCGTCTTCCTGATCTTGTCAAATGCTTGCTTAAGGTCCACAAAACAGATAAAAACTTTTCTGTTCTTTTTGAAGACATTTTCAGAGGTCTCATTGCAAATATCAGGGTTTTTTTATTCTCCTTTTTTGTTTTTCTTCTACTGCGACTTTAGATTTTTCAGTTAATTCTTCAGATTTAGGCTTATTGCTGTCATCTCAAATATGTTAGTGGAGCCTGATCTTTTCCTTTTTACTATTCTATATTCTAGGAGAATTTCCATTTTAATTAGCCTATGGTCACCAGTTCTGGTCCTTTCTTGACTCTAACATCCCAAGTTCTTTTTAATTCCTCTTTTGGGAACAGAAAGTAATCTATAATTGTTTTTTCGTTTGATAGTTCGGCATTCGTGATTTTGAGAATTTCCTTGTGGCTGGAAAAAGCAGTTTACTACTATACTGCCATTTGCCAAATAGTTCCAAAATCCTTTCCCCATTATCATTTCTAAAATTTTCTCAGTTTGTTCTCATCACTCTGTGCTTCTACCCACTCTACCATTGAGGTCGTCCCATAATAAAATGAAAATAGATTTTTATTATTCTTGGACTTTTGTCCCTTTAGGACAAATTATAGATACAGAGGAAATGCCTGTGTGGCCATAAAATTAAATTAAATATTTACAATGCTCATTAAAATAAAAATATTGGATGAAAAATAAAACAAAACCACTAAATACATAAATATATATACAATACAAACATGTGAAAATAAAATAACATAATTAAACAAAACTATTTCTGGGGGAACTTAAAAAGATCTCTTATCTACTTTTCATGTTCAATCGGGTTGGGAAAGAAGTAGGTGCTTAAAAAGGAGGGATTTAAATGAGGTTATCTCATGAAGGTCTTCAAATAAACCTTTTTTTTTCTTAATCACTGGCAATTTCATTGAGGACATATGTAATAATTAAAGCATATTTTTTATGCTCAAATTTTATTTGGATGGTCATGATACTTTTCATTTATGGCTCTTCGATTCAGAATTCTTATAGTCAATTCTTTATGGATTATACAGCAACTCTGCCCCTGATTGTTAATCCCTGATTATAGTAGAACATATTCTCTGATTATTGCTCCTCACCTGTTTCCTTATTTTTTTGTTTTTGTAATACTTACTATGTTTATTTAGACTTTCCTTAATTCTTTGACTCTTTCCTCTGATACCCTTCACATTCCATATTCCTAATATAATATATATTTTTTTGTTCCTGGTCTTGAAAATATATTTTATTATTCTGGGACTGTTGTCCCTTTAGAACAAATCATAAGTGTTAAATTCATATGTAAGTGGTTAAATAGAGTAGATGTTTACAATATGGTTATTTAAAAGCAAAAATACAGAGAAAAGACATATACATACATAATAATCATACATAAAGTGTACATAATGTTACCGGAGAAAACTAAAGTAACAGAAATATTTTCTGAGGGTACTTAGATAGCTCTTTTAGGTATATGTCGTGATCAGGCGGATTGAGAAAGGAGTAGGTGTTCAAAGAGGAGGGGTTTGAAAGAGGAAACTGATTGCGTGTGACGAATATCAGCAGGGATGGAATCCCAGAGTGAGGCGGCTTGAATTGCAAATGATTTGTCATATGCAGCAGTTCGATGAGGAGGTGGATAGAGGTCGGAAGTGCGAGATCAAGTAGGACGGGATTGGATGGAGTATTTAAATTGTAAGCTATGGAAAATAGCAGCGTCGATGAGGTCTAATGATTTGGTACAGAAAGGTAGCTATAGAACTGACCGCGATAGGATGGATAGAGCCACTTCAACTCAGTGTAATACTGGGTAATATCTGTATCTCTTGAGATTCTGAAAACAAAACGTAATGTGCAGTCCATTAGGCGTTTAAGTTTGGCCTTGAGATCTTCTGAGAGACCACCGTATACCATACAGCCATAGCCGAAGTGAGGAAAACAAGAGAGAAAACTAGGAGTTGACGGGACTTATATGGAAGGAGATAACGTAAGTGATTGAACTGTATTAGGGTTGAGATAGTGCGACGGGAAATTTTGGGCTCCTTCAGTCCAAATTCTACGTTCACTCCTGCAATGCCCATCCCTAGTCTTCAAATTTATATAATGGCTACCTGAACAGATCTCTCATTTTTCGATCCTCATCTCTATGGAACTCAGTCCCTTTCTAAAATTGTAGCTCCAATATCCTCTCCACCTTTAAATCCTACCTATTCAATCACTTTCTATCCATCCAGTTCCCAAAAGATCATAACTAGGTGTTAATGTAAATATGTATGTAATTTGTAAATTACATGTATCCATCAATCCACCATTATAGATAATAAATGAATAAATTCAATTTTTGTGGTCATATACAGAAAATTATCTAGTTTTAAATCAAATTTAATAGTGCCGTTGCAATTAACCAATGGCAATAATTCAATAAAGTTTACTTAATGAATATACAAATATTAATAATATATAATTAAAAATTAAGCAATAATATAAAGGTTCAATATCCTTCTAAAACATTCTCAAGTCACTAGTTTTCTGATATGCAAAATTCAATTTTTTCATTTAAATTTTTCCCATAAATGGTCTCTGATAATTAAACTATATTGCTTTCTCTCCTTTGAAAAGTATACTATCATGAAATTATACTGCACAATTTTTATAAGTTATTTACTATTTTGAGTTTGAAGACAACATGATTTATGATGTTATGTTTTTACATAATTTGCCCCATTATTCAGTTAAATATTACAATTTTCTTCATTAATTTTTTTAAATTTTATGAAACTGACTATACTTCAAAACGGTGACTGAAGAATGATGGTACTGGCCAATGGCTGGGAACCAACTGACTTTATCAGGCCAAAATCCTGAGACCAACTGAATCTGTCAGGCTGAACGCTTGGGATGAACTGATCTGTCTGGTCTAAGGCCGGGTAAGAAATGGCATTGTAGCCATGGGCTATCTCCACCAACCTCCTTCATTTTAACATATTATAATTGGCAGAAAATTTAAATTTAAACCGAATATTTAATAGTTGACCGTTGCATTATAAAGAAAGGAGATGGTCCGGGGTGGCGGTCATAAATAGGCTAGATTGTGGTAAAACTATTTTTATTAAAAGCCAACGTTTCGACCCGACTTTGCAGGTCTTCTTCAGGGAGGTATGTTCAGCTAGGAGTTACACTTATAACTCAAAGTGCAAAGTAGGGTCGAAACGTCGGCTTTTAATAAAAATAGTTTTTAACACTATTTAGTCTATTTATGACCGCCACCCAGGACCATCTCCTTTCTTTAAATTTAAACTATTTTTAGAAAATCACAACAATATTCACGCTTATGTGTCTATCAAAATTTGATATACCAATAAGGGGTTACATATTCAAATACCTTTTTCAAGAGTTTCTCAGGATGTGGATATGTGAAAACGTGAAGGCTAGACACAGTAGGAACAAGAATAATCAGTCTTTTCATAGTTTCTGTAACAGTCAAACCATCCAACACTTGACTATCAGTAAATTTGTATCTAATCTGATTACCATGCAATGTTACGTCAAGGGATTCTTCAACCATTTCAAGAACATTTCCTTCAGTCCTCCTAAAAGAAAAATTGAAAATAATTTAATTTTTAGTCACTGAAGATTTAAATTTCATAATTAAATAATTAGATATTCCTATATCATTTACTAAGATATTTTTTTACTTCAGGTAAAAACTTCAAACTGCCTACTAACAGACAAAAATGAATTGTGGGAGCACACACAGATTAAAGTCAGTGTAGTAATTCATATGTAGAGTAGTTATGTAGCATACTTAGGCCTACAGATGGTCTTAATAGTTTAATCTGACTAAATCCTTTTAACCCTTCCTCTCAAATATTCCAGGCTGATTGCTCTTTCCAGCACCAAAGTAGATTTGACCACAATGAAAGTGGTAATGGATTGTATGTATATCCATGATAGTCCCAAGGTCAAAATCCTCCTGCATTCTCTTTCTCATGACTTCCCTCACATAGAATACCTGTTGAAACTGAATCTACTATCCGGATTGTTAAAAAACATTGATATATTACTATTTATATCAAAATATTAATAATAAAATTTGATTATCGAACAGTATTTATTCATAAGTGAAAGAAAAAAAAACTGCAAATACATCGGATTAAACAACCAAAAAAAAAGAAAGTTTTAATAGAGATATGGTGTTTTGTGATATCAAATAACAGATGGATTTATCAATTTTTTCTAGTTCTTTGTAATATGTCTTTTTATTAATAAATAGCTTCGTTTGACAAGGTTCTAACTGGTCTAACCTAAACTTTGCGAAAAACGAGTTTGAAAATTTAAAGTGCTAAAACTTTTTTTGTTTATAATAAAACTTATCAAGTTTTTTATCATTACTTTAAATGGTTGTAAATTAACTTCTGAAATTGGTTTACTGATAAAGAAAACTCTATCCCTTATTTTATATTGAATTAGTCAAAATTCAGATTAGAACCTTGTCATAGACAAAATGAGTAAAAATGAAAGTGAAAAAGGTGTAAGTGACAATAGAACCTTGTCAAACCAAAAAATGTAATGTATTGATGAAAAATGTATTTATGTGTATGATTTGAATATCAATCAGATAAAGTTGTTACTGAATCATTAAGAACTAACAATTTTAATTTTTGAATTTTTTCATACGTATTTAAATAAGTAAACCTATGGTGATTTTATAAAATAACAAGATTGGTGAATTCTTAAGCATTCATCAAAAGACATCTTTTCTGGCCATTTATATTAATAATTTTGATTTGATTTGGTGATACATAAATACCTCTTCGGTATTTCATTTTCACTACATCAGAATAATTACTTGAAGAGAGAGGATGCGATTGCCGAGATGAAAAATCATAAGGTACCTAGAGGTGACGGACTACCACCTGAGTTATTTAAATATGGTGGCGGAGAGCAACATTAGCTCACTTATGATCTGATATTCTCCATCTGGACACAAGAAAGAATGCCTCTTCAATGGAAATATGCAGTCATATGTTGTATACACAAGAAAGGAGAACAATTGGTATGCACCAACTACCGAGGGATTTCGTTACTGCAGAGCGCATATAAGGTACTCTCCAACTAAATTGAAAAATTGAGTACTTAACACCTTTAACATGTAAAAATCATAGTTTTTGTTTAATTCATGAAAAGCTTAGATATGACGTAGGGTTATCAGATTATTAAAGTTTTAAGTTTATGTTTACAATTTCGATATCGTGATATTATAAAAAATTCGCTGACCAGGGGACAGCTCAAAAAAGGAGGGGAGTACACCATTTGGTACAAAGGCAGCTGAAATTATTATTTAAGTCCCGGTTTTCTAATTGGGAAATATTGCTATCCTGTTTGAGGGACATACAATTCTTAGTGATAGGATATTTACCATATTTCAGGGATGTTGGTTCAAAATCACAGTAATAAATATACATTGTCTGATCAAAGACAGTGATGATGAAATTGAATGCGAAGTTTATGATAAACTCAAGTGGGTTCATAATAAACTAATGGGAAACTGCATAGAAATAATTCTGGAAGATAAAGAGGCCAAGATATGAAGGGAAGAGGTATATTTTCATATCATTAAAGAAAGTTTGCAGGAGTATAGTTATGATAATCGGATCCAACTGATAAACTTTGTAATCTCAAAAAAACTGACAATTAAAAGAACTACATTCAAACATAAGAATATTCAAAAATATACCTGGACATCAGCAGATTCACAAATGGGAAATCATGTACTGATACAACATGGGTGGCAAAGTAGTATAATTAATGCAAGGCTATAGCATGGCATGCAAGAGATTCTGGTGCATCCCACAATATGTCAAAAGCTTGTATAAATATGAAAATCCTTGTGTGAGTGGTAACACTAGGTGGAAGCTAATATATTATTATATCATTCCAAAACACCCTTAGTTCATATTAAAATTGAGACATTAAAAGGTTTTAATAACCAACAATTAGATGGTCAAGCAGGCTAATGCACTTGCAATAGATAACCAATTCTCCAAGAAACATTGATCATGGTAGGAACTTAGATGAGAGAACGCTGAACTCAGTGGCTTCACAGGACCAGGGATCTCAGGACAAGCTATGAATAGCCTGCTTTTATACGATGAAAAGCATTTATTTAAACTTCTTATTTTGGAGAATAAAAAGGGAAAACATTTTCTCTTTATTGAGGGAATGGAGATGGAAATAAATAATCAAATTTTGATTGATTATTGTGAATTTTAAAACGTGAACAAGGTAAATAACCTGAATTTATAAATATAAATTTACAAACCTACTCTGCTTCTTAGGCAATATGAGTGTTATATGTTAAACGTAGGATCCCATTGTTACATTTAAGACAACTTACATTGTTTACCATTTGTTGTGCACATTGAAATGAAAATTTAAAATATGAATTAAGGTTTAGAACTATTGATGACTTGCCTGGCTTATGCAAAATCTATTGTGAATACTTGACACTTCCTAACCTTGCCAAATTCCTTACATTCCCAATATTTCCAAAGGATAGAAATCCTGTAAAACCTACAATTCTTTTCATATAATATTATTTTTAGATTACTCTAAATTAATAAGGAGTTTATTCTTAATATTTATTGTGTAGTAGACATCCCCCTAGTATTTACTCCTTTATGTGACATTGTGTGAGGGAATGAGAAGGAATATATAGGAATGTGAGGTTGCACAATGAATTGTACTCAATTGTGCAGTGGACAAATTATTCATTGAAAAGTCTCATATTGATAAATAATCGATGAAGAAGGAAGAAGGTTGGAGGTACCGAAAGGACCCAGCAGGTAGCAAAAGCTGGAGAGAAGAGAAGGCATTCCAGGGCGGGACAGGTAGAAAGGAGGTTATCAGAAGAGAGGAGGACGGACTTGAGGCTGGACATTGAGGTGGAACACATACCTGGGAAGAGAGTCTACTACAAGATTTTTAAGATCAAGTCTATAGTTATTGCCGCAGGGGCTAGCTGTAGTGCACAGTTAGTGGGGACTGACGCTCCTCCGGCCTCCCGAGTCCAGTACACTGCGCAAAACACACATGACAGTACACAATTCACTCACACTGACACAAGGTCACTAACAGAACACCCCCTAGGATCACCTTCCCTAGGAAGCCGCCCCGGATGGGGGAGCACGTCAGGACGCTCTGAGGAGGCAGCCCCTCAACCTGACTCGGGGGCAGTGCGCCGATAACCCGTTTCCCTCAAATTACTTTTATTATGAATGCTCCAAAAAGATTAGCCGGACCGATAAACAGAAAACGACACAACGCTCATCAATTGGACTACACTTTGGCTTCATGGAACGTTTTAACTCTACATAGACCCGGAGCTACACAAACACTCCTAAACATTTTAAACACATATTCAATAGACATAGCGGCCATCCAAGAGATCAGGTGGACTGGACAAGGCAGCCTTAAGAAAGGCCAGCACACCATTTATTACAGTTGTCATGACCGATTACACTCGTTTGGGACTGGATTCATTGTGGGAAGAAGAGTGACCCAGCAAGTTATAGACTTCAAGCCTATCAGCCCCAGACTCTGTGTCTTGCGAATCAACGGAAAGTTTCACAATGTCAGCATCATCTGTGTACACGCGCCTACAGAAGTCTCTGAAGATGAAATGAAGGATGAATTCCATGAGGAACTAGAGAAATGCTTTGATGACTGCCCTGCTCATGATATGAAAATTGTGATTGGAGACTACAATGCTCAAATTGAAAAAGAGAAAGCATTTAGGCCTACTCTAGGAAGAAATAGCCTTCATGAGAACTCTAACGACAATGGAGGTGAACTTTGCAGCCTCTAAGGGTTTGGTTGTGGGAAGTACCTATTTCCCGCACAAGTTAGTGCCTCTAGAAACAAGGAGGAAATTCGGACGGAACGGATCCACTACAAGCTCTCAGATCGATCATGTACTCGTCAGCGCCAGATATATAGCATTTCCAAGTCAATTTCAACCTTTTCCAAATCAAATTCAACCTTTTCCAAGTCAAATTAAACTATTTCCAAGTCAAATTAAACTATTTCCATTTCAAATTCAACCTTTTCCAAGTCAAATTCAACCTTTTCCATTTCAAATTCAACTTTCGAATTTTTGTCAATTTTCGATTTTTTTCGAAATGAAGGCCACTTACTATATTATCGAAGGCATAGCTTTTGAAAAATACAAAAAAAAATTTGATAACACGGTTGCATATCATTTTACATTTTTTTCAGTGTGATATTTCTATGTCATATTCAATTATTTCCAAGTCAAATTCAACCTTTTCCAGATCAAATTAAACTTTTTCCAAGTGAAATTCAACCATTTCCATTTCAAATTAAACCTTTTCCAATTCAAATTCAACCGTTTTCATTTCAAATTAATGTTTTAATTTTTTGTAAATTTTATATATTTTTTTAAATAATGGCCATCCCCTCAACCCCTCCAATATGAAAGTCTATTATTATGCTCTCCTAAGTAGAATTTTCACTTACGGATATCGATTTATTGTACCTATTCGAATTTATTAGGGACTAGTATTATGCTGTCCTGTACCTAGTTTTTAAAATAAGCTCCATTTTATGATCAGGCCACAGCGTTTTGACTTAAGTTTTTTGAATTTATCCAATATAAAGGTCTACTTTTATGTTTCCGGAGCCGTAGATTTTGAAAACGCCCTCCATTTTATGATTAGGCCACCGCGTTTCGATTTCTTTTAAGTGTTTTGAATTTTATGATAAAAGGGTGTATAATTTTGTTTCCGGAGCTGTAGATTTTGAAAACGACCTCCATTTTGAGATTAGACCACCGCGTTTCGATTTCTTTGAGTTTTTCGGATTATTTTCATATGAGGGTGCACTCTTATGTTTCCGGAGCCGTAGATTTTGAAAACGACCTCCATTTTAAGATTAGGCCACCGCGTTTCGATTTATTTGAGTTTTTCGGATTATTTTTCATATGAGGATGTATTCTTATGTTTCCGGAGCCGTAGATTTTGAAAACGACCTCCATTTTAAGATTAGGCCACCGCGTTTCGATTTATTTAAGTTTTTCGGATTATTTTTCATATGAGGATGTATTCTCATGTTTCCGGAGCCGTAGATTTTGAAAACGACCTCCATTTTAAGATTACGCCACTGCGTTTCGACTTATTCAGGTTTTTCGAATTTATCCAATTTAAAGGTCTACTTTTATCATGCCGAAGCCTTAGTTTTTAAAACGACTTACATTTTAAGATTAGGCCACTGTGTTTCGGTTTTTTTTAGTGTTTTTGATTTTTCCTTCGAATAAAAAACAAAATACGAAGGATTAATTTATTTTTCAATAAATAAATAAAAATATCTAATCGAAATAAATAAAATATGTATTGTCTCATTTTTAATTTAATTTTAGTTATCTTTTTTAATGTTGTGGTCTCCTGTAGCAAAATTATAAGATTTTGAACAATTAGCTGAAAAATCTGAATACCGTAGGTTACTTTTCGGCTTTTTAGTTTGTATTCTGTGGTTAATTTAACTTTAGCTTCATAATATTTATTTATTTATTTATTCATACTCGAAAACATATTGATGAAACTTTGTATTGAAAAAATCCAAAATGAAGCCTAATTAATCGAGATGCAGCTACTTAATCATAAAATGGAGATTAAATATTAGATTTATTTAAATAGTAAAGATTAGAAAAATTTCAATACGTCTCCGATAACATATAAGTAGATCCTTATACCGAAAAAGTAAAAAAAAAAAACTTTTATAATCCAAAACACAGTGGCATAAACTTGAAATGGGGTCATTTACAAAATGGGGGAAATCTACTGCTCCAGAAACATAAAATTAGACCTTTATATTTGATAAATTCGAAAAACTTAAATAAGTTGAAACGCAGTGGTGTAATCATAAAATAGAGGTCATTTTCAGAATCTACGGTTCCGAAAACATAAAAGTAGATCTTTAAATTGGATAAATTCGAAAAACTTAAATAAGTCAAAATGCAATAGCGTAATCATGAAATGGAGGTAATTTTCAAAATCTACGGCGCTGGAAACATAAAAGTAGACCATTAAATTTGATACATTTGAAAAACTTGAATAAGTTAACACGCAGAGGAGTAATCATAGAATGGAGGTCATTTTCAAAATCTACAGCTCCAGAAACATAAAAATACACCCTCATATGAAAAAAATCCGAAAAACTCAAATAAGTCGAAACACGGTGGCCTAATCTTAAAATGGAGGTCGTTTTCAAAATCTATGGCTCCGGAAACATAAAAGTAGACCTTTATATTGGATAAATTCTAAAAACTTAAATAAGTCAAAACACAGGGGCGTAAATATAAAATGGATGTCATTTTCAAAATTTACGAATCGGGAAACATAAAAATACACCCTTGTATCGAATACATAAAAAAAAAACTTAAATAATTCGAAACGCAGTCACGTAATCTTAAAATGAATGTTATTTTCAAAAACTACTCATACGATAACAGACTAACACATCGAAAAATTAAAGATAATTAAATAAATAAAAAAAGGTTTAATTTGAGATGGAAAAGGTTTAATTTGAAATGGAAAAGGTTGAATTTGATTTGGAAAAGGTTGAATTTGACTTGGAAAAAGTTTAATTTGATTTGGAAAAGGTTGAATTTGACTTGAAAAAAGTTGAAATTGACTTGGAAATGCTATAAATCCTCATTACTTGATGTTCGCACAAAACGTGGGGCTAACATTGACTCGGACCACTACCTTATAATTGCAAAAATAAGGTATCGGATATCAGCAGTGAAGTACCAGCCTCAACGTTCTCTGAAGAGGTACAATATTGAAAAGTTTAAGGACAGTGATACAAGCATTAGATTCTCATACCAACTGGACATCAGATTAAGGAACTCTGTCCCAGAATCAAATCTCGAGTCACAATGGAACTCATGCCGCACTGCACTTATGGAAGTAGCGAACGAGGTTGTAGGGGATAAGACCAAGCAGAGATATAACGCGTGGTTCGATGACGAATGTGGTGCAGTGACCAAGAGAAAAAACATTGCATACAATAAAATGATGCAAAGAAAGCACACACGAAGCTCTGCTGAGGAATACAGAGCAACGAGAAGGCGTGAGAGGCATGTCCATAGGAGGAAGAAAAGACGATGGGAGAATAAGAGTCTACAGGAGATAAAAGAGGCCTTCATCTCCAAAAATACTAGAGAATTATTTCAGGTTGTTAATAAAGGAAGAAAGCCCTTCATCGCCCGTACCACAGGATGCAGAGCAAACGATGGTTCTTTAGTAACTGACAAACAAGGCATTTCGGACAGATGGGCTGAATACTTTTCAACTCTTCTTAACAGAAATGGCACAAATCTCTCAGAGGCAAATGATCCAATTGCAGGTGGTGAAGACGTAGAAACCCGAGACGAGGAAGAAATCAATGAAGCCATAGAGGGACTAAAAAGCAATAGAGCCCCAAGCATTGATAACATCCCTGCAGAGTTCTATAAACATGGTAGTCAAGAGCTCATAAAACTCCTCCAGGAAATGTTTCATGCCGTCTGGGTTGATGAAGAGCTTCCAAGTGATTGGAAAAAATCCATTATATGTCCAGTGTACAAAAAAGGGGACGTCTATCAATATAATAATTACAGGGGCATATGCCTTCTACCCACCGCCTATAAAATTTTTCAAGGATTCTTTATAGAAGAATAATTTCTTATGCCGAGGCTGAAATCGGAAAATACCAGGCAGGATTCATTAAGGGTAAATCAACCATCGATCAAATATTCACCTTGCGAATCCTTCTGGAGAAAACCAAAGAATATCAAATTGGTACACATCACATCTTCATTGATTTCAAGCAAGCATATGGTTCCATAAATCGTGAGAAAGCATACAAAGCAATGGTAGAAATGAATGTACCAAAAAAACTTGTAAGGCTTGTTAGAATGACAATGGGGGGTATTGAGTACAAGTTTCGTACGAGTACAAGGTGACTTGTCAAAGGGGTTTAGAACTTAGAACATCGACAGGTGTAAGGCAGGGAGACGCTCTGGCATTTCTGGTATTCAACTTTACCCTTGAAAAAGTCATAAGGGATTCTGGTATCCAGACTACAGGAACCCTCCTAAATCGAATGACCCAAATACTTGGATATGCGGACGATATCGATATAATGGAAAGATCGTTTGCGGCTGTACAAGAAGCTTTTACAAGACTATTCCTGGAAGAGTCGGCAGCCAAAATCGGTCTTATTATTAACGCATCCAAAACAAAATATATGTCCACCCTATCCTCACGTCTAACAAGAGAAAACCAAGCATGGCTGGAACAGTGTGGAGTCAAGAATGTTGACGAATTCGCATATCTTGGTTCATTGATAAATGCACGAAATAACATTGATTGTGAGATAGACAGGAGGATCACAGTGACTAATCGGTGCTATTTCTCCCTCCAGAGACATCTTCGCAGTAGAATGTTGTCAAGACAGGCCAAAATAAGAATATATAAAACTGTTATTAGACCAGTGCTCACATATGGCTGTGAGAGTTGGACCTTAACTAAAGCAGTTGAGAAATCCCTGCTCAGATTTGAAAGGAGGATTATACGACGCATATTTGGAGGGGTCCAGGAAACACCACAGAATTGGAGGAGGACAATGAATTTAGAAATAAATACATTATTTAAATACCTGGATGTGAGCCAATTCATCGTACTGGCAAGACTACGCTGGGCAGGACATGTCGCGCATATGGATATGGATGCACCCCCACAGAGAGCTATGAATGAGCCTGTGTTTGGAAACAGACGAGTAGGACGACCATGTTTGCGCTGGCAAGACTGTGTGGCTGCTGATGCACGTAGACTACTTGGTGTCAGAAATTGGAAGGCTGCAGCAACTAACCGGGAGAACTGGAGATCCATGCTGGAGCAGGCCAAGTCTCGAATAATTGGGATGTAGTGCCATTTAATAATAATAAGTCTACAGTTATAACACTTTAATAGAGTCAATTTATTACAGTTGCAGAAATAAATTATTTTGTTATACAGGAGTGAAAAGTCATTTATTTATTTAGTTGTCCTATATGCCTCACGATTGAAGAATAACAAACCAGGTGAGTCAATTCATTCAAGGTGTATTTACTAAGTCCCACATCATATATATATTCTTATTGTTTCTTGTCACTCAGTGTCACAAAAGGTATTAGATTCTCGAATTCCCAACAACAGTTAAAAACCCTCAAAAAGTCTAAATCCAGTGCCGGGGTTTTGTTTTAATAATCACGAGTGTAAATAACCTAGTTCCCCAATACAAAAGCGGAAGGCTATTCGCCTCTTCCCGCCAAAACAAATTATTTAACAATTGACTTTCAGTAGGTTATTTACAATTGTTAAAGTAATCACAGATATAATACATTACCTATATCAATATAGAAAATTCATAAGTATATAACCTAAATGCATGTTATCACCATAATTACACAATTTCAAACAAGAAAAATAAATTCTTACCAATATATGAATCTATTGGGAATTTTTTTGTAGGCATAAGCTCCTGCTCGTTGTTGGGTTTTAACATCCTGAAGGGTACTTGCAATTCCTCCTTTAAGAAAAATACATAACAATCATTATTCTGAACAATCAATAACTGTGAGGCATTCAGTTCTTATCCATTTTAAATTTTTTTACCTTTTAATTAACAGTTTTAAAAAATATATTCTCTTGAGATGATCTACACTGTTACTAAAACTGGTTATTGTAAAATAAGTAAAAAAATTTAAATACAGATCGGAACTCAACACCTCGATTAAAATAAACATATTGTTTTGTTGCTGGGCTGATATCATACCAGATCATCGAAATACTATTCAAAATAATGTATTTTACAGATATTCCTAGGTTATGGAAACATAGAGGTACCCAAGCAATTGCTTTTAACCCTACAACTGGGAAATATAGCAAGCATAAAATACGTGAAAATGGAATCAAACAGATTGATTTTGCAACATCTAGAGGACTTTGAATAAGTATTACATGTTTTCCACAAGAGAAATTCACAAGGAAACTTGGATGTCGCCAGATGGAAATACTAGAAATTGAATCGATCATGTATTGATAGATAAAAGTCACATATAATAAATGAACATTATTTTGGAGGGGCAGATTGTAATGCTAACCATTTCTTCAATATATTTGCAGTTAGAATCATCAACTTGTTATTTTCACTAGAAACTTGTTATAAACGGCAGTTGTAAAAAAAGACTATTTTAACTCTTTCATCTATAGTTGGTATTGGTATTAATCAAATATGAAAAAAAAAAAAAGTACCTACTTTTAGTACTTTTAATAATCATAAATATCACCATTTGTAAAGTAAATAAGAATGAAATTAAAACTGTGTGGGGTGTTTAACAGAGGTATGAAGTAGAGATGGAAAGTTAGGAAATAAAAACAAACCAACAATTATAATCTGGAATTTCACCAGCAATGTTGGTTTTCAATTTTGTAAATGAAACCAGGTTATAAAATGAAATGAAATTAAAATATTTTTTTATTACTCTAGAACTGTTGTCCCTTTAGAATAAATTATAAGTTCAAGATAAATGCCAGGGTGGCTATACATACATTAAGTATTTACAATATGAAATAAAGAATACCTTTGGCCTAAGGATTTATCCAACTCATAGAATACAACATTATTAATGAATTATGTTTTAAAAAAATATGTTAATTTAAATTTACATAAATTCATAACATTCACACCACCTTATTCATTTAAGAGGTAACATGATCTTATAAGTATGAGGGAAGTCTTCCAATTCTTGAGCTAGCTCGTGGTAGAGGCCCATCCTCAGAAGGGTTGTTCATTGCTTGTCCTTAGTATTCGTTTTGCACATTAGACCCAGAGAAGTCATCTTCCTGAACAGGTAGTACAATTACCGAACCAGCTCCTCCGCTTCAGTGACGATAGGTGTCCCTTGATTGCTATCTACCTCCTCGTCATATATGGTAGAATTTCTGTTGCTCCCAATAGGATATCTTGTTGAAACCTGTGTTTCCCTTCTGTCTGGATAGCGAATATGAGCATTTTCAACATTACCATCGAAGAGGGTTACTTCCTATACAAGAGGACCAGATTTAGAATAGCAAATAAACTGTTTTAAGAAAACAGACCCAAAGTTCATCAACCAGCTGGGAAGTCGTCATACTCGGCAAGGAAAAGCGAAGGGGAATCGAGAATATTCATCTCCAATTACTAGAAGGTACTTGTTTCCGTTAGAATTTGATAGAGGTCCCTTGAAATCGATGTTTAGGCATTTGAACGGTGAAGTGGTTTTAATCTATTTCCCTTGATGTTTGAAGAATGTGGCTTTATCTCACATGAGGTCACTCTTTTGATCATCTCAAGGGAAAAAGGTAAATTTGTAATACGTACCCAATGGTACATTCTCGTGATTCCAGGATGACACAAAGAAACATGTAATTGTTGAAGTCGGCTATCAAAATCATCTATACTTGACAAATTCGAGAAAGTGCGTCAGCTGCTGCATTTTCTTTGCCTGGTCTATACACAATATCATAATGTAAGCAGGATAGTTCTAAGCGCCATTTAAAATTTTTTTCCTTTTTGATTTTCCCATTATGCTTGGAATTGAACGCTGGTCCGTGATAAGATGGAAATGTCTTCCTAGTAGACAGCTTAGCCATTTACGGATTGCTTCTACTATCGCTTAGGCTTCTTTTTCTACTGATGAGTGCATTTGTTCAGGACTGGATAAAGCTCTAGAAAAAAATGCTACAGGACGACCATCTTGCGTATGAGTGGCAGCAACAGCATCATCTGAAGTGTTGGTTTCGACGGTGAATGGGGCATCATCCTCAATTGGAGTCAATGAAGCATTTGCAATTTCCTATTTGAGGTTGCTGAACGCACTTAATCCTGAGTAAGTACTTTATGACAAGGGAAACGCAAACGTGTTAGAGGCAGTATTTTCTTAGAAAATACTGTTATGTAGGTCGAGTAATGGGCGAACATGCCAATGGCTCTCCTTAATGAAGACATGTCCGTTGGAGGTTGCAGATCTCGGAGAGGTTTTAACCTACCGGGGTCAGATTGAATGCTCTTGTTGTTGTTGAAAAGGCACTCTTTTCATTGTTCAGCATTAGATTGTACTTTGAACAGCATCCACAATTTTTTTCAGATTTTCATTGTGTTCTGTTTGATCTCTTCCACAGACAGTGACATCGTCAATATATACAAAAGTATCCTTCAAGCCCTCTTTGCGAATTATTTGATCCATCACTCTTTGGAATGCAGCAACACCATTGGTTACCCAAATGGAATCCTTTTGAACTGGAAAAGCCGACCACAAGCTTCAAAAGCAGTGTAAGGCTTATCTTTGTCTTTTATAGGAATTGGATGATAAGTGATACGAAGATCGATGGTACTAAATACTTCATAATGAATGATCTTATTTACTAAGGACTCTATTCGAGGAAGTGGATGTGCCTCCAGGAGGGTATAACGGTTTATAGTGTGAGAGTAATCAATCACCATTTGTCTTTTATGATTGCTTGAGGTAACGAGTATTTGAGCTTTCCAAGGAGATATACATACTCGGTTCAATCACCTCGTCGGTTAGGAGGTGTTCTATCTCAACTTCTATAAATTGTGATTTTAACGCTCCTCATTTACAATCCAGTGAAATATTCATAGAGTGATGGGGGTGCAACATTTGCTACAGCGAGACCGCATACAGTGAGCGCTGCTTTGGGGCCGCCAAAGGACAGGTTCACACTTCCGTGCTGCTTGAGTATATTATAACCAATCATCACATCAGCGCACAGGTCAGAAAGGACACACAGTCTAACATCTTTATAAAAGTGACCTAACATGTTAATTTCAACTACACATTGAACACAGTTCTAGAACAGAGAGAAGTAGAGGCCATTGAAATTTTCTCATTGAATGGCTTAATCTTCAAGTTCAACGTAAAGACAGATTTTTCGCTAATGAATCTGACAGAGCTCCAGTGTCAATCAACACACAAACCTCTCAACCATTAACAACAGCTTTGGCTGTTGCCTTCGTCAAATTGTGTGCAACTAAACCAGAAGGATTACTTGCAACAATAGCAGCAGCAGTTCGTTTCTCAGATGTAGCAGACATACAAACTTTAGAATAATGACCTTTTTTCGAACAACGATAACAGATAGCATCCCTCACAGAGCATTTGCAGCGAATATGTTTATTAAAACCACAAAAATAACATCTGTCAGAAGTTGCAGCTAAGGTTATATTTTTTTCTCTAATATAATGAGGTGTAGCACTCTCATTTTGTTCTCTTAATATTATCAAATGTAGCACCCTCAGCCTCCCCATTATTACTAGATTTGCAATCAGATACTGCTTTGATGGAACCTATGGGAATCTGATAAGACATTGCCTGAGCTTGAGCTAAGTAAAGGGCTCGAGCTTGTTCGTGAGCTTCCCTTAATGTTAGCTTGGTACTCTCAAGCAGACGCTGGCAGATGAAATTTGATTGTAAGCCAATTAGAATCGCTAATAAGGTCATCGCAATAAATTTCAGCTGTAATTGCAATGAAACTATATTCTTTGCCTAATAGCGAGTATTCAGCTTATAACGTGCAAATATTTCATTGATTGGTTTTACATAGAGTCCCTTCAAAATTGTTACTGCTTCAACATATGTATTTGCATGACTTACGTGCTAGTAGAAGTCAGGAAATATTTAATTAAATAGAAGCTTCAGTTTGTCTCCTTCTGCAGCAGTGACAGTGGCCATAAAGTTTTCAAAATTCTTGAGCCAATGCTCCCAATGTTTCCCCGCAGAAGTTGAGTTGGAGTCTGCATCGAATCGTTCTGGTCTGAGTAGTCTTTCCTTTTCACTCAGTGTCCGATTATGAGTTGAATAAATTGAAATGAAATAAAGAATACCTTTGGCGTAAGGTTTTATTCAACTTATAGAATACAACAATATTAATGACTTATGATGTTTTAAAAACATATATTAATTTAAATTTACATAAATTCATAACAGAATATAATAGTTGATTAAAAACAAAAGTACAGATAAAAAGAGAAAGAGAGAGAGAGAGAAAAAAAAAGTATACATATAATTGTAAAACAAACATTGGAAACTAGAATAACATAAGTAAACCGGAATAGTTTCTAGGAGTGCTAGGAGAGTTCTCTTAGGTACATTTTATGAACAGACTGATTGGGAAAGAAATAGGTTTTTAAAGAGGAGAGGTTTGAATAGTACATGTCTAATATCAGGAGGGAAAGAATTACAGAGGGAGACAGCTTGGATTACAAAGGATTTGACAAACGCAGCAGTTCAGTGAGGAGGATAGAGGTCGGAAGTACTGGATCTAGTGGGACAGGATTGAATGGAGTATTTAAATTATAGGCTATGAAAAATATAGGAGGGGCGATACATAAAGAGGGGTGACCTGGTATATAAAGGTAGCAAGGAAGTAAACATGGCGGTTGGATGGGTAGAACCAGTTATAGTGCAAAATTTTCATCTACACATTTTATTTTCCATCAATAGATCGAAGATTTCCCACGTTTTACTGTAACAAAAACATTTTCCTTGCCATCGAATACCCCTCAAATCATCAAACCCAAAACAAATTAAACTTGCTTTCATCAGAAAATATGACGTTTACTCAAAGATTTAGTTGTTCATTATAATATTCTCTTACAAAAGAAGGGTTATTTTTGTGTTTAGTTCGCCAATGAGCAGTTTCTTTCGAGGTAACTTCTTTTAGAATTAAGCTAATATCTGATTGTCCTCTCACTAACAAGAATACCAGTAGTGTAGACAATATTGGCCAGGGCACCGTTAGTCACTGTTAGGATCTTAAGAGCTTCGTTTCATATATATATATATATATATATATATATATATATACACACACACACACAGATGTTTTTTGTGTATAGGTTCCGGAGTTCAGTTTCTTAGGATATCTTTTTTTTGTTACTGTTTTAATATTCCTCAAACGTCTTTATAACATACCTAACAGTGAAAAATTGATAATACTGTACAAATGTCACTCCACTTTCATCGGCGACGAGATCTCGTTGTCACACAATAAATGTTAGTTTAAATCTTTAGATTGAAGGGAGTTGAAAGCAGTGATGTAATTCAAGCTAATTAGCACCCTGATCTTAACTGAAAAGGATTATTAGGAAGCCCAAGTCCTAAATCACAATCTAATAGAGGGAGGAAATAGTGTGAACTAACAATCTTGAAATATTCATGGAATCCCATTTATATATTTATTTATTAAAAAGTTGGCTCAGGGCCGTCGACCTCTAATGGGTCCATTGTGCGCATTTATACATTACCTTGAACATGGATTAATGACTCACTGGGCTAAGTGGAGTGACATCTGTACAGTAGTAACAAAATTTTAACCCTAGTAAATTCACTATCTGTTTACAATTATTGATTAATTAAACTAACAGGTTAAACAATTTTATACACTTTGATTGTTTTCATTATCAATCTACTTTTTAATTTTCGACAATTAAATGAAATTAAGATATCGTTATATTAACTAATAGTATAAAAACAGGGCATACAAATAATTTATACCACTATTGTATATAACAAACAAGTTGCTGTATCCCCTTCCTAAATCTGGAGCTACTAAACATTCATATTTTAGGTGATTATTTCAGAGATATTCCAAGGCAATTTTTCTTGGAGTTTTAAGTTTCCGAATTTTAAATCACAACCAAGAACTCAATCCAATCAGTCATAATAAAAACCAATATACATCTTCAAACCACGTTTAAAGTATTAATATTGTGAAAAAGATAATTTCTCCTCACTTTTCCTACAGTTTCCGGTGTGCCTATCACATAACAATTGAGAATTTATCACACAAAATGAATAAACATACCTGGATTCAAATTTATTTCATTCCAGTCCTCATGCCCTTTTCTTATATAGACTTCTTTGTGCAACGTATCAGCCCCATAAAAATCACTTCCAGACATAGTAAAATTTAATGTCCACTTAAAATATTAATAAAATTAGACCAAATTTATTTTTGTTAACTACTATCACTAACGTCTTAACAACTACAGAAACCGCCAATAAAAATATTCAAACCTACTCTAATATCGATATATGATAGAGCTTAATTTTACTATCGATATCACTAAAAAGTGGAAGGCGACCAAGATCCAATCTACCAGGTTCAAACAGAAGCCAGAAACAGAGCAGAAAATCGAAGAGGGGAGACTTGAATCCTGACGTTAGGACTAGGTCCCCAAACCTACCTGTTGTTCTTTCGAGGCTATCACTGAAGGTTTATTGTACATTTTTATTTGTTTTCTCTTACTTAATTTATTGAAAAGAATACTCTTCTGTCTTGTTGATGTTGGATTGAAGAAGAATTCAATTAGGTAAATAAATAAGAAATTGTTTTAGCTTTATGCATGGGCATATTAGCCAATATACCAATTCATATAAAACGAATGCTTAAAACTACCCCTTGTAAGCTAAAAGCTTCATAAACACTCCTCTAACCTATAGAAATGTTGTTGAATCGCAGGGGTGCCCATTCTTTCCAAGATCTATGGCAAATGATCCCTCTCCCTCCTTCTAAGATATTCTATTTCTCTCCTCTTCTTAATAACAGTGCAAGCTAAAGTAACATTTTTAAAATCATAGGTCATATTAAAATTACACTTTCAGTGGTCTGTGGCCTGGTTTGAAACTTTTCAATCTAAAATTCATAACCCCATAGAACTGTACACATCTCAAAAAAATTTGAGAACTTACCGTCTTTCAGGGAGTTGGAATAGACTATGACGGCCCCTTCATTATGAAGATTTCCAGTAAGCGCAATGCTCCTAAGTTGAAATTTTGGGTAGCTCTCTCTGTGTGCATGTCCACCAAGGCTATACATCTAGAACTATTGACGGACCTATCCACTCCTTCATTTATTGCAACATTAGATAGATTTATTGCCAGACGTGGTTTTCCTTCTCATATTTATAGTGACTGCGGAACAAATTTCGTTGGAGCATCCAAGGTAGTTAAAGGAGCTTTATCAATTTGTTTAGGGCCAGAGCGAACCCATAGCTGATTATTTGGGTAAGACGGTATAAAGTGGACCTTTACTCCTCCAGCATCTCCTAATTTCGGTGGTATTTGGGAGGCAGCTATTAAATCTGCTAAGAGACACCTTCTTGCCGTTCTCTAGGATCATGGATTAACTTAAAAGGAATTTTATACTCTTCTTGTACGAGTTGAAGCCGTTCTCAATTCTCGTCCTATCTGCAAAATTAGCAGTCAGCCATCGGATAACCTAGATTACCTTACCCCAGGAAACTTTCTCATAGGTCAGCACCTCCTAGCCAGACCAGAACAAGAAGACGCACTTGTGTTTCCTTTGTCAAGTCGTTGGGAGATGATTTTCAAGACTCTTCGTAATTTTTGGAAGAGGTGGTATCAATATATACCAGTGTAGTTAGGGTTGTAGAATTCAGGACCGCTACAGCCTCTTTGGTGCTACCGGTGCACAAGTTAGTGCCTCTCCCTTCTGGAGAAACCTTTTATTGATATGTATATTGTTAAAAATTAAATTTAATGAGGAATCTTTTTATTTTAAGTTAATTGTATATTATCAGCCTAATTTCTCTCTTTTTTTATTGTAAACCAAGCAACTTTCCTCTCGTTTGTGCCTTGCCCGGTAATTACCAATCTCTGAGTTAGTTTTTTCTTTTTTTGTTTGTGAAATGAGAAATTTCATAGTGGGGGATAAGGTTGTGCCAAAGAATGGTTTTCATTTAGTTTCCCGCGTTATGGCGAGTGGTGGGGGCAGATCTAAAAGATAAAAGATAACACTTAAGCGTTGAGAGCTATTAGTTGTCTCGACCCATTAGATCGGAAGTCACTGACGAAGCACCATCTCCAGCACAAGAAGTCATGTACGGAGGGCCCTCCAGGTAAAAAAGATCTAGACTGGCATATAGACGGTAAGCTATTTGTGGGCGAGGTGGCCGAATGGACTAAAGCGTGTGCACAGCACCGCCGATGCCCGGCAACCTGACATATGAATCTAATGATATAAAAATAGTCACGAGTTCGCGTCCCGGTGCCGAGGGAGTCATTTACATCCCCGCCCACATCCGCTGGTCCGGGAAAACCCCGTATAGCCTTAACGGCGAGGAAGGGGAGGACAAAAAAAAAAAAAAGACAGTAAGCTATTTTTTTTTTTTTTTTTTTGCACAATCATTAACCTACCAATCCCTTAAGATACAGTCCACTGCTTAAAAGCTAGAATGTTGCCTTAAAATTTAGAATGTTGCCTTATTGAAACTCATAAGAGTTATTTTGCCATAATTAGAAAAGTTGCCTAAAAAATAGTATTAAAAAAGGTAAAATATAGAGTTATGTCTTTGGCACTGGACTCTATAGTTTTCACTGGAATGTTTTCATTACATAATTATGTTACATTTGATTCTATAACTAAAGTTTTATCTATGTTTTCAGTTTATTCTGACTAAATTTTCGATGTTAGCCCTGTAAGCAATTTATAAATGGCAATGCCACTATAATCACAGAATTAGTTTTTTTTTATAGAAATAATATAATTCAATGATCAAATCTAATAACAACCCTACACTTACATATAATTATTGTACAAGAATAATTAGCTTGATCAATTAAATAGCATTCTAATAGGGGGGGAGTACAAAAACAAATTTCTCGACAGAAAATTCTGTAATAGAATTCAAAAGCTGCTTTTTTGTGTCAATAAAAATCCTACAAAAAGCGGCCCTGATAAAATTGTAGTGTACCCTCATATCCATTCCAAAAATCAGAAAAATTGCATGCCCAGTATCGAAATTGGAAATCCAACATCATTTTCATAAAAAGCGTTCCTCCCCCTCCCACAACATTAAAGTCGACCTAATAACAATTAAATCCGAAAACTTAGGAAAACATGATGTGCAATCTGAAATCCGTTATTATTTGCATAAAAAGTGGCCCCGATAACAATATATGCGACTCTAATACAAATTAAGTCCGTGAAGTTAGAAAAACGTGATTATGTTCATGAAAAGCGCCCTTGACAACATTAGAGCCGACTCTAATATCAATTAAATCCGAAAATTACGAAAACGTGATGTGCGATGGTGGAACCCGTAAACTTACAGAATTTTCATAAAAAGTGCTCCAGATAACATTTCGGTTGATCCTAATATCAATCAATAAAATGAAATCAATAAATTTTACCCAGCTGTTAGCGTTAGCTGTCATAATAGCTAATTGAACTGTCATAGTTAGCTACGATAAAACGGTTAGTAGCGAAATTAGCGGCATATTTAGCGCCGCTAATTTTAGCTGTTTAGCTAAGTGTTAGCTATCTAAAAATTAGGTAGCTAATTTTAACTCTGGTTGTAGCTGAGACACTTTTGGAATCCTTCATGTCATGGGACAGTTGTGATGGAAAACCTAGAATTGTTTTAGTTATTTAACACTATAAACTAATGTTCCATATTTTGATTGGATAATTATAAAAAATAGAAAATTAAGGATGGAAGACTGCTACAAACAGGGTCCAGGACCAGTTGCGTCAATAAAATAAGTCTTGTGGGTTTGCAGACTTATGTTGTTTGCCCAGATCAGTTATTCACTTTGATAAGTAATAATATGTTCTTTGGGATTGTTTCTTGGTAGAGGCTGACTCATTTCCAAAGAATTAATACTGTTTGTAATCTTCAATCTTTGTGATGGTAATAGCACTGAAACTGTTCTTTTAAAACTCATGAATCAAAGCGAGTAATTTATAATGCATTGTGTATTTGCTAACTAATATGTTTATTAAAGGAAAGCTGGTAAAGATGACAGTAAATATGGCTTCCGCCAGGAAGAAATTGGACGAAAAAAACCTAAAAATCTTACGAGAACTTGTTTCTTTGCCTGAGAATAAACATTGTTTTGATTGTCATCAGAGAGGACCTACCTATGTTAATGTGACAATAGGTTCCTTCATATGTACAAGATGCTCCGGGTTGTTGTAAGTAGTTATGTAAAGTTGATTTTTAATTTATAATTACAGAATCTAATGAAAAGTGTGATGTGAAATTTTTAAAAGAATTGAATTGTTATAGATTATGATGCAATGTAATTTATTTTTTGTATTTCTCTCTTTTATCCACAGAAATGTAATAGTTGATTCAAAATTGGATAGGATAAAGTTTATTTTCATATAATATTTCAGACCTACAAAATTATTTTCCATGGGCAAGTTTCTAAACTCAGTGTCTAGCTCATTGATGGTTTTAAACCTCTTTAAACTAGTCAAAACAATATTGATAAGCTGAGTTCTGAATTTAGGAACTTCCCCTATGATCTTTATCTGCTTGATAAGCAATATAATTTTTTGTTGTTGAGCAGTTGATATCTGTTTTCATTATTAGTGAATGTTTAAATTCTTAGATTTATTTCTGCTAGTAAAAGTTAATGTTTTGAATTGTGATTCTTCTTCATTAATTAAGTCTGTAGGAATATTTCTGGAAAGCTTTCGCAGTAACCTGTGGTGTCCAGTATGCCAAGATAACATGATCACACTGTTTTCTGAATGCTACACATATAAAATTAAAGAAATTGGCTCGAGATATAATTAAAATTTCAATTAAGATTTAATTATTGAAATAACCAAATATTAAAAAAAAAGTTTGCCAAGTAAATCCATCAAAGCTTTTTTACCATTTTTATTGGGTACATATGAAATTATACCTACACTTCACTATGTTTATAATTTAATTTAAAACTATATAGATCAATCCAATAAAATCAGGTCTCTTAAATTGTATTAACTTTAGAAACTTATCTAACCACCTATTATGGTATGTTTGCTGTCTTCCACTTTTCACTGCCATAATATAATTAACAATACATTAATTTTAATGATATGAATCAGTTAAAAAAAACTCACAGAAAGACAAAACATAAATGTTAGGTTTTAATTAGAAAAATTCCCACTACACAGTTTTATGTCTAAAAAATGTGGAGACGTAAGGCTGTGTGATTAAAATTTTTACAATTATAACCTAATATTAATTTTAAGTGTTAAATAGGAAATGATGAACTTGATATCTGACCATATAAAGACTGGACACCAATAAAAGGCTAAGAGCCCACCCAAAAAAGTTGAGTTAGGCAATTTTGTCTATTATGCCAAAAGTCTCCACCATTTCGTTCGGTTGTTTGCTGCAGCTCTCCCGTTCCTGAGCCCCGTCAGCAGAGACCAAGTCAATCTATCGCACTTAGGTCGTCCAACTCGCCGTTTCTCATGGAGCCCTTCTGTGAGGATCATTTTCAGAATCTCGTTGGAAGCCATCCTTTGCACATGTCCTGCCCATCGAAGTCTTCCGAACTTCACCAACTTGACTATGTCAACATCGTTATATAGTCTCGTCAGTTTGTCATTCCTCCTCCTCCAGATATCGTTTTTTCTAACAGGACCGAAAATCCACCTAATAATGCTCCTCTCAAAAACAAACAGTCTGGACTCATCTGCCTTCGTGAATGTCCAAGCCGTTGAGCCATATGTGACGACTGGGCCGACCAGGGTTTTGCCGAGCTTGATCTTGGTCTGATTAGAGAGCATTCTACTTCTAAAATGTTTGGTAAGACCAAAGTAGCATTGGCTAGCTGCTGCAATCCTCCTGTTTACTTCCTGGATAATGTCATTTTGGGGGTTGATATCCAAACCCAAATTGGTGAAGCTGCTTATCTTCTGAAAACAGTACCTTCCCGCATCAAAATATCCAACTCCTGGTTCGGCTCTCCCAATCTGCATTTATTTCATCTTAGCCTCATTAACAACTAGGCCAAGATCTCTAGAAGCATCTTTCAGAACCAGGAATGATTCTCATAGGGCCCGTTCCAATCTGGTAGCAATATTAAAATCATCTGCGTATCCTAGAAGCTGGACTGTGCTGTTAAATAGTGTTGAATGGAGTTGGATTCCAGAATTCCTTATCGCTTTCTCCCCATTATAATTAAAAGGGAGGCAGGCCTAAGCGTTTCCTTGCCTAATACCACAACTTGCGAGAAAGGGGTCAGAAAGATCTACGCCCACACGCACCATGAACTTTGAGCTCACCATTGTCATTCTAATCATTCTCACTAATTTCATCGGGTCGTTCATTTCTTATAGGATCCGGTAAAATTCCGGTCGAGCAACGCTGTCATATGCGGATTTGAAATACACTTAGAGATGATGGGTTACGATTTTATAGTCTTTGCATTTTTGTAACATCAACGGATTCTTCTTCTAACAATAAATCCAGTATCAAAGGAGTGGTGGGTCTTATGGCAACTGTAGTGCAGCATGTGACATTTCTTCTGAAGTGTACTACTTCCATGCCAACGGACTTCCTAGATCACTGCTATGTCAATGTGATAGTCGTCAATAATATTAAGGAGCGCCTGAAAAACTCCCTAGTTGGTACTGAGACAAAATGTTCCAGTAAGCTATACATCTGTCAGTTTGGCGATTCCTGATCTTATTACTTTGAAATAATCCAGCTTTAGTACTTTTATCAGTTTTCGTGTGTTTAAGAGGAGTAGGTTATCTGCCTATTGCCCTGAGTCAGGTGGAGGGGCTTTCTCCTCAGAACGTCCTGACACACTCTCCCTTCCGAGGTGGCTACCTAGGGGAGGTGATCCTAGGGTGTGTACTGTAGGTGACCTTAGTCCTGTAGTATGGGGATGAATGTAGTGTACTGTATACAGTGTGTAAAATGTAGTGCGTGTTCCTCCTACCAAAGGAGGACCAATGGCTGATAGCAGCCTGATGGCTGGACAATAGAGGTGCCACTTCCATACGCTAAATGATATAATACTTAACAGTACATTAATTTTAATGATGTAAATCAGTAAAAAAACCTCACCAAGAGACAAAACCTAACTGTTAAGTTATAATTGGAAAAAATTCCAACCACACAGCCTCATGTCTGAAAAATATGAAAACGTAAGGCTGTGTGGTTAGAATTTTTCCACTTATAACCTAATATTAATTTCAATTGTTAAATAGGAAATGGTGAACTTGATATCTTACCATTTGTTGACTGAACACCAATAACAGGCTAAGTGCCAAACCAAAAAAGTTGAGTTAGACAATTTTATATTTATCTGCCTTTTCAAACAGCTAAAAATTAAATTAATAAAAAAGGATTATTAATATTGATTGCCTCTATTACTGATTGTAGGTAAGCAATAGTAGGGAATTGAATTCAAAAAATGATTACAGGACTATTAGCCTGGTTGTATGGTAAATTTTTAATGTGTAGCTGTAACATAATACATTTGCATATCCGTAAGTGGAAGTGGATGATATTTAAAGTAATTTATTAGGGATCATGCAGTTATTAATCTGTCCAATCCTTGTAATTTTCATATAAGTTGGATAAACAGTTGGATATTTTACATGAATGTGACTATAGACATATCTAATTCTAAATTTTTACCTTGATGTCTAAACTTAAAAGCTGTGTAATTGTCGATTCTGAGCACAAAAATTGATTCAACTTCACACAAGAAGACATAGTATCCCTGTTTTTGTAATAAATTCCTTGTTTATTTCTTGAGATATTCAGCATGTACCTTAATAATTTGTTGGAATAATGGTGATTTTCATTTATCGGTAACAAAAAATAACAAAACAAAAACTAAATGGTTATTTCAGTATTCATCATTTATTAAAACATTAGTGGTTAGAATAAATCAGTTCATGTAGCTATTTATTAATAAGAGGGTTAAAGATTAGTTGTCTGTGTATGCTTTTATTTAGTCATATTCAGCTAATTTCATCATATCTTGAAAAGTGTGATCAGAGAAATCTTGGCACATATACAGATTTATTACTTCTATATCTTTACCGTGTTCTTTCTAGTTGTATATATTATATGTTATCATAGCTCATTTTATAGCCAATATTATTTTATTTTATAGGCGTGGCCTCACTCCTCCACATCGGGTGAAGTCTATTTCTATGGCTACATTTACTTCTGAAGAAATAGAATTATTAAAATGCAGAGGAAATGAGGTATAAATCTATATTAATCTAAAGTGACTACCTATTCCTTGTTTTCTATAATTTCATTATGTTGTTTAAGTATTGCAGAAAAGTTTGGTTGAGTTTGTACGATGGTGATAGTATTTCTAAGGATGAACAACAAATCAAGGAATTCATGATAGCAAAGTATGAGAGAAAGAGGTATGTTAACTGAAAATTTAAGTATACTGAAGGTGATAAAAGAGGATAGGTAATGTATTTGTATTAAATTATGTCTAATATCAAAGATTGGTAAGTATTCTGTGTGATGTACCAAACTAATATACGTGGGCAGCTTGTTCTGGATTGCTGTTTTAAGATGGTCTGAGTTCAAGATAATATCCAGCACATTGCAGATGGAATCATACAACTTGTGTTGGTTTAAAAATAGCCATTGATGACCAGTCCCCAATTTTCATAGCAGAATGTTTATATTTGGTCATCTCTTTCACTTCTTTCATATAAAATGTTTTTCAACTATATAAATAATGGTATTAATTGACTTATTAAAATGTTAGCTGTTCATTTAAATATTCAGTTCTTCCTTTAAAACAAATATCTAAATAAACACAATTTTTGTATTACTTTCACTTACCTATATATGTATATATATATATATTTTTTTTTTGTCCTCCCCTTCCTCGCCGTTAAGGCTATACGGGGTTTTCCCGGGCCAGGGGGTGTGGGCGGGGATATAAAAGACTCCCTTGGCACCGGGACACGAACTCGTGGTTATTTTTTTATCACTATCTTATATATCAGGTTGCCGGGCAACGGCGGTGCAGTGCACACGTTTTAGCCCATTCAGCTACCCCGCCCACCCACCACTTACCTATATATGAAATATATAGTAAATGTAAGTATTGTGGTTGTGAAAATTTTTGAATCTGAGTTTTGAACAGAAATACACGTTTTGAGGTCCCCTGAGTTAAAAATAACAAAGTCCCAAAAAATGAACACTAGCTCGAAAACGAAAAGTCGTAAAAACTGATATTACATATTTAAGATAAATATATGTCTTAGATGTCCTGGAAACTTTTTCATTAAATCGGCTGACCGGAAGTGCCACTTTATATTAACGCTGAAACACATTTTTACAATTTTCTCAAAAATGGCTCTAACGATTTTGATTAAACTCGGTGTATCATTGTATAATTAAGTCGTCTTTAACATCATTTATGTCTTATCCCCATTGATATCATTTTACAGGCCTGTTTAACAGGGGCTACCCAATGTTCAAATGCGTCTTCCTCTAAAGTACCTTTAATATGGTTTATTTTAAATAATCAACTATCTGCATTATTAAAAGTTACGAAAAAATACTAAATATAACTTTTGAAAGGATTTGATAATTGAATAAAGGAGAAAAAAATAAAAATGCTTATACAGGTCGAAAATGAATCTGGAAATACAAGTCAGAAGTTTACTTATAATATATCTTTGGAAAGTGGAGAATTTTAGAAAAAATAATATCTAATATAGAAAGTTGTAGAAGGTAACGGAGAGTGGCAAAAAAATTATTAATAATAATGTTTGAAAACTAATAATATTTAACGTAAATCACATGTTTTCGAGAAAATTAAATGAAATTTACTAACTAAATGTAAACTTTTAAAATATTGTTTAGCTTGAAAAAAGTATTTAAAATCTACTTAATCAAGGTAATGGCATTGTTTAAAAAACTATTTCATTGTACTTGTATGAAAGAAGAAGTAAAATATAAAATAATTTCATGGATGTATAAAGCATATGTTTATAACCTTAAATACATTTACTGTAGTTCAGTGGTTATAGATCTGATATTATATTTAAATATCTAGATATCAACATCCGTTTATTCCGAAATATTGTCATGTAACTTTTTAGAAAATTAAATTAGTGAACAATTTGATGAATCTTCCCTTTGTGATATTCCAACAGTATCATTGTTTAAAATATTATTTCATTGTACTTGTGTGTAATATAAAAATATTTCATGGATATATTTATAACCTTAAATATATTTTGTGAAGTTTAATTACTCTAAAGATGATATTATCAATATCGTAGCACTTAGCCTTTATTTAATTATAATAATTATCAATGGGTAAACAGATAACAACTGGCCCTTTGATTAATTGTTTATCCTTTGGTATCATAGCTAATTTTTCTGCTAGTTATAGCTAATGTTTACTAAACTTTGTTTCTGATTAAATTGATAATCCTTTTTCAATAGACTTATAGTGAGGTATCTTTTATATTTCTAGTCCTGGTGGCAGAGATGGGCAAAATCGTAATCAACGATTACATGATTACAACCGAAAATAAAACGTAATGACCACCCTAACTTTATACTTGATACAATAGCACTATAAATATAGCAAAAGTATGAAACGATTACCTGATTACAATCGTAATCAGAGACCTGATTACGATTACAATCGTGTAATCGCGTAATCAAAATCACTGTAATCGTAATCACGTAATCAAATTCACTGTAATCGTAATCATGTAATCAAAATCACTGTAATCGTAATCACGTATTCATAATCGCGTAATCGTAATCAAAAAAATCAAATACTCACGACTTTCCCCTGTTTAGAGATAGGCTCAAAGGAAAACAAGTATAAAACATTTTCTATTTTCTTTTAGCTGTTGGAAGTACTTTCTATGATAATACCGTCGGTTTAACATTTAACATTTTCCAAATTTTCATTCGCTTTTCCTCTTTTATCTCGCAATTGAAGGATCAATTTTTTACCATTCCAACAGTTTTCCGACTATGTAGAGGTAGATAAAAATAGGGAAATGTAGAAATGTATTTTTAGAATTTTCATACGTATTTCCTTTTTTATTTTGTGAATGAATGCTCGGTTTTCTCCGTTCCATCCATTTTTAGCTATATATAGGCAGGCCAATGGAAAAATGAGTGGTAACAATTTTCCGAATTTTCATTTGGTTTTTCTCTTTTATCTCGGAAATGAAGGATCAGATTTTCACCATTACATCATTATTCCGGCTATGTAGAGGTAGACGAAAAAAGAGAAATAGTGTTAAAAAAATTATGAATTTTCTTTCGCTTTACCTATTTTATATCTGGAATGAAGGATCAGTTTTTTACCGTCTCAACCATTTTATATCTGGTTAGATGAAAACCAATGGAAACTGGAATCGTAAAAATTTTCCGAATTTTCATTCGCTTTTCTTGTTTTATGTCGGGAATGAAGGATCAATTTTTTAATGTTCCAACAGTTTCCAACTATGTACAGCTGGCGAAAACGGAGACATAGTGTGAAAATTTTCTTTTGCTTCTTCTATCTCTAGAATGAAGGATAGATTTTACGGATTACAGTTCCTATAATTCTCCAGCTATGAAAAGGTAGGCAAAAATGGGAAAATTGTGTAAACAATTTCCGAATTTTCATACACTTTTCCTCTTTTAACTCGTAAATAGAGTGTTGGTTTTTCACCGTTCCAACCATTTTATCACTGAGTAGAGGCAGGCCAATGGATACAGGAGTGGTACAATTTTTATTAAATTTTCATTCGCTTTTCCTGTATTATCTCGGAAATAGAGGATCAGTTTTCCGACTATGTACATGAGAAGAAAGCTGCGATAAATTCAGAAAATTTCCAACATAAATTCACCATTTTCGCCTACATCTACATGAGAAGAAAGCTGCGATAAATTCAGAAAATTTCCAACATAAATTCACCATTTTCGCCTACATCTACATAGTTGGAAAACTATTTGAACGGTGAAAAATCGAGCATTCATACACGAGATAAAAGAAGAAAAGCAAAAGAAAATTCGAAAAATTTGTACCACCAATGGTCTATTTCTAAACAGTTATAAAATTGTTGGATCATTAAAAAACCGAGTATCCCTTCTCAAGTTAAAAGAGGAGAAGGGTATAAAAATTCGGAAAATTTACTATGCCATTTTCCCATTTTTTCTTAGCTCTACATGGTCAGATAACAGTTGGAACGATGAATAACCGAGCATCCATTCACGAGTTAGAAGAGGAAAAGCCAATGAAAATTCGAAAATTGTCTACACCGTTTTACCATTTTCGCCTATATTTCTATAGTCGGAAAACAGTTGGTACGGTGAAAAAACAAGCATTCATTCATGATATAAAAGAAGAAAACCGAATGAATATTCGAAAAATATTCTACACCACTTCCCCATTTTCGCCTACATCTACACAGTCGTGTAATATTTGGAGCGGTGAATAACCGAGCATCCATTCACGAGTATAAAGAGGAAAAGCGAATGAAAATTCCAAAAATTTTCTACACCGTTTCCCCATTTTCGGCTACATCTACATAGTCGAATAACATTTGGAATGGTGAATAACCGATCCTTCATTCACGAGATAAAAGAGGATAGACGAATACAAATTTGAATAATTGATTTTGATTATGATTATGCCCATCTATGCCGCCTGGTGGCTCTGAGGATCCAACATTTTCTTTACTTCTTGTCAAGAATTGAATAATTAAAATCTACTAGTTTGTAATCCTGTCAGATGCTATTTTTATTCTTTTTTACTGTCTATTGTACAAGGCAATTAGCTTATATTCAAGCTAATTTAAATTCTACCATTTACTGTAATTTAATTAATAAAATATGATGTGATATGCCTTTTATATTGTAATTTCTTTGTTTTGATTTGTAATTATCAGTGACATGAACTGTCTTGACTCTTTTTTTATTTTTCCTATTATTAATTTATTTTATAGATATTAAGGACAAAAAAAGTGTTTTAAAATATATAACATTACTTTACTGTAGAAAATGTATGAATTTTAGTATACCTGAAAAGCCAATTTGCCAATTCATTTATAATTTTTACTTTTACAGGTATTATGTGAAGCCCTCAGACTTGGAGAAAGGAAAAGATTTAACTAATAACTCCTTTAGTTTTTATCCCCAAAATATGTCTAAATTGCCTGCATCATCTGTATCATTAACAGTATGTTTTCATACTTTAATCTATTATCTAACCTAATCTGTAATTTTAATATAATTGACATCACGGCGAATCCAATGGGCTTATAAAGTTGTTGTTCTTAGTAACTAAGAATTCCTAAAAGGTTAATATTTGCTGTACTGAATGGTAAACGTCCAAGGGATAGACCGAAGCGAAGGTGGAAAGATTGTATTAAAACTGATCTGAAGGGACTGGGTTTGGACGGCGAATGGTGGAGGGAGGTGTGTAATAAGCAATTGGTGGAGTCGCCAATGAACCTTCGGATTCGCTAAGCCTTTTATTATTATTATTTATTATGATCTGTAATTTAACTTTCTGCAACCTTGATTCTCTTATCCATGAAGGAATCTTACCCAACATTGGAACGCTGAATTGGAATGAAATCTATTCCTGTTCCTGTATTAATCTTATCTTAAACGTTCTCATTTCTAATCTTATCCTTGTACTTGATACCCATGCCTCTCTTAAAACCTCAATATTCCACCAAGTTGCTCTTTAGACGTTTCAAGAAAAAGCCAGATGTGCATAGAGATGTGAGGCAGCCCATAAACACTGATTTTCCCATAAACTGCAAGAAGAATCTGAAATGGCAATTATTACATCTTGCGAGTCAATTAGGACCACAACTTTTTGTGGTTTAGACTTTTTTATCAGTTCTAACGCTAGAAAAACTGCTTTTATTTCACTGTCAAAGTTACTTGCTAGCTTTCTCACAGGCTCTGACATTTGAAAACGTTCTGCATAAACACCAGCTCCACCATCCTTTCTTGCTCTATTCTCAGAACTGTCTATGTACATGGGGGACATGGGTATCTCTCCCTTATGGTTTCAAGTGCTAAATTTCTTAGTTCTATCTTAGAGCAACTTTGCTAGTTGATTGGTTACAGGAGCTGTAAATTGGTTTGTGCAGACTTTGTAGAGACCCTGGGTGGAATCGTCATGAAATTTTCTCTTTAAGAAATAACAAGCCCTTTAATTTCTCTAATTGTCTCCAATTTCTTCATAAAAATGACTTGGGTTCTTAGCCTCATTGTGCCAGATTTACATTCCTTCCAGTAGTCAATTTCCAAACGCATCAGTTTCTCACCCATTGGTAGTACAGCGATTTTATTTCAAACCTTGATGGATTCTATACATGTTTGAAGCTGCATAGCTGCAATAGGTATTCATTTTGGGGGCCAGTAATAATTCGGAAGGCTTTGTTTTTCACTTTTTCAATTTTTATAGTGTTAGACTCTTGTGCTGTTATGAGTAACTCACTTCCATTTTGCAAAACCAAACAAGTAGAAGTCCAAACCGGCACTCTACAATTATTAACTTATGTTTTATGGATGGAATTTTGATAGAAGTTAATTACTGTTGTTATTCTTTAAGTGTTTTACTTTAATAATCAATTCAATGTTTCTATCTTTTTCTTCTTTGTTTTCTTCGATTTCTGATCTTTTCGTTACAATTAAATTTATTTTCGAGAAGTTTTTATTTATTTGTTTCTATAAATTATTACTGAAAATATTTTATATGTTGCTATAGTTAGTGTATAAGGTCTTACGAAACAATTTTACATGTTGATTTACTTTGCGCTGAAGGTGACATTTTGTAGTTTATAACTGCTATAAGTAGTCAGCTAAATAGGAAAATAGCAGAGAGAAATGAAATATGAAATTATAAAGAAATTATCAGTTTTTATACTCTTCTGTTACAAAAACTCAATTTTTACATTTGACCTTTTGCTGTGGGCCGGTGGCCGAATGGCTAACGTGTGTGCACAGCACAGCTGTTGTCCGGCAACATGATATATGATACAAATTAGCCACAAGTTCTCGTCCCGGGGCCGGGGGAATCTTTTCAATCCCCTCCCACATCCTCTGAACCGAGAAAACCCTGTATAGCCTTATTAAAGGCGTGAAAGGGAAGGACCCAAAAAAAAAAAATATGACCTTTTGCACTAACAGTAGCAATATTGTTTTAATTTTTTTAATGAAGTTTTTGGTCAAATATAGATTCTGTTTATTTGTACAGTTTTTTTTTTTTTCTTGATACACCAATCTTGCTATTTCTGGCATTACTATTTTTGGTTGTATCTCTGTTCTAGAGGTACAACTAAACCTATTCTAATCAATGTAGGAAGGTCTAGATTCGTTCCCTGCGTCCACCACAAAATAAATTAAAGTCAACGAAAAGATGGTGGGTTTTAATCTGAAGTTCGTTTCCTCTCTCTAATATTGTTCTGAGGCAGAATAACAGGATGTTAGATAAAATCTTATATCGAGAAGAGAGATACCCCTGTAATTTTTGCACTGGAGTTTGTCACCTTCTTTAAAGATAGGGGATATAACTGACTTTTTCCAGTTTTCCGGCAAAACCTCTTCCTCCCAAATGGTCAAGACTAAATTCTGGAACCTTTTAAACAGTTCCTCACCTTCAAGAATTCAGCAGGTAGGCCATCTGCTCCAGATGCCTTATTATTCTTTAACCGATTAATGGCATCTATTATTTCTTCATCATCAGGTGGTTCAAGGTCTGATTCAGTGTCTGTTCCACAGGGGCCTGAGTTGAGAAGCTTATCAAAATGGCTTTTCCATTGTAATAGGACCTTATCCTTGCAGGCCATATTCTCGTCCTTGCCTCTACAAGTTTCAGGTACATTTGTTCGAGGTCTTCTCTTTCTAGTGATGATCTTGAAAAGGTCCCTTGATTTTTTTTCTCCTTCGAGTATTTTTCGGCCCTCCCCAATTCATCCTTCTCTCTCTGTCTTTTCTTTCTTTGATGAAGTCGTTTTTTCTCCCTCCTCCTCTTTTGATATTTCTCGACTGCTCTCTGAGTCCTTTTTCTTAACATATTCTTGTATGCTACATTCTTTGTATTAGTGGCTGCCTCACATTCTCCATCAAACCACGGTGTCCTCACCTTCTTTTCTCTCTTTCCTAGTACATTATTAGCAATTTCCTACATTGCGGTTACACAGCTGGACCAGAGAGATTCTATGTTTTCCGTATTTACAGCCTGAGCACGGAGGTTCTCATCTTGTTGCTTATTGTACAGCTGTTTGCCATCAGGCTCCCGTAGCTCCAAGATTATAGTGCTTAGGTTTTATAGCTGGACCTCCAAATTTTTTGAAGGAGATCCTAGGAGTAATGTGGGCAATGCACAAAATATATTACCTACCCGGCAACAAAAAACATGTCATTTTACATTAATATAATGAATTTGATCAAAATCATTTAAGCCATTTTTGAGAAAATATAAAAATGTGTAAAATTGGTTATATAAAGTGCTGATCCCGGTTTATTTTAATGAAAAATTTGTAACATCTGTGCCGTACATGTATCTTATATGGTGTCACTACCTAAATTCAGTTTCATACATAGAGATTTGGTTATTTGGACTCAGGGGACCTCAAAACTTGTATTTCCATTGAAAACATGGATGCACAATTTTTTATGATCGCAGCATTTTTCTTTACTATATTTTTTTTGTATTATTTTTTCCTACAAGATTTCGAAAAGTCATATATTCCGATTGTAGAAATAAATATAGCTGATTTATTAGAAGAATTTATAAAAAAAAATATTTATTCCATTAAGCGTTATTTTTTCATCTATTCAAGTTTTAGTAATAACCATTTCTCTGGTCAAAATGTTTGTTTAATAGTATAATGTTATATTTGGCTGTGTTATTGTCCACTGTAATTTCTTTTTATTATTACTACTGTCCCTGACAGTCTCTATTTCCTGTTTATCACTATGTGAGTGGTATGGGCTTGAGCAGGGTGGTAGAGACGAGTACGATATAAGGAACCGCTTTCATAACATACTTAACTCAGCAAGGTAATGATGACCTTGCTAGGTAATAGGAAACTCCATACCTGGAAAGACCAATTCTCAGGTATGTAGAGAGGCAATAAGGATTAAAAGATTAGTGCTGGTAATTTTATAGAAGGGCAGCATAAAAAGGTAGGCAAAATGAGAAGAACATAGAACAAGAGTTCATTAATTTGGCCAAATACAAGGTATGAGTTTTCTCTCAGAGGTAACTAGAAAAGAGATAGGAATAAGAACACGAAATAAATGCTTCCAGTTAGGTTCTGATATCTTTTAAGAATTTTTTTTTATTAATATGGTATTATAATCCATTAGTGTTTATATAAAAAGTATAATATACAATAAATAATAATAAATCTGTACATAGGTTGTCATCAATAGTCCGGTTCAATTCTCAGTGGATGTTCAGAGTTACCCATTAGTCAAAGTATAGTATTATGTATACAGAGTGTCCCGTAAGTAGAGGAAAATATTTAAAAGGTTGATAGTAAACATCAATATTTGAGATTCACCTCAACATGTGTTAAGAAATGATGTGATTTTCTATCCCGTCACCTAAAAGTACAAGTGTTTTCAGCAAAAATGACTACAATTTTCGGTGATATGGGATGTATTGGAATAAACATAATTGCCTAAAAACACATTTTATTTATAAAAATATGATTTTTCATGTAAGGTGATGGTTAAGAAATTGTGTTTGTCTCTCAGATTTTTGTCATACTAATTAATAATACACATATAAGTGACGAACTTGATGTTTTTAATCCTAATGCTTACGTTTTCATGAAATTTATTAATAATTGAAGCTATCTGTAGGTTTCCTTATTTTAAACAAATTTTCTGCACTACTTTTCTACTTATAAACAATTGCCCAATTTCCATGCAATTGTTTATATGAACTTTTTGTAGATCTTCATGTCTACTATAAACTTTTTAAATATTTCCCTCTGCTTATAGGACACCCTGTATAACTGAATAGAATGCTTTTTAACAGTTTTTCAAATTATAATGGAGGGAAAAGCATATTAAAATCTACTTATGGCACCTGTGAGAAGTGTATTGAGTGTAATTTTTATGAGTATCACTAGAAAGTTAATTTTTCCCTCTTTTTTTGTGTCTAAGGAGCTAAGTTATGTAGATCTTTCAGAGATGAACATTCCTTTGTGAATCATGGGTGGAAGCTCGAAAATCGAACTTGTACCTTTGAAAATTCCAAGCTTTAAATCGCTTTTTCCCATAAATATAATTTTTAAACTTGACACACTATCCAAAGGTGCCACAGATATTATAAGACATACCCATGTTCATAAGATAGTCTTCTTCTTAAGCCTATACCTAATTATAGAATTTGAAAACTTCTCTGGTCTCTTGTATATTTATTTGTTGTTACTAAACATTTAAAGTTGAATTTTTATAGTTACCCGAGGATTAAATTTTATAAGAATACAGACTAATATTTTTATGTTAATCCAAATATTTTGTGAAATAGACAGGAGACTTAATTTATTCCATTGTTACACATATACATATGTATGTGTGTTTGTTTGTATGTATATATGTTTGAAAATAATTGGAATTTTCTTTTTTAGGCTCAAAGTGTAAACAATAATGTGAATAGAAACTATAATAATAATATGTTTTCTTCTCAAGAGCCAAAGGAAGTGGTTAAAGTTCCTGATCAAGATCCATTTAGTGCAGCTAATGTAAATATTTCTTTGAACCAACCAATTGATAATTTTGCTAATTTTGATAATAATCCAATATTTGATTCTGTTTCATCAAATTTCGTCCCTGGTAAGAAATTCCTCAATTTGAATTAAAGATATATATTATTTCTGAAATTCTTAATAGTATATTTCTCCAAAATTCAGTAAGTGACTGAACTTAAAATTCAATTGTTTAATTTAAAGTATATTATTTCATATCATGGGTGATTGATATATAATCAGGACTCAGTGAATTTTTGGAGTTTTTTTTATTACCTACGTTTTAATCCAAACTTGTGTTTATCATCAATGCTGAAAATTTGTTTTAGTTTAGGTAGAAACGTAGGCAATAAAAAAAAATTTGTTTTACATTTTAAAAGTCAAAAAAGGTTGTTCCATGTCCTTCTTTTTGCAAATCCATATGACAGGTATACTACTTACTATTGGTTATCTGATTTTTATGAAATTTTCATGAATGGTGCGGGTTGATACCTGAATGGTCACATGTCAATTTCATTAATTTCTATTGACTGCTTCCGCTTGCAGATATGTAGACGTATTATAATAGGTCTATATTCCACTTTAATTATGGCTGCCTTGTATATGATGGACTGATGCACGGCATGAGATTAGACTGTAGTAACAAATGAATTGTTCATTAGATTCATCTTAAAGAGTCCCCTGGAGCTCCCACATCTCAAATTGGTACCCTGATTTGAAGTGGCTCTATTTAGTTTTCTGACAGCAATATTTCCTAGATGTATGGATTTTTTCAATTATTAATTCAAAACCATTTAGTAGACGACAAAGTTAAATTTAAGCTGTATTTTAGATTTACACGAGAACAGCTCTCATTTCTTTTTGATCTCATAAAAGATGATTTGCCTAATCATACTTGCAATGAAGTGAAAATACCAATAAACACATGTTGAAAAACTTGGTCTCACTTTGAGGTAAGTGTGATTAAAAAAATTAGAAAAATTATTTTTTCAAAGGAATAAAACTATTTTGAAATGATTTAGTTTATTTTTTTATAAAATATTTAATTTGATACTAATTAAAATTATTATTAAAAATTTATAATATACAATGTAACAATGGTTAATCACACAGATGTAAGTGCAAATATTAGTTTAGCTTCAATATTATACTATAGTTTTATTTATTTCATTTGTGTTTTTTTATAAAAATATATAAATTTTGACTGTGTTTAAGTTAATTTTTAAAACCATTAATAAGAATATTTTTCCCAATTAAATACATTTTGGGCTCAGGCCTTCCAGATTCGGTCACTGTGAATGATTTGATGTCCAATAAACGACAATTATAAATAGGCATTAATATATTTGTAATTAAAAGGAATATATATTTTATCTGATGATTTAATTAATAATTGTAAAAATGAAATAAAATACCGTTCATATGATTTCTTGCTACAAGTTCTGAAAACTATTCTGGTCAAAGGTGAGTCATTGAAAATTTATTGGTAACTAAGAGGGAAAAAGGGTAGGAAACTATACGGTATAAGGTATAATCTATGTAGGAAGCTATACGGTGTATTCTATGTAGGAAGCTATATGGTGTATTCTATGTAGGAAGCTATACGGTGTGTTCTATGTAGGAATAGCCGATACCCAGTACAGGCTTTCATATTGTTAGTTGAACTTTTATGTATCACTTATTCATAATTTTTTAAAAAGAATTTCACACTAAATGTTGAGGATTTACTAATATAAACCTAATAATATGCAATATTTACTAACGTTAAGCTTTCTTTTCGACAAGTTTCGTGGTTAATGTTTCCGATAATACTCAGAATTTTTTCAAAAGATCCATTTTCTCCACAATCATTAGTATTGTTTGATACTATACGCAGTCGCAAAAGGAAATAGAAAGTGATGCAAATGTATAAATTTAACTGATTCAATGGGCGGGAAAATTATGGTAATTAATTGTTTTAAATGAAGTTATATCGTCGTTTTCATTTCAACTTTCTATCAAAAAATGCCTTTCTATTCTAATACTTGTCTCACCCCACTGTTTGTCCATTATTTAGTTGCTTCATGACAAATGCCTTAATATCCTGCCAGATTAACTCCCAATCCCTTCCAACACATTATGACAAATTTCTTGATTATTTTCACCACAATTTCTCTGATATCATTGTCTTATCTGAAACTTGGCTCAAACCTGATATCCCCTCACCATCAATTTCCTTACCCGGCTATACCCTCTTTTGTCATGATCAAATGGATCGAACTGGAGGAGGCGACTTCTCTGTTTGTTCATGATAGTTTGCGTACTAAAATCCTTTTAAAATCTCCTTCTGACATCCCGAATATTCTTCTTCTGACACAGTGAATATTTATTTGTCCAAGTTTAATCTAGAACCTTTTCTCTACTCTACATCATTATTTACTGCCCTTCCCCCATGTTCGATTTGATCTCACTTTTGAATCCTCCCTGCTTGCAATATGCCTCTCTTTAAAAAGGTCATTATTGTAGGTGATCTCAACACCAATCTCCTTTCAGACTCTCCGGACAGAACATACCTTATTGACCTGTTTTTTTCCCCTAGACCTATTTATTGTAACCTTTCCAACCACCCATCATACCCAGTCCACTGATAACTGGTATTGACTTGTTATCCATCTCTTCGACTTTGGTTAGTTGATGTATGGAGGGCTGTTCACATGAACCGAGGCGAGACTGAATAGACTCATGAATTGCTTCATAAGATTAATCTTTGGTGTTCCCATGTTTCCTGCTTACACAGCGAGTTGAAGTGCCTCTATCCTACTTCCCGACGGCAATTCCATCATCGTGTTTTCCTTTTCCAAGTCCTCAGAACCAAAAATCCTCTCGACATCCTACAACTTCTTACTCTACGTCCCTCTAACCACTCTCTTAATACCAGATCTCAACCTCTAATCTATATATCCTATCCCTTAAAACGACTTTCTTAAGAAAATTCTTTTTCATTCATGCTATCTCCTTTTGGAACTCCATAACTATCTCCATACATCAAACCACATTCACAAATTCTTTCAAACAACTCCTATTCCACCACCTACTAATCATTCAAACTTCTGCAAGCTTGTAAGAATTTTGAGGTCATGTAATTACTATTTCTCACCAACAGTTACCTGATAAGAGCCCTTTTATTATTTTTTTTCTTTGCATTTTTTGAATATTTTTGTATTATATCTACATGCCAGACTGATGTTTATATTTTTCTAACTCTGCTATTATTCTACGAGGACTTTAGTCCCAAAATAAAATTATTTTTTATTTCATTTCAAAAAAAGAAAAATAATAATAATTGTATATATTTTTACTTTTTATGAATATATTATTTTGAATGTAAATGTTAAATGCATTGACAACCTCATAGGTTACAAATTATAGATTAGTATTCTTTTGTCTTCTCCTAATTAAATGTTTTTAATAACATTTTTGAATTCTTCATTGCTCATATTCGATATAAATTGGTGGTCAAACCCATTCCTTAAAATCTATCTCCTACCCCATGACTGAAACTGACTAGACTGCTCCTGTCACAATCATCACTCTTAAGCAGTGGTGATTAAAAATTGCTGAACTTAAGCGAATATTATTGGATTTTTTACTTCATTTTTCACAAACTTATCAGAACTTTCTGCCCTGACATCAAGCCATCTTCTGGAAAGTACTGTATGATATTTTAGAATTACATTCAATACATTACATTTTTATAATATTGAATGTATATCATTTTAAATATTTTTTTAGCACCTCTTCAATTTTTCCCACAATATCATTATCACCTTTATCCGCTCGACCATTCATATATAACTGGTGTTTAGTAAAAACTTAATAACCCATATTTTTTTAAGAGGGCAGTTTAACATTTTGAAATAATTACTATTATCAGTATTGTATTATTTCTTTTGTGATTTATCATTTATAAATTTTTTTTTCAATATATATACTGTATAGAAATTTGGTTTGCATGGTTTTCACTACTTTCAAGTGATTTCAGCTTCAGATCTCAGCTGCATAAAGGAAAGTGGAAGAGACAGTGCCATCGAAGAGGGTTAGTTTTGTTTGCCAGATGTCACTTTTGCCCTGTCATATGATCGATCTCTTTTACTCTTGGACATGCTACTGTTGATTATTGAACATAATGTTTTTCTGTTAGGGAAAACTTTGCTGATAATAAAAAGGGACTCCAAGATAGGTGTATGATTCGATATATTCTAACTTCATGTTATTCCAGTATAATGGTTTCACTTTTTTTCTTCTTGGTGACTTGTGGAATGATATGATTTTTTGGTTTTCTGTGTCAAAATTAGCTGAGTAGGATAGGACTATATCATCAGCAAGTAAGAGCATCGAGACTAAGCGTTCACTGCTAATAAGAACACCAGTTGTTTCTCAGTTCTAGAAAACATTTACTATGTTTGATGTAAACAAAATAAGAAGAACAGGGCTAAGGTTTTCTCCGTGTAGAAGTCCTAGTGAGGTCTATATGTCAAAATAGTTACCTTTGTTACTAATTCGCACTCTAGCTTGGTCATTCAATTTCATAATTCTAATTATTTTTCTGCTAACTCCTATTAAAAACAACTTTTGCCATACAACTGGCATATTTATGGAATGAAATGCTTTTTATTAATACAGGACATTCAATGAAAACTAAGTATATACAAGTTGAAAGAATAGCATCCATGAACAATCCACTAGAGTTTTTTACAAATTTTTTAAACAAAAATAAATTAATTGCAAAACTAAAAGCTCAATTATTGAAAACGAGAAAAATAATGTGTTGTCACATGGTATAAACTGGGCAATGACCGCTACCCACATCCCCGTCTATAGAAGCATTTACAATTTCACATATCCTTAACCGGAAGAATGTCTTTTACTTAGCTTAAATATCCAAATACTTAGAGCCATAAACCAAATGAGAGTCGCAAGCACTGTATCCTTACAAATTCCTTTAAAAAATAAGCACCTGATTTTCAAGCTCTGTGAACCATGCAAACTGTCTGAAATCTATTGAAGACTCTTTAAAGCATTTTCTCTTGCATTGTCCTTATAACCCGTACAGAGAACGATTCTTAAAGGAGTATGTATCTGGAAATTATGAACTTTCTTCACTAGAAAGCATTTAAAATCATAACAGTATACATAAAATGAGGCATATATTCCTGTTCCTCATAGCAATTTTCAATAACTTCCAATCTTCTATAGGTCAGCTGGCTGGATAATTCTTGATGCGGATTCACCTTGTGATGTTTAAATTAAATGTTGGAATGTAGATAAAGTGATGAGATAAGTGATTAAGTCTATAATATAGATATTATTTACTACTTGAATATTATTCGTAAGATGTACTTAATCATATGTGTAATATATTCATGTGCTATGGCACCTGTGAAAAGCACGTTAATTGCAATTTTGTGAATTTTAGGTTATGTATGGGTATCACCAGAAAGCTTGATTTTCTCTCTTTCTTTGGGTATAATAAGGCTTATAGTCTGTGGGACAGTCCCCCCTACCGTGCACTCCCCCCCTCCCCACACATCCCTATGAATTGCATATTGTTGTGTTCCTTGTAACAATTTATTAAAAAAAAAAGCCAATGTTCCCACAAAAAAAAAGTGAGCGAACTGCCCCAAAATGGCGTTCAAACATGGCAACTGAGTACTTTGACTTAAGTTAGTTTTTTGGTCACTGAGAATCAGCATTTGGCTTAATTTTGTCATAATTGGTCTTTTATTAAAGCGGTACTGTCGGTACAGGCCTCTACCACACCATTCAGTAGTCATAAATGGCTTAATAATGTTTTTGGTGCATTACATTGATTTTATTAACGAACAAATATTAATGCAATAATTTAATTGTCGTAAAAAAAATTTATTTTTTATTTAATTTTTTTTTTTTAATTTAATTTCTTTTATTCTATATGGAGGTCGTTTAAGAAGGCCTCTATTGTAATAATGATATAATTATAGTAAAAAACTTAATTCAAAAATACTTTGCTGAATATCTTAAATTTTTTATTTAACCTTTGCAATTTAACACTTTGTTTTGTTTATTTACTGATTCTTAGAGGTAATTTAAATTGTATATACTTCCCCGGAAACCAGTCATATTAATATCTGTTTTATAAACTAAAATAATATGTAACTAATCTGAACTACATATGATGAATAGTTGATTGATTTTTTAGTAAAACTCATGTATCACAAATAAAAAAATTAATTTTTATTTCCTTTATTTTGTTCGGAAGTTGGACCATATCAAAAAAAAAAATGGAAATTTTAATATTGAATGCATTATTCTCTCTGAACAAAGAAAGATGGAAAGGGCGAAGCTATAAGTTCTTCTAAGTAACCGGAACTGATTGTTAGTATTTGGTCTCAAAATGAGGAAAAACTCGAAATTTAACCCAAAAATTGGAAAAATGCATTAATTGAACGAGAAAGGAAGTGCTAAAATCTCGGAAAAGAAAGCAAGGATCAGTATCAATTATATGGCTAAACGAATATATGGTAGATAGAAGAACAGAATATTTCAAGATGCAGTTAAAAGGGGGACAAATGCTGGAACAGTTTGGATGATATTAAAGGGACGATGCAGGTTTATTATGGTGAAGACCATTTAATCAGCAAGAAAGATTTGTTGAAAGCAATTGCTTAGTCAGCAGGTCTGGACGAAGTGTCAGTGGACATTGACAGTTTCGAATTTTAAAAAAATGAGAAAAAAATATATATTTTATAGGATGGTGGCAGGAAGTTTAGTTCCATTTAGTTTTTAAAATTTTAAATATTCACCAACAATTTTTTAATAAATTATAAATTTTATGAAGTACATTTTATTAAATAACATTCAATGAGAAGTCAAATATATAGATTGTTATTACTGAAAATATACCTTCCTCGCCTTTAAGGCTATACGGGATTTTCCCGGGCCAAAGGGCGTGGGCGGGGATTTAAAAGACGCCTTGGCACCGGGACACGAACTCATGATTATTTTTGTATGATTTATCTTTTGGAGGTTATTTTTATTAGAGATTATTTTTATCAGGTTGCCGGGCAACGGTGGTGCTGTGCATGTGTTAGCCCATTCGGCCACCCCGCCCACTTTTGATAGTGCTAAAATTGGAGTGAACTAATAAACCAACTAGTTTAATAAGGTGAACTGAACTAGAGTACCTAGTTCCTTTAAAAGAGCAATTTTTCCCATCTCTACTCCAAACTGAAACAGAGTGTAGATAACCTGTGACTGATGGACAACTTCAAAGACGGCTGTTTGGCAGAAAATTCAATGGTGGGTCAAGTCTCTCCTATGGTGAATGGTCCCAAGTCTCTTTAATGTATATATATATATATATATATATATATATATATATATATATGTATATATATATATATATATATATATATATTTATATATATATATTTATATTTATAAAGTCTTATTATCATAAATATTATTAAATGTTATACTTTCCAAGCCTATGCCAAAATAATGTAACTAGCTTGATGAGTTATAAGTTATAAATATTTACTATTTGTTGTTCGAATGCTAGTTGTACAATTTATTATAACATTTATGTATGTATTTATATTTATATTTTGTATTAAAGTTTGAAGCATAATATATATGTATATACTATTTTTTTTTCAATGGTTATTTATATTTGCTTCACAATTATTTAAAAAAAGAAAGAAAGTAATTGTTAATCTTGTTTTCTTAAATATGATTTATTGTCATTCTTTACTGGCCAATGCCAATATAATATAACAAACATGTATTGCTTTATACAATAAATCAATTCTATTCTATTCTACTTAGTTTTCATTGAATCTCCCGAATTAAGTGAACAAGGTTAATGTTTAATAACTGTTAACAACTCTTCTGAAAATTTTGAGTTTATTTATTTTTTCCTGAACATCTGGCATGCATTATTTATATTATAAACATTATTTTTACAGTTTCTCAAGATCATGTTTCTAATAAAAGTCAACCACCCAGTGAAGATAAGTATGCTGCTTTGAAAGATCTTGATTGTTTGATGAAATCTCAAACACAACAGTCATCAGAATCTTCTAATACCTCTGTTGTGGAATGGGGTAATTTTTTTAAAAGATTATCTGATGTTATTGTCAATAATTATCCATACAATTAAGTAGATGCTTTGGTGTCGTGTCCCTCTTACTATTTACATACCCATTTTTACATTTTAAGAATGCTTTTGTTTTAAAAAATTATTCATTTCTTCTTTTTATTTAACTTATAAAAAGTAAAACCAAACCATTCAGGAACTCCATCTCTTCCTCTTAAGATTTCATTAAATTGGCTACTCTAAGCTCTGACTTACTGTTCTATGTTTGATTGTATATGTTCTCAAATTTAAATATTGTTCATCATGATTTAAGTTACTTGTATTTTTTTATTCTAGATTATATTTCTAATTGAGTACTGATATTGATTTTATATTAATGGAGTTATTTTAAAATCTATTTATAATGTCTTTGATATGAATGTGAATTTCAGGATTGCGGTTATTATGTTTCAAAATTGAAGCTAAATCCACATTTAATACATCCACATTCCTTTAATCTATTATATCAAATCCGTGGAAGTCTGTCTTTAAGCATTTTTATTAGGTCGATCCATAAGTTTGTTCGATTTTGGTTAGTAGTGTTAATTGTTTTCAAATATCTCCAGTTCTCTTTGCTTTATTTGACAATAATGATACTTATAGGAAAGCTCGAAGTACGCTCTTCGAAACTATTGTGCTTGGTTTCGTTGGCATTAGTTTTTTTTCTGCTTCAGCATAGTAAATATGTCAAATAATAAAGTGCATTTTTGCCATATTTTGCTTTTTTTTATTTCAAAACTGGAAGATATGTAAGGTAAACGGGGATGATGCCTTAACAAAACATATTGCTAAAAGATGGTTTGCCAAGTTCCGGAGATACGAGTCTTGAAGATGCACTCTGCAGTGACTGGCCCACTGAAGTTGATTCAAGTGATATCAAGGCTCTAATCGAACAAGACGCGTTTTTACAGCTACAAGAAATTGCGGAGATACTGAAAATAGGTTTTGGAACCATTTTAAGGCATTTAAAACAGCTTGGCTACATGTTCCTCCTTGATGTTTGGGTGCCACACAGACTTAGTAAGGCTAACCTGGCCTACCGAATATCAATCTGCAATTCTCTTCTTAACTGGCAAAAAAGGAACCAATTTCTCAAAAGAATGTGATTGGTGACAAAAATTGGATCATCCATTTACAACAATCTAGTGCCCAGGAAATCATGAACAACTGCTGACGATCCACCTAATGCCACCCCGAAGGCTGCCATACATCTGAAAAAGATTTTACTCTCCTTATGATGGAATTATTGCTGGACTGTTTGACTAGTTGCTTCAACAAGGGAAAACGATTGATTCTAATATCTTACTGCACACAGCTAACGGAATTGGACCAAGCATTGGGACAGAAATGTCCAAAACCGCAAAGGTGTACTCCACCATGACACAGTCAAACTCCACAATAATCACACAGCAAAAGTTAGTGCAAATTTGGTGGGATGTTTTATATACCTATCATATTCTCCGGATCTTGCACCATCCGACTACCACTTATTCCGGTCCTCCAATACTCTTTGAGTGGGAAATCAGTCAATGATTAAAGAGATGTGAATACTTATTTTGTTTAGTTTTTCACCTCTAAGCCCCAGTTTTATGAAAGCGGAATAATGAAATTGCAAGAAAGATGACGAGAGGTCATTAATAAAAATGGCGAATATATTATTGAATAAAATGTATTCTTTATATAAAAAAAAACTTATTTCATCCTGCAAAAACTGAACGAACTTATAGATTCATGCAATAATAAAGTGATCCACTATCTGTACATTTTTTTGGAGAACTTCTACTTTCATGCTTATTATTTGTGATTCTAAATATACAAGAAATTTGGTGTATATTTGGTCCATTTGTAAACCTGTCTGACCTATTTCGTTGTGATTATTTCTGAATTAAGACTTATTATAAAGCCCATATTCCTTAACAATATAAGGTTGAATAAATGATAAATTTATATAGTTTATATTTTGAGTCAATTTTTGTCTTTAATTCCATGTAAAATGGTCAGGACTGTAGCTATAGCAATTTTTATTTTTTTAATTGCAGTATTTGTGGCTTGAAGATATTTTCCAGTTAATCTAAATTGTATCCTTATGTAGAAATAATTGTTTCCTGTTATTATTACTAAGTGGAGTTTCCTTCAAATGAAAATGGTTTCAGTTTTTTGTTCTCCCGCCAACTTTATGAAATTACTGTTTTAATTTGTTCTCTATCCTAAGGACTAGTAAGTTTTTTTTAATAATAATTTTGTAATATATTAAGCTTCTTTTGGCAATTTGTCTTATCCATGACTTTTTAAGTATCACTGTGTTGTCCCCATACAATAACATTAGTAGTTCTTTATTGCTAAATCTCTTGCTTGGTATTCATAAAAATACTTGTTGATTCTTGAGATCAGGAATTACTTTTTGGAGATAGACCACTTAGGCAACTGGATCTGAACTGAAGCCGGAACTGAAATTATTTAAATTTTTCATCGTTTTTTGTCAAAATGCGTCGGGGAGGTATTATGGATATTTTCCACTTCATCCAGCCAGAAAAGGCTGCCTCTGACTTTAAAGAATCCTCTTTTGTAGGCTGCTTTTTCATATTTAGCCTTCAGCTTATTGATGTAATTGAAAAACATTTCTATGTTCCTATCTATCTGTTAATTTATCATGGCTTATTCTGATATTCTTATTTTCAAAGGGTTTTTTTCTGTTTCATTATTGCCTGTTAAATATAATTATTGTGAAGGGATACCATAATTGATCTTGGTTCTTTGCCTTTTCCGATTTGGAAGTAGTTCTTTATGGCACATTCAGGTATTTTTATGTTAACTTCTTGACAGATCATTGTGACTTTTGAAGAAAAATCCTCGTTTTCTATACCAGGTAAATAAATGATAGTAAAATAGTTTATTTTTCTTGAGTTCAGAGATTACTCCATTAAAGAATTTAGAATTAAGATAATAATAATATTATAATATTATTTAAAGATGATTTTGTTTCACCAGTAAATCTTCACTGGTATCAGCCATAATAACTATATGTTGTATAAACATGATTTAAATGACTAAGCGATTTCAGTAATATGTAGGGAGGGAGGGAAATCCCTTTGACAAAGCATCCGAGTTGACCTAGGTAGTGATAAGAAATAGCATATGTTGCCTTAAACGGATGTTGAGATAAGGGCCAGACAGGGAATTTCTTGCTGATTTTAGAGATAAGGCTATGAACTTCCAAAGAAATGCTTTTCTTATATTCTTTCCCAGTTGCTCCTACCTTTGTCTGAACAGAACTGAAGTTTGTATAAATACTCTTCAATATGAATAACAGAAGTATATAAAAAATAATATTTATAGTGAATGTTTAACAGGCTAAGTTAATAGGCTTGACCATGGACACAGATCCAAATTGTCACGGCCAGTGGCCACTCCTAATTTTTCTATGTAATCAAAGGTGTGTCAGAATTTCAGATTGGAGGTGTTCATGGGCCCTAGTTCGGAGACCCGTGTTCTAGCCCAACCTTTTTATAGTGTGTGCTACAACCTAGGGTTTGTTCATCATATTGAGGGCTGTCATAAAAATGTTTCCTCCTTCTCTGTTTGATTTCTATCTAGTATTGGTGTTGTTGTTTTTTTTAAACATTTTTCCATTTTATAAATTTTGAGAAAATATTTAAATAAAAGGAAACATTTCATAAGTATTATTTATTAAATTATTTCAGCAGGCCACGGTTTCAGGCTGCCAAACATCTCAAAATTCTCAGATGACATGGTGCTATTTGTTTATCAAATCCTTGTCCTTCTGTTATCTTCCTACCTGCCTCTGGCACTCAGAAATCCTATTATTATTTTTAAATGGCTTAGAAAATGGTTGTGGCACACATCGTACACCACGCGCCTTCTCATGTTGTCCTTTTAGTGTCATAGCTTTTTTGGATCATTTTGGTATTATTTTTAATCTGCTAGTGTTTATTTTGGTGTCATTTTTGTTGAAGAAATTTGAAAATATAAGTATATATAAGGGAGATCCTGGCTAAATTCATGGCACAAAAAAACTGACTTGATGGTAATAGGCTACAACAAAAACAAGGGAGGAGTTAACTTAGTGTGTAAAATGATAGCGGCATACTTGGTTTCAATAATCACAAGATATCCTGTAGTAATTTTCTATTATATGTTGAACATTGCCGGAATGATTTTCCAAATTACTCTCTTTCTAAAACAGAAGATTCTCCAATTTTGGGCCTTTTTTCTTGAAAACCTTGTGGTGCAGTTAAAGCTAATGAATGAATTTATGAGAAAAATACCATCTTTGCCATCGGATATCTCGATGAAGTGGAAACTGCCAAAGAGAATAAACTATTGCACTGGTAATGTCAGAACATTTGAAAATGAAGTAATTTAACGTTTGCATTCCAAATTTTAGTTCAGAAAAGAAGGAAATTGTTAGGAATGTGAAGTCAGACTTAATGGAAACAGAAAGATTTGATAATTCAAAAACATTATACTGTGAATCTTAAAAAGTTATCAATGTTAGGAGTTTAAAAAAAAAAAAAGAAGAATTATTAATAAAGAAACCAATGCCATTGAATTTTAACCTACTAGGTGACTATTAATTACATTCAGAGATCAACGTCTGCCTTGATATATCTTGATACACCATATCGAAATCCACCCATACATTCAATCCATAATTTAATGTCATTTATGTTTATGGTACGATCATAATACTGTCCAGTGTAAAAGTATATAAAACAATATTTAATATAGGTTGAATTACAAATTATAATTAAATTTTTAATTCCTGTGTTTATTTCTCTTGTAGTATAATTATAATCGTTAAATGAAACAATTTTGTCTTTCTTTCTTTTGCAAGATTTATCATGCATATTTTACTACAAATTACTGCATGGAGTATTTGAACATTTTTTATTGCATATAAATCGGATCTTTAGTGCTTATAAATCCCTACCAAACTTGTGTACTGTTTCTTCAGATACAGTTTTCTAATTTCTATAAATGTTGGATTTCTTTTGTTATCATCTTCAATAGTTCATTTTTCTTTTCTGTCACAATACCCTACCCCTCATAAAATATAACAATGCTTATTATTATTTATTTTACTAATATTTTTGTTTTGTCTTATGTTTTTCTCATTATTAATAAAATATTACTATGTATCTCATTTTTATAATTTTCAGATTCTAATAATATTTGGCCTCAAGCACAAAGTTTTAACCAATCATCTGCATTTGATGCTTCTTCAGTAACAAATTATAAAGATTTGAATCCGTTCACTGATGGTAAATATATTTGTAAAAGATATTTATTTACATTATACATATTTAAAAGATAATCAACAAATTTATTCAGAAATAATTGTGGAACTTACAAATTGATTACCTTGTCGAGGTATTGTACATTTAGTATAGTTATCAGAAGGCCTTAGCAGAGCGTGTTCAATTAAGGGGTTATATGACTTAGTGGATGAAGGAAGATGAATAGACAGGTGACCTCAAGTGTCGATGGATTAGCGTCCAAATCACTCTTGGTCTGTGGTGTAAGGTATCAACCTTAACACTTCACAGGAATGGAAGTGACAACTGAGGGTTCAATCTCCTGATTTGTGGGAGGATGAAATACCAAGATGGATCAATCTCCTAACTTAGTATATACGAGTATAAGCGGATGGATCAGCCGCCCTTGTATGGAAAGAAAAAGGTTAAAGGAGCATTGTGAATTAAAAGTCAAATTGATGTAGAACTAAAAATAGTACATAGAATATATCGATCAAACTGCTGGGAAGGTCTGATTTTCCAATCTGAAGCCTAGGATGATCATTCCTTCATTTAAAACATGGGTAATCAGAGTTTACGCAAATATACTGATATTATTTTTTATCAGTTGATTTTATATAGCTTTAACTTTATTGAATAAAATAAACATGTATTAGAAGTACAATTATAATAATAAAAAACACATTTTAACAAGTAATATATGTTCAAAAGTAAAACATAATTCATCTTCATATGATGAACGTCTGGTGGTGGCGCAGTCATGTAGTGGGCACGTGAACTATGTGAAGGACTGCTAGAGTCGGTAAGGCCGGGTCAACCTGTTTTCATAGCATCGTCTGTTTATTCCGAAAAATGATTATATAACCTTTTAGAAAATTAAATTAGTGAATAATTTGATAAATTTCCTCTTTGTGATATTCCAACTGTATCCACTTACAATTAATGTGACAACTTTTGACCTGTCTATGAGACAATGCAATCTCTTAATTCCGTTTTAATACACTTTGCAGTGGAAAATAACTACTAATAGTCGTACAATCCATAATCGACGGATCCTGCATTCCATATTAACGGGTGATATAATAAATAGTAATTTTGTTATTTTAATGGTATTTATGATTTGTTAGCTGTAATTTTTTAGCTTTAGCTTGGTTAAAAATGCAATTCAAAAATTTTATAATAGCCTAACATAACATGGCCAAAAGGCCAGAAAACAATTTCTATTCAAAGTTGAGCGAAAGTCAAAGTTGTGTGTTGCGCACACCAGATTTTTAAGTTCTGTTTTGTTTGTCCTACGTAATATGTGCTATTTCTACAGTCCTTAAAATCTATTATGTATATGATGTTAATTTTTCATTTTTATTTATTTTGTCTTTATTATTGGCGCAAATGTTTAGAATTTTTTTTTTTGATTTTCTACTGAACTTTAAATCTACTGTCATATTTTTTTAAAAAGTATTAGTTATTTTGTCAGTAAGACTATTAATTTGTGTTAGGCTGTAAAATTTTGGTTTAGTGTGTTGAGGGAAGGCATTACCCAGCCAGTACCTCCGGAAGATAATGGCTCTTCCCAGTTATTAATTATAATTAATGGGTTAAATAACTTAATCCAGCCTCATTTCATTCTTCTTCAACAGTTATCACTGTTTACACAGGTCTGGTACCCTAATTATGCCCCACAATAATTTAACTGTCAATTCTTCTGTGGAATGCCAATGGGCTGACACAGCACAGTACTGAACTTATACTTGCACGAAAAATGGATCAACGTTGCACTCATTATTAAAACACACCTAACGTTTCGATCAAAAATTCATATCCAGGAATTTATAGAACTGATCACCCAGACTAAACTGCACATTGAGGAACTGACATACTCATTAAAAATCCACTAAAACACAATCCCATAGACTTAAATTACATTATAGTAATAGTAACATTATTGTAAACACTTAACATTCATCTGGATTATTTTTCTGAAACATCATGCAAATCTTGAATTCGTTAATTCTGTCTTTGTTTTTTTGTAAATTTCCTTTATGAAAGTCAACAAAGTTTAAAATGAAAAGATTTGTTTTGTAAATGTATGAATTTTATTCAGGAGAAGTAGGTTGAGGTTTTCAGTCAATGAAAGAACAAAGTAAAGACCTCCAATTATTGGACTACAGGCATGATGATACTGTGGATATTATATACTATAATTTGTTTATAACATAAATTTTAAAACATGACAATGGAGCACATTAAACTTAAGCCATGAATCGATAAGGAAACATGGGATTGTAGTTATGAAGATGGGAGTAAATTTCCCGGAACGTAAATTTGTAAATTCAACAAATAAATCAATTGTTGTTTAATTGGAAGTTATAGTTGCCAAAAACAGAGAATATCGTACAACTTCTCAGCAAAAAGAAAAAAAGAAGAATGTAAATATTTATTTTTACTTTGTGCTTTCATTGATTGAAAACCCCAACCAAATTCTCTTCAATATATTTTTTACAATAAACTATTCTCCCTGAATAAAAACTTTTATTCTCCCTGCAACACTTAAGGAGACAGGTAGTACTTCTTTTATTTCTTTCTTATTTCAGCTTTCTCAATTTCTTCCCTCCTTCCTTTCATTCCTTTTGTCTGTTTTTAACTCTTTATTATATTATACATTGTCTATACATCTTGATAGACTTTACAATATCTCAATTTTCTATCTAACTACTCCATTCTCAATGTTTTAATTTTACTATTTATTTTCATTTCTTATATAACTTCATATTTCTTTTTTATGTTTTACAATTTATTCTAAGGTTCCCATTGTAACACTTATGTCACCCTTTTTGATTATGCCTACTTCATCATTCCACACTTTGTAATAGTTATTATTATTTATCTCTTAGTTCTTAGTCATTATTCTAACGATTTCATTTTACTTTATATTTATTTATTTTATTTTTTAAATTTTTATTTTTTATTATTATTATTTATTTATTTTTTTTTTTTTACCATCTCTACTTATGTTTCTCATACCATGTTATCTGGTTATTTTCTTAGCCCTGATGAAGGCCTGAACTTCAGGTCGAAACGTCGGCATATGTAAAAATAAATATTATCATTTATTTTTGCCTTCCTTTTTGACTGACCACCCCAACTATTCTTCTCGACCTTACCTTTGATATATTTCTGTAAAACACTACATGCAGTAATGAAGTGGTTAAGATTAATCTACAGCAGCTTCATATTAGTATTTTCTTCATCTGTGTAAGTAGGATGGGCCCCTGAAAAATGAGTGTGGTAGGGTTTCACCATCAGGTCCAGCTTTCTCTTGAGTTTTATAGATCCTCCCGCCTCCAGATACAGCAGTAGTAGACCACAACCCTGTCAGCGAAGCTCTGTAATTACCTGGGACTCATATTATGATTACATTATCAGAGCCAATTTTCACTTTGTCTCCTGATGCTGCTATTGTCCTCATCCCTGATGCAGATTTACTATGTGTGTTAGGGACATGCCTCCATATGGCATAGGTAGCCGAGATCCACTTTCCGATACAACCATCAACTTCATCTTTGATCATCATATAACTAAAACTGATAGCCACAGCCTGTATGCTATGTTTTTTGTGGCTATTAAAGATGGTTTCAAGAATTTTGAAGATTGCTAAGAATTCTTTATTGATTTCGTTTAAATAATGCAGGATCCAATTATAGACTTTCTCAATAGCGGTATTACCCACAGAAAGAAAGCATTATTCTTGGTGGTAATTGTTAACTCCTGAGCATCTCCAGTGCAGAGGGTCATACCTTTCAGCATATCAATACTTCAGATTATTTTGTCAACCCAAGCCTTAGTCTCCTCTCCTCATCCTTACTGAATATGATGCATCTACTCATTTCGTATCTTGCACCATCAAGTAATAAGTAGTTCACACCGTCTTTGTCCAGCTAATCCTCTTTGCTGGTGATAAATTCTTTATGTACCTTTTACTGTTTGTAAGTGAGATGGGGATGTCAAAAGTTACAAGGAATCACTAAAAATAGCTGTCTCGTTGTAGTCGAGATAAAGCTCCTGCCTTCCATAGGTGCAGAGCTCCTAGGTAAAAATTTTGAGCACTTTCCCTTGCTTGCCTTGCTTCCTCATCTGCCTTTAAATTGAATATTAACAGGAGAAAGTTTCCTCTTCCTTAATTAGATCATTAAAACTGTTTGGCCTTCTTTTATGAACTTACAACTCTGTAATAAGTTTATCTATTTCAGAAGTTGGACATGCATCTATAGTAGGTAATGAGAATTGAATATAAAAACTTTGTCAGGGTCACTGTATTTTTTTGTTACGTTCAAAATTACAATTACATTATAATCCCTCATATTTTCTGTAAACCACTACTACAGACTTCCTATTGAGACTGCATTACTTTAAATAAGAAGTGAACAATGGAACTGCTTAAAATCTTTAAGTGCGTCAACAGTGATCTCTAAAAGTTTCAGAACTGTGTTATAGATAAGTAGGAATGAATATAACGTGACTTTTATTTTCATATAATTTTTTTTTTCAACTTCGGTTTACTTTTATTATCCACTGATCTTGTTGACTTTCATTTGTGAAATTTGCATATTATGTTACTTTTATCATTATTCTTACTTTATTTTATTGAAATGAAAACTTTTTTAGACACTTGCCTTTTTTTGGGGGATACTGAATGAGACTGATCAGTCACACTGATGCTCCGAATGCTTTTGAATATTTGAGATTTGACAAATTACTGATCCCCTTACAGAAGTTATATTTAAAAAAGGACGGAGTTTTTGTAAGATATTTAGCAAATGGATTTCAATCAAAAGCATTTATTACATATTTTAGTTATTATAAACCTATTATAGAGTATATAGAGTACTATTATAGGTATATCATATATACCTATATAGAAAACGATACAAATGGCAATCAGTCAAAGTTTACTAGAGTTATTTATAAACAATTTTAATTGTGTATAGTGTAAATTTTATTACTTTTACAAAAATAGTTTATATTTTTATTAATCTGGCTGTTGATGTTCTCAATTCTCTCATGTCTAAAGCACACACCGTAGTTTTTTGTGTGTTTGATCTATTTATTTAATTAGTTCTTATTGATAGTAATTCTTATTATAGTAATTATTTATATATTGTATGAATGGCTACTTACCTTTAGCACAAATACCTATTGTAGAATATATTATTATTCAATAAATAAATATAAAAGACTTTTAAAAACGTTATTTGATATAGGAGAGTCGAATAAGCGAAAACTATATTTTAGTTTACTTGTAATGTTAAATCGTTGTCAAATCGAAGGTGTAAGTTTTGTTTAAACTTATGTGGTTTTAAATAGAAGGACATAATGATCCTTTCTTTTGTGTAGTGCCAGGGAAGATACTGAATCCTAAAAAGTACTGCTAAGTGTAAAACCTACTAACAGAACCTATAAAAGTTTTATCATGATTTGTTTGATCTACTTGATCTGTCTGGTGAGGATTTAAGATTCTATGGTTAAGGTGATTAATAATCTATAAGGGCAGTTTAAGTCATTGGTTAAAAAAAAAAAACCTTTTAGTTCTGGGTAAAATCAATAAAATCTTTATCCGCATTAAGCCCAAAAACGTATAATTTTTGAGAGAACGCAAGGCATAGGGTTCGCATTCACACAACCTTACGTTAATTGTAGTACTGTTATTGAATACATGTCTCATTTCGTCGACTTTGAGGTCTCTATGATCGAGAGAGGAGGAGTTCATATTATTTATCAATGGTGTTTTTGATCGGCAAGCCATATCAACGTTAATTCTTCTTCAAATCTCAAGATCGAGCCACCAATTTCGAAGGCTTCCTTCTTCAGGTGGGCAAAATAGTCCAATCATCCTGAAAATTCAGGCAAACAAGTTATGAAAGAAACAAAATTTTATTTCTGAATAACTAAAAAATTACACTTTTCCCTTGGCCATACCCATGATTATATGAAAGATTACCAAATTCCCTACATAAGGAAAAAAAAAATCATCAAAATCGGACAATTTTTAGCAAAGATACAGCTTAATTTAATTTATAAACATATTGGTTCGAAACATAAATGAAGATTTAAATTAAGTTTAGTTTCCTTTTTAGATTATATTTTTCGATAAAGTATCAATTGATTTCTTTATGTTTTGATACGTTGCATTATTTTATTTTATTGATAATTTGGCATTTGATAACAATATGCTGTGCGAATTTTTCGCACTGGCCTACTAGTTAATAATTAATAGTAATCAAATCTTTTTTTCTGCATGATTTCGTTATGATATAGGAAATAACTAAAATTTAGTAGAATATCAATTTCAAAATTATTTTATGCTAGAAATTAATTTTAAATCCTTGTTAGATGTTTTGTACTTTTTTTTGTTTTAAGGAAATCCTGAAGTTATTTGGAACAATGATTCTGTTGGAAATCCTTTTAATACTGGTGAGTAAATCCTTCTGATCAATATGAAATTATTTTCAATTAAAAAATAATCATTATTTATAAGATTTTTGACCATATAAAAATAAATTACTGTGAGAAAAAGTGAAGTTTTTGTACATTTATCTATTGTAAATGTCAACATATAATTAATTACATTTATTATTGTTATTTGTTACCTTATCTTGAAGGACATGATGGCTGAACACATTAGGCCGTGGGTCCCAAAATAACTATTTCTGAAGAAGTATATTCGATTCCCACCTGCGTCGTTTAATATTGGATTGAGGAAAAAGTAATTTCATTTTTTTTTTTATTTCATGTTTTTCAAAGCAAATTTATTTATATAAATTTCAAACACTAACCAATGAAATTTAGGTTGTTTTGATTGACGACCTTTTGCCATTACTAGTAAAACCATAAAACTGTTACTGTAGGCGTTCTGAGATTTCTGCACAAAAAACAAAAACAAGTGATTTTCACAGTCCTCTTTTAAAGCCAACTTTTCACCATTGAGAGAGTTCTGTCGGAACTACTCAGCATCATCTTCCTTGACATCAATGCGAACTTTACCACTATTCGTGAAGTTTCTCCGAACTTTGACCACAATTTTATTTTGCACATTATTATTTTATGTGATCCAATTTTCATTACCCATAATCCGTAATAAATTTTTTCACTATTAATTCATGTGAAATTCAAGTATCAACCTTCTTTTGCTAACCAGCCTTATGTAAATGGTTCTGATCATTGTTTAGTTCCGTTGTGATATCACCAGATGAAATATGTCAGTCTAACTCGATTTTTTGAAGAATTTCATTAAATTTTTAACATTTGGCCTGATCGAGGTTCATCTTTAACATAAAATTACCCGGAACAAAAACGGATAAACCAATTCTGACACTAGTGTTCGCTAAGTACTCATCACTAGTGCCCGGATCTGAAGATCTAAGTTTACCAAGAAATAGATCATAAAAGTCAATCTCAAAAAGATCTTAAACTATTTATTGATAATATTATATAGCACAAAAGTATTTGTAGAGCTTAATTAAACATTCTTTAACATGAATAATATAATCAAATATGGTAAAACTGTGTAGCAACATTAAATCATAATGTTTATAAAAATTAAATTTTAAGAACTAACAATACTTAATAACAAAAAGAGCAAGTTCCTAAATTCAGTGCCAATTCCATCGGAAGGTTATTATTTCTGAAGGATTTCTAAACATATGAAGAATAAAAAAATCTTTAATGAAATACCCACCTACTGAATTGTTGAATTTCAGAACAGATATAAATAGGGTAAGTTCCTAAATTCAGTGCTGAGCTCATCGGTGGAGTCGTTTCATTTTCAAGACTGATTTGATTTCATCGATAAGCACAGCACTGAGCTTAGGAATTTTCCTATACAGAAAGAAAATAAACATACATATGTGAAGTAAATAGAGAAAAAACAACACCAAGGTTTGGTGCAGAGGATCTATCGACTCCAAATGCTGATGTAACCACTGAGTTATTCGATGAATAAATTAACATGGTGAACTCTATTCATTTGTTTAATTTATATTATTTATATCATTTATTTTTTTTATATTATCTCCCAGATATTTATATATTTGTGGGAAATAATATTTTCTAAATTTTTTGAAAATAATGTATTATCACAGATTTTAGCCAAATTCTATTAAATCCTAATTAATTTTTTTAAGCTCATAGGTAGGGCACTGAGCTTCCAATGCAAAGGTCCCAGGTTCGAACCCCGGCTCATGGCAGAAAATTTATTTATTTGTTTCATTGGCTGTGGGGCGACCCTGGGTCGGAAGACCCTCCTGGGGCACACCCAGCCTCTATAAAGTGGGTACCCTTAATTAAATAATTAATTAAGGGGGAAAACCTGGCGGTTGAGCGTGATCTCGGTCAAATCACCTCCTTCCACAACCGTTTACCTAGAAACAGTGCTTTCCCTAAATAGTACTGAACCCCAGACCCTTTATGGGTTATAGTGGTACAGGTTTTTTTTAAAGTCAATTGTGTTATATTGTTAATCTACTTTTCCTATTTTTTTATTTATTTATTTTTTTTTTTTTTGTTAAGGAATTTCCCTCTATTGAGGTTCTCCTTGACCTCAATGTTATTTAGAATATTTTTCCATAGTTCTCTATCCATGGCTTGCTCTTCTCTGATCCCTTGTCCTGCCAGGCTTTCTTCCATCTCATCTTCCCATTTTACCTTCGGTCTTCCTTTTTTTCTTCTTCCTTTTACTTCCATTCCAAACTTATTTTGGATATCTTTCTGCAGACATTCTTTTATCGTGTCTAAACCACATTCATATTTTTCTTCAATATCTGCTAGAATGTTATTTTTCATCTATGTCAGCTCCAGAATTCTTTCCCTGCTGCTAACAGTCTTTTCCCGTGTCTTGCATTGATGACCTATGTCTCCGAGAACTAAGTCATTATATGCTCGAATATAGCCTTGTATATTAGTCTTTTTGTACTGTATATTCGAGCTCCAAAGAACGCCATTGAGCATTGCTGTTACTTTTCCGATTCTCCATTCTACATCACTGGTAGAGTTTCCTTCAGTATTGAATACCGACCCCAGGTATTTAACATATCTACTGTTTTAACACCTTTTTCAATCGGCATGTCATCTATAAATGTGCTGAGGCGCTCTGTCTTTTTTAAATTAATTTTAAATTCTCACTTTTCATATGATTCTATCACTTTTCTAAACATGTACTTTATGTTCTCTTTATGTCTTCCCTAATTCTTATTCCCATTTTTCCATATTTTCTTCCCCACTCTCTGAGAGCGACATTGACATAAATTTTGAAAATAAAACCTTTTGTTAAAAATAAAACATTATAGGATTTAAAAATTTTCACGTTATAGCAATTCTGACCCTGAAAATTTTTAAATCTGTTTTCAAAGGAAATACGTGTTTGAGGTCCTCTGAGTTCAAGTAACCAAGTCTCAAAAAATGGTCTGTGTGCGTGCGTGTGTGTTAACAGTCTAGCTCAAAAACGAAAAGTCGTACAAAAGCGAAATTGCATATTTAAGGTTTTTATATGTTTGGGATGTTACAGCAACTTTTACTTCAAAATTGGCTGACCTGAAGTGACTTTATATCATCGGTTTAACACATTTTTATGATTTGCTCAAAAACTGCTCCGATTTTGATTAAATTCATTATATCAGTGTAAAATTAAGCACTTTTTAATATAATGTAGGTTTCATTCTCATTAATGTTCTCTTTCAGGGCTTAAATGGCTAATTTTCATTATTAGCTTCATCTAAAGTACCTTTAACTTTTTAAAAAAATAGTTAAATATAAAATATGAGAGTGCATCTCAGTCTGTAGAATGTATAACATCTTCTCCAGGTTAACGTGTACAAAATCGGTTATAGTGAATACATTGAAATAATTTTTGACTTGAGTGCAGTTTAATAATTGCGGAAGCCAGTTGTGAAGTCTGGAAGGAATCTGACAAGAGAAAAGAGTTTTATAGGCAAATTTATGAGATTTGACTTGAGTGCAGTTTATTAATTGCGGAAGCCACTTGTGAAGTCTGGAAGGAATCTGACAAGGGAAAAGAGTTTTATAGGCAAATTTATTTTCCCAATCTCTGGTAAATCAGGCATATTTTATGTTTATTATCGTGTACCGTCCCACCTAGCCTAGCTCCGCCCATATCCCCACCTCGTTTTCGTCTCAGTTTGTTACTTGTAAAAGTGTGTCTACTTTCTATCCACGTCCCGTTACGTATTATCTAAATCACCATGACAGCCATAGAAGAAAAATTTAATATTTTAGTAGAAAAGATTTCTGGTTTGGAAATGAAATTAGACGAGAATAGGAGAAAAAAACAAGACGAAATACGTGAGATAAAAATTCAATTTAGTAAATTTACAAATAATATACAAACTCTTAAAGAAAGAGAGGGAAATTTTTCTCGTAGAAAAAATATAATAATATTCGGAATAGACCAAGAAAATTTCTTACTAATGAGTAATAAAATAATAGAAATATTAAATTATATTGTGCCAAACTTTAGACCATATGACATTTCCGAAATAAGGAATTTAAATTAGCTAAATCTGATGATTTCAAAACAATGGAAATGAAAGATGACATGCCTAAATCAGAAAGAGAAATCAGAAAAGAACTATTTCCATTCATGAGAGCTCATTGGGAGAAAGACAATAAGGCGACCTTAAGATATGATAAACTTCTTATAAATCATCAGCTGTTCACATTAGAAGATCTCCAATCCCAAGAAACTGGTTGACCATGATAAAATATGAGAAGGAGTTGGACGGGGATGTGGTCAAATATATATTAAAGTTTTAAAAATGGTATTTTTAATTGTTACACCGACGTTTAGACCCACCTTGCAGGTCTTCATCAGGACTACAAAGATACAAGGACTATAAAAGGTACATGGTGAAAATAAAATAAATGAATTATAAGTAGATATGAAATAAGAAACAGTTGTCTGATAAAGAAATAATAAGATGACATCAGAGATATAGTGGGTGACAGTGTAGTTAAAATATTAACTATTATATATATATATATAGAAGATACAAACAAAAATAGAAAACAAAGGAGAATATATCGTGTAAGTTCGAAGTAAACAGATTGTGATAAAAGATAAGAAATGAGTGTATAACAAACTGATAAATATACATTTGATAACTGTAGGTTAACAGATAAAGAAAATGAGTTTTGACGAATAAAGAAATTGAAACTTGAATAAGTAATGATCTTGTAAAACTAAAATAATAATAAGATATCAGTGGATAACAAGCTAGTGGAGGTTATATTTGATAAATATAGGTAAACAGATAAGGAGACTAAAGGTTAACAAATAAAGAAATTGAAAGATTAATAGGATAACATGACTTGTAATATCGTTAAGATAGATTTATTAAATATATATAACTCTATAAGAAAAATTTTTTTAGAACAGAAATTTAGAATGTAAGTATAAATGTAAACAAGGTTATGATGATGAAAACAAGTTATACTACATATAAATGACAATTGACATTCAGTTTTTACTTTCACTTACGTATATATGTAATATATAGTAAGGGTAAGTATTGCGATGGTGAAAATTTTCGAATCTCAGTTTTCAAGGGAAATACATGTTTTGAGGTCGCCTGAGTTCAAATAACCAAGTGTCGCAAAATGGTCTGTGTGTTTGTATGTTAGCAGTCTAGCTCAAAAACGAAAAGTCCTATGAAACTGATATCACGTATTTAAGATAGGTATTTGCCTTAAATGTGACAGCAACTTTTTCCTTAAAATCAGCTAACCGGAAGTGCCACTTTATATGAACGCTGAAATACATTTTTACAATTTTCTCAAAAAAGACTAACGATTTTGAACAAACTCGGTGTATCATTCTATAATTAAGTGGTCTTTAATATCATTTAGATCTTATTCCTGTTGATGTCACTTTACAGGGCTTAAATGCCCAATGTTAATATATGTCTTCCTCTAAAGTAAAGTACCTTTAATATGGTTTATTTTAAAATGTTAACCATTTCATATTATTCAGAGTTTTGAAAAAATGCTACATAGTGATATAACTTTTGAAAGAATTTGATAAGTTAATAAAGGAGGAAAAAAATAAAAATGCAGAAAAACCTGAGTTAGCGTACATTCGTAGCGTCAAAGTAAAATATAAGAGGTCAAAGTTTGGATAAATTTAAAATATATTTTTTTAATTGTTGAGACTGAAAAAAACTTTTTTCTACAGATATTTAATAAAGTGTCTTTTCTAAGAACATCTTACATAAGAAAGTAGTACCTAAATTTATACTTTTATTCTCAGTTCTATATTTCAACACTCCAATCACCACCTCTGGAATCAACTTACTCATTGTCTGCATAGATAACTTTTTCAACTAAAAATATCACTAAAATGACATCACTCAAAAATGTTGAAATTGGAGTTAGTCATTCTGTGGTTTATAAAAGCAAAGAAAATTGTGTGGTTTATAAAAGCAGATAGAGTGAATAGATTTTTATTGCCTGTCGTCGATATATTAAATAGACATTTTGTCATTATAATGGTCTTAATGACTTGTTATCTGTAAGCTTTAAGCTTTAGCTCCGTTTAAAATGCACTTCAAAAAATTTTGTAATAGCCCAGCATTGCCAGAAAATAATTTCTATTCAAAGTAGATCGGTAAGTGAAAGTTGTGTGTTGCGCGTACCAGATTTTTTTAAAGCAGTCATGGAATAGTAAGCTATATGAAGATTATAATATTCTTAAATTATCTATTAAATTCTTCACATCTAAAAGTTTCCTTGTAGTTTAATCAGCATTATTTGATTTATTTTTATTATATTTTTTTTTATGAATAGAATGGGTGGGACTTTAATAAGTTATGTTAATAAAAATACTATTTCTTTCGATCTCCTGTCCCACAATTTATCCTTTTTTTATTTTCTTTGGTGAGGTGATATTTGGCCCGTCACCTTCCTGCACAACCGTTGGCCTTGTAACAGTACTTCCTCACATTGCACTGAACTCAAGACCCTTCAAGGATTGTTAGTGATACAAGTTTTTTTTTTTTTTTTTATTATAATCTTTACTGTATATATACGTTTTGGTGCATGTTCATCATCAGCATATCTGCTATTGCTATTTACATAATGTCTTTTTTCTTGAAAAATAAATCAAACTTTATTAATGTCTATTTTCCATGTTGAATAGACAATGGTCACTTTATTTTAAAAGACAATTTATATTTAATTCAAATATAAAATTATCAAATACTTACAAACAAATAAATAATGAATTAAAGGATCTAACAGCACTGATTCACATTAAAAAAATTTTTGTGTTTAGATTTTCCTTGGGCTTCTGCAAATGGACAAATTTTATCAACAGGTTCAACTACCAACCAATCATTGCATTTTAATCCTACTAAACCTAGGAATTCAGGAGTTACTCCTAATCCATTTACTGTAAGTTCTCTTTATTTCGTATTTTAACTCTTGGGTGTATATAATAAATTATAGAAGTTTCATAAACAAATTCATAATAATTAAATTACTGGTATTAACCATTTCACCAATTGATACAAATTCTGTCCCATAGATTTGTTCTATTTCCCTACCAGTTTATGTAAAAGAGTTTGCTGAGCTTTATATATTTTTTTTGTATATCAAATTGAAGGAGGTTGCCATCACACTGTGGATAGCCTAATTTGCATTTATCTTCAGTTTTAATGCTCTCCAGTTGTATCTTGTCATTTACAATTGGGTACTTGCATTAAAATACAAATCATGTGAATTTGTGTTGCAAAAGAATTCAAGTGATAGAGAAAATATATAAGATCAAAATGGCATTTTAAATAATAAAATAAAGGTTTAGCCAAAAAACTTTAGTAGAAATAGGCAAAAAGTAATCTGAGTAGAAAGTATAAATTATAAAGTATTTTATTTAACTACTCACACCGTACAAGAATCGAGTATTTTAATCACTACTCAACTTGATGATTGACGGGGTGCAAAAACTGCTCAGCTGTGGCTGTGAGTACTTTTAAAAAAAAATAGTACTTCATTCAACAAATTATAGGAGTAGAATATTTTATGTTTCTTCAATATTTAAGTCCATTCTTATATGATGGGGGTTATAGTTTTTAAAAATAATATCTAAATTTAATCATTAATCAATAAATTATCGAGTCATTAAAATAATTCTGATTTATTCCATATTTGGATCCACTGTTGTGTTGCCAGGGCTGCTTTTTATGAAAATACAGTCGGATTTGCGAATGTGCAACCATGCATCAAGTTTTAGTAGTTTTTGAGATTTAATTGATATTAGGGTCCACTATTATATTATACGGGGCACTTTTTATGAAAATATTATCGAATTTGGGAATGCACAACCGCGCATCAAATTTTTGTAACTTTTGAATTTTAATTGACATTAGGGTAACCTATTATGTTACCTATGTGCTTTATATGAAAACGTCAGATTTAAGATTCCGCAATTGCGCATCACGTTTCTGTAATCTTTAGGATTTAATTTATATTAAGGGTTCAATACTATGTTGTCAAGGGTACTTTTTATGACAATACTTACTGAAAAGTTACAAAAACTTGTGATGCAGTTGCACATTCTGAAATTTGACAGCATTTTCATAAAAAGTGCTCCCGATAACATAATAGTGTGGACTCTTATGTCAATTAAATCCGAAAAGTTACAAAAACTTAATGCGCGGTTGTACATTATCAAATCCGACAGTATTTTTATAAAAAGTGCCCCGATAACATAATAGTGGACCCTAATATCTGTTAGATCTGAAAAGTTGAGTGTTTTCATAAAAAGTGCCCCGATAACATGATAGTGGACCATAATATCTATTAAATCAGAATAATTTACATCTACCTTCAGTGTTAATACTCTCCATTTGTGTCTTGTCATTTACAAGCAGTACATTGGGTACTGCATGAAAATTGGAGTGCCCTGATAACATAATTTTGGAATTCAATATCAATTAAATCTGAAAAGTTACAAAAACATGATGCGCAACATCGCTTTCACAAATCAGACAGTATTTTCTTTAAAAACGCCCCTGATAACGTAATAGTAGACTCTAATATCTACTAAATCCAAAAAGTTACAATACATTTGAAAAATACTAAAAACGCTGGGAAATTTACTCAGCAATATTTTCTGTAATCAGATATAATCCTGCAAGTACTTTCTGTACTTACCTAACATATGATTAATGCTGCGTGAGTACCTAAGTACTCGCCGTGGTCGAGCAGAGTACAGAAACTACTCGCTACTTTTTCTTTATAAAAGTACTCAAATCATGAAATTAAATGAGTACTCTGCCCATCTCTAGCATTTTGGAGGTGTAGTATGAGTCGACTGTAGTGTTAGTGTATGCGTGCCAAACGTGATATGTACCAAATATTTTTGAGCTCTACTTTATAAATATGAATTTATAAAAGCCATGAAATACATGTTAAACTAAATAGTTTTATTCAGAGGCTACAGAGTGAAAGAATCTAAATACATTTCTTAGATTAAAGTTTTGAAGCTAGAAACTCTATTCTAACCCAAGAAGTTTAAGATAATCAGTGGTATGAACTATAATCATAGGAGCTGGCAGCCCATGAGGTAGCCGTGTCCACTTTCATGATGTTTACTGTAGATTATTATTTTTCTCTTCAGTTTCAAATGTTGAAGCATACACTGGTTGTGTAGTAAAAAATATTATTGTTATTAAATAATTTCATATCTATACTTATAAATTATATCAATACTTATCAAATATATCAAAATATTTTTTAATTTTTAAAGAAAGAACAGTATTAATATTGAATTAAAATCATAAATTTTTAAACAATTAAATATTTATATTTAAGGAACAAGGAAAAAAAATATCAATGAAACTCCTTAAATATTAATAAAGGTTGGAAGAAAATCTAAGTTTTTAGTTGCTTTTTCATATTTTATTTTATTTTAGTATTAGGAGAGTAGGAGATTACATGAGTTCTCCTATTAGCTCTATAATTAGCACTAATTATACAGCTGTTTATTTAATTACATATGTGTTGAACTCCTATAACCTCTTATTCTCCTAATACTAAGTAGAGATTTACAGCCTGGTCTCTTCGTTGCAATACAACATATTGTCGTTACAATGGCAAACTATTGAATCTGAAAGTCACCACTCTAATATCGTTATCAATTCAGCCCAAACAAGTAGGATGTTTTAATTTCCACACTAATATCTCCTTTTATGAATATTAGAAAATTTTTTAATCACTGTTTAATAATATTTTATTATAATTACAATCCTTAGAATGCAGGATTGAAAAAATAGTAATTTTTCATATTCGATAGTATGCAGTTGTATCGATGATAGATATTGAGCTCCTGTAATCTCCTACTCTCCTGATACAAAATAAAGATTTTAGTCCATAAAATTGTACGGGGAATGGCGGATTCATGTGGAAGTGTTAGTTTAATTTTATCTAGGTCACCGCAGTTATTTTTCGATCTAGACATTTTCTCCTTGAATACAACATATTAATTATTATGAAATAGAAAAGAAACCACAATATAATGTTCAATGAAAATATTAGAAAAAAGGCTCAAATTGATGTTGGGCTTCTATGAAGCTGGACAAGTTGAATATATATTATGGTTATAAATTAGCAATAAATCGCAATATAGAATATAGATTTTTAAAAAAATTAAAAATTTGTCTGAACTCTGGATCCATTCAGTTTATTTTATTTTTATAAAAAATAATTCAATCTGAACTACAGAATACATGTAAATCACAGTAATACAATTTGACAACGGATAGTACAGTTAAATGAAAAGTTTTATAATTTGTAAAATGGGTGTAGTTCCGCTGTTAGGCGTACATGGAGTACCTCCCTAGTTGCTGAATATAAAATAATAGGACTGTTGTAAGATTGTAGTGTGGTCTCTGTGACACCATTTAATAAAATAAGTAGAATAAAACATTTTCTGTTTATTTATATTTGAATGAATATTAATTAATACCCTACGACCCTATCAACGGTTTACTTCTGTTAGGCGCCAATTGCAAATAACCTTCTGTTTGTATGGAAGTCTTGGTTAGGGGTGAATTAAGATCGGACATAAAAACAGCTCAATTCTGGAGCAGGTAGCAACAGCTGGAGAGAAGAGAAGGCACTTGAGGCTGGGACACGGAGGTGAGAGGATGTGACCTGAGATGAGAGAGGCAGGACATTGAAGACCAAAAATATCAAGCCTACAGTTTTAAGACTTTAATAGATAACACTTATTACAGTTGTAAAATAAATAGTTTTATTATACAGGAGTGAAAAGTCATTTTATTTAGTTGTCCTATATGCCTCACAATTGAAGAATAACAAACCAGGTGAGTCAATTCATTCAAAGTGTGTTTACTAAGTCCCACATTTCAGATACATATATTCTTATTGTTTCTTCTCACTCGGTGCCACAAAAGTATTAGGTTCCCGAATTCCTAACAACAGTTAAACACCCTCAAAAAAGTCTATATCCAGTGCCGGGGTTTTGTTTTAATAATGATGAGTGTAAATAACCTAGTCCCCCGATAAAAACGGAAGGAATATTCAAAATTCCCGCCAAAACAAATTATTTACATTTAACTCTTAACAGGTTATCTACAATATATAAAAACAAAACATTGTATTCTCGCTCACACTGTCGCAAAGGAATGGAGTGTTCACTACTTACAATCTACTATAATTAAACACAAAAAAAAAAAAATGTTATATATATATATATATATATATATATATATACACATAAAAAAAGATAAAAATACACTTCAGTGTTGCACTGCAATTTTCTTCACATACATACACCCTAATATATAGACAAAAATAAAATAAACTAAAAAAAAAAACCTCTATAAATAAAATACAACAAAAAAATTCTTGTTTCCCGAGACAAGGGCACTACAATTCTACAGCTGCTCTGACTCTGAAATTGGGAATTTTAACTGTTCTATGTGAACCATCCTTCTTTTTTTTGGTTCTTTGACACTCTCAATAGTCACAACATTATGCTCCCTAATGATTATCACACTGAATGGGCCCTCATATTTCTGCAATTCCTTCCCCCTATTATTGCCTAACCTGCGATAAACAATGGACCCGATTTTCAATCTCCCTGTTATCTCCTTTACTTTTAAACTTTCCAACGCCACTCTTTTGCGCTTTTCTCTCTCTCTATTTTTCCCTTAACTTTCTCTCATAGATTGCCCAATTCTATTTTATTATTAATCATTCTCCCTGTCATTTCCTCGTCCACAGCTGTGCCCCCATAGTCCCCTTGCCGCCCGCGTTATCCGAAGAGAATTTCAAATGGTGAAAACCCCGTTGCGGTATGTATGGAGTGATTATATGCTGCCACCGCCTTCCGAATTGCCATATCTGGTTCCTGCCCTTTTTCCACC